TTCCAAATTGATTTATAAGTAATCACTACTATAATATCCTAGGAAACCACAATGCACCTGGATTATTTACAAGCACTCTGCACAAGTCTAAGATAAAAATGGACCCAACAGTTGTACTATCAAATGTTGCAGAGTGTTGTACTCCAACGTGTAACTTCAGAACTTGGCACTGCAGATTTTTATCAGTGTGTAATAACTTGTATTCTTGTTTGAGGCGTGTTACTTGTTTGTTCCTGTTGGAGTGAGTCGCGGCGGGGTGGACCATCGTGCTAAGCGTTAAGAACGTTAGGTTCGCAGGTTAGAATTCCACGCGGGGATAGTTATGTGCAAGAGGTATGTATGCTGGACTCCTCGCCGCCGTTGGGTGGTAACCGCTGGTTAAGGATCCCTTCGCCATAAAGTCCATGCTCCCGAAAACTAATAACTGGCTAATCCTAAACCCGACATGAAATGGTAACCGGACGAGAATGCGTGCGTTCTGCGTGGGGAAGCCTTATTATCGACTATCTTCTCCCTCGGGATAAATATGTAAATCCCATCCTATTCTGAGTTTATGTCAAAAATGTTGATTCACAAAGATAGGTGGAACCAGACAATGGTCTCGTAAAGTAGGATTGCTGTATGATTTGAATCGCGAACTTTTTCTGCCTGTACTGCGCTGACCAGTGAGTGAGTGGGTAGTTAGCGCAGTAGATTGCGTGACAAGATGTAAAATATCTAATTGCTTTGCCGTCGCTACAATCGCCCCACTAATGAGACACACGCAGGCTGTTTTCATGGTGGTAATATATATATGATAACGGACTAGAAAAAGCGCTGTTTCGTGGAAATTGATATCAGCGTGATGTCATAATTCGAAGATTGTTAATTAGCCCGTCACATTACCGAGGTCAACTAAAAATCAGGTTGATGGGTATAATAACTAATATAGTGTCATTCCCAGTTCCCATATAAGTGTGATTTACACCAAGAATAGCAGGACAAAATTTAATTGATGTAGCTTACTTATAAGCGCCGTTATTAAGCTTAGTTAGGAACAGACCTGCGGGCGACTCGTATGGTCTTTGCGGGCGACTTGGTGCCCGCGGGCAACGCGTTGGTGACCCCTGTAATAGTCACTTATTCCCCCGCGCTTTACGGCCTTCTAGAACTTTCCTTGCCACGAGGTAGACGCTTGTTGCGCTTTGCGTATTAGGGAGGATTCTGTGCGATTATATATTTTATTATTAATAGGTTTTCCTAATTTTTTTGTGTGGTTAGCCTTATGCTATACGTTAGTTACATAATGGTTATCAGGTGGGAATTTTTTATACTTATAATAATTTTTTTTGGCATATTCATACATTAGCCGCATTTTGATGTACTGTTATACTGATCATTGTTATATTTTTTGTATCTTAGCATACTTATGGCTGTTCTTCGAGTCCTTGTCAAAAACAGTCAATTTATCACTAACACTAACGCCGACACTAACCCTAACACTGCCGTCAACATTAGATGTGTTTAAACAAGATAATAAAGTTTCTTTCAACACAAGTCTACGGAATTGTTGGTGTACAGGTTGCAGTGTGTGTTGGTCAGTTGGTGCATAGATTGAAGACATTATTTGGGGACCCAAGGGACAGGACGCGTCTCCAGTTACCCTGTATCTTTGAGTCGCAGTGGGACACATTAGGTACCGTACCCTACGCGTACTTATCCCATACAGGACTCCTCGCCGTCGTTGGGTGGTTCACGTCCATGCTTCCGAAAAAAACAAACAATACAGTAAAAAACTAATCCCATACCAGACTTGGAATGGTAACCGGACGAGAGGCCGTGGTTCGCCATATGGATAAGCCGTCTTATCGGCTTCCCTCTCCCCCGGGATAAATATGTAAATCCTAACCTTTGCGGGCGTTATTGCTGGAGAGAGATATTTGAATTTATTATCGTCTGCCATGTATTTCAATCTGTTTTTATGCCTTTTTTCTGTGAAGCTAGAAGAGGCAGTTTTCATGACGTCGATGTATATACTGTACTTTGACAAGACTTACTTGTACGAGCAAGTTTTTTCACGGATGAACCATGTCATATCTCCCGTGAGATCACTGATTTCTGACAGTCATATGAAAATTCGGTCCGCATTGCTATATTGTCCATCGCACAAAATATTGACAAACTTGTTGGATGAAAGCAGTGTCATACTTCCCATTGAAATATATATGTGTGATCAAAACTTTTGACTTTACTGTATTTCGTTATTTTCATTGTTCTTATAATTTTGATGTGAGGGTTTTGTTTGTTTTTTTCATTAACCTGTAGTCGGTGTAGTGAAAAATAGAACATAACGACCATGTCAAGTGGCCCACGCAATCATTCGTAATCTACATATGGCCCTTCGGCCATAAAGGTTGGACAACCCTGCTCTAATAAAGAATATCAGTAGGAAGTAATTATTAAGAGAGTCAGTCAAATGACGAAAATCAGTCGCAAGTCTAATGCCACAATTTTTCCGGTTTCGATGAATATCTCCAGACAGATGGTGCTACAGGCAAGAAACACGCCCACCTGAGCTGATTACTCTCGTGGTTTGGTAGGCACAATTTCTTTGGTGAATAGCTAGCCAAATACAAGAGGGTGGCTAGGCTCCTCGTCGTTTCATGGTGGTCCACGGTACGAGCAGTCAACTATTCCATGAATCGGCGACGACGAGGAAGGCCAATTTAAAAGCCATATATGAATGAGCCCTTTCTTTGCCACTGGGATAAGTATAAACTTTATTAACTTGGCGATTACTCGTTACTGATGATGGCATTTTTTTTTTTTTTCAGTTTACGAATCGAAGTTAATTAAAATCATACGAAATTATAAAACTTAGAACACTACTGCCGAATTATTTTCGTAGTTAATATCAACGAGTACATCGATCGATGTTGCTGTCGCAGGACTGTAATTTCAAGATATATTTTTATTCGTTGAAAATTACAGTGATTATGAAAGGGCAATGAAATGCCTAGGGCTTGAAAAATTTGAGTCGCCCAGAACCATATATTTTTGGTAATGAACCCCCAAAATTACAACGTGTCATTGCAATTTTACCTTAGCTAATAATGCGAGTTTTGGAAATGGCATTTCAATTTCACTTTGAATATACCCAGTGATGAGCTGGAAAAATCGTAACAAGCGGAACGCACCTAATTCGCAAAAAAATGTAATATATTTACAAAACGACGCGGACGTTTACAGAAAGTTTTGTCTGTCTTAAGATAGAGCAGAAGAACTGCAATGAAATATGAATGAATTATCAGAAATATTTCCTTGTAAAATTACAAGAATAGTCATAGCAATTCAATACAAATGTTATTATTAGAAAGGTGTGGGGTAAACTTCCATGGGGTCAAAGGTCGGAAAACATCTATTACACGTCACTGATGTGCTAATTATTTGCGTGATGTATAATGTAAAAATAATTACCAATTATGGGGCAACAAAACATAAATTAATAACTAGGTTTACCAGAGAAACTAGACTTTTTGAACCATAATTTTATATTAACAACAGGAACGCAAATGCAATAAAATGTCTAACACCGGAACGCCGTTCCGGTGCGTTCCGGCTACAGCTCACCACTGAATATACCCACCATTGCCAGGGCTGTAATTAATTTGGTATATTGTGCTGAAGTCGCGAAATTTTGTTCTTCGGATGTCCCTGTTAACCTGCTGACTAATCGATCTGATTCTTTTTAGTGAAGGAAGCGGGGAATTGCAGGTTTGAAACAAAAACCAATGTGGAACAATAACATCTAAGGCCGATGAAGAGATTTACTTTGCAATATATTTACACAATTTACGATTGCTAGTCAATATATTTTATCGACGACAACTTCCTCTGACGTGTATATATCTTCTGCATAAACGCCTTCTATGACCAACACAGTCCAAATTTCAAAACGATTATGATTTAAATTCAGCAACATGCACCAGCTGTTGGATCTACAACATCCGTTTTGCAGGCGCGAGCTTGCATTGTGCAGTCGACTGAAATCACGCTCAGATTAGAACGCGGAAGGCTGTCTGACATAACAGTAGTAATTTGATACGTCTGGTATTTCAGATTCAGTTTTACTCAAAATCTTTTTACTGCTGAGACGAGATGTATTCGAATAAGCAAATATTTCATCAACAAGCTATTTAATACCCTGGAAGACAACGCAGTTTTAGAAAGGTATCCAAAAATTCAAGATTAAATAGAGATTGGTGAAAAAGTAGCCAAATACATTTGATGAAAAGCCTTTTTTAAATAAATATTTCACATCAGGTTCATATAAATATAGTTTTGAAAAAATATGGGGACCTCCAGAAGTATGTGCACCAAGATGACGCACAACCTGAATCCTAACCCGGTACACATACTATGTTCAGGTTGTGCGCCATCTTGGTGCACATACTTCGGGAGCGCCAAAATATAAGGGTTGTGCTAGACCCCCAGAACGCACTCAAGAGGTATGATGAAAGAACATATGAACAAACTAATAAATTTATTCACGATCTAAATGGCTGTTGTTAAATTCATTCACAAGATCTTATTTTGAGCACAAGTCGAATTTTTTGTTCACGCAGTTGCGCTCAATGCTTTTCAGAGGGAAACCGATTGAGATCTTTATTTCACATGAACAGAACAAAATCTAATGAGTAAACGAACCTCTTACAGAACCTCAGATACAAATAGTTTACTGACTATGACTATAACATTTGGGTCCGACTTCAATCAAATATATTAATGGGGTATTTGATTCAAGACAACGAACAGGAAATTATTATTGATAGCAATGTTGTCCTATTTTATGCTTGTATATGCGCATTAAAAATTAACAGCACTGAAAATATTCTGCACAATAAGCTATATGTCGATGGGCAACATCGTATATGTTGGATTGATATGATTATGATCATGGTTTTCCTAAGCGCAAGCTAATTTGGAATATGATATTTAAACGATTTCCGTTTCAATGTATTTTAGGAACATAAATATGACGTAATTAAATCCCTGGTTTGACTAAGTTCATATGATGAATTGTTGCAAGTTGTCCTTGGCTCTTGTTTGCATTATCACCACGCTTGTAGGAATACTTATACTTGCTTTGCAAATTGTTTCGGCGTCTACAACAGCATGGGTGCACTTAAAAAATCGACGAACGTCGTTCTCATTTGGATTATATCGACTTGAAGATCACATTGGCTTAGTAACAATAAAGCGTAAGTCAGAAATAAATGCTTACAGTCAAAACTACTCACATTCACATGCAAACAATATAATTTTTGCCAACGCTTGGAATTAATAAAATGAATACATAGTTTGTCATTGTATACTGTCATTTTTTCGATTTCTTGTTGTCAGCATAAAATTTATACATTGTAATATAGTCACGACTGTACCTTTTGCGTATTATTGGTTGTTAATTCCTTCGCTACCCTTGAGGTTTCGCGTTGTGTTATTCACAATAGCTAATTGTGGGTATGAATGCAATATTTTTTGGGTAATAAATTACATCATTTTTATCTTGTCTCAAATATTCACACTTTTTACTCGATTTCTTGGCCTGTGATACCTTTTTAAACTATATTTAATTATTTTCAGTTGTTCAATCCACTCCCGTTGTTGTTATGCAAGCAATGGCTATCTTCTCCATATCAGCTGGATTATTTGGAATAATTACCACCGTTTTGGGTGCAACTCAAAGAAATATTTGTGGCAGAACTACCAAGTTTTTCATCATTCTCGCACAAGTATTCATTTCCCTTTCAGGTAAGCACATAGTGACATAGCATCATTTTCTGACTCAGTATGAAAATTTGGCCTACAATCGATCTCCAATGTGCTTCCGTTGCATTTCATATATCCGCCAAGTAGGCCTAGTACTTTTTTGCTCATGATACGTGATCACGTGATGATATATAGCTTTATTGCGTGGTATCGTATCTCTCTCGTAACTGAGGGGAAATACGGACACAAAATAAAACATTGTTTACCTTTAAAGTTAAATTTAAATTTGATGATATAACATTAATGGGCCTCGATAATGGCTTGCTAAATGAAGGCTCATATGACAAGTGAATTATAACACCAAGTTTTAAAGCTTCTCAGCACTTTTTTTGCTTTGAGCGTTCGAGTCTAGACTAGACTAATATAAAAAAAATTACAACAATTGTTCTTACATTCTGAAATATGGCGCGTTTTTTGTAAATTACTTATTCTGATTCTTGTTTATTTTATTTATTTTACTTACTAAACTCTTTTTTGTTTTGAATTCTAGCAATTTTGTACCTTATCGGAGTTGCCACATTTACTCATTTCTGGCTGAAAAGCCCATCGAAATTTTTTCAAACACTGCCGACTGGTTCGAATGAATTTATATATGGATACGCTTATTGGATATCTTGGTTGGCGCTATTGTGCCAACTAGCTCTGATGCTCTTTCTGATCATATCAGTCAATTGTGTAATACGTGCGAATGACGAACGATTGGCTGGATATGAAGATTTGGAAAAGAGTCGCAGCAAAGGCGACGAAAAACGGTTAGTCGGTAACGAAAAGTTGGGGTCGAAAAAGAAGCTAACGATATCTGAAAGAAAAGGTACAGTGGGATACAGCGTGAAAAAAAGCGAAAAGGGAGACAAGGAAGCATACAAGGAGGCCCTGGGAACAGCGGCAGCGTCTGTCGTGGAAAGAGCAATTGTGGAAGGAGTCAATAAAGTGGAAACAGCTGCTCCGAGCACAAGCACATCGCACTAACAGATTATATAGACTATAGAATGTATTTCCAAAATATAATTGCAATTTAAATAAAATCTATTGAGTTCGTGAGAATATGGATGTTGCTTACGTGTGTCACTACGCCAATTCATCCATAGAAATGGCCTAGTTTGATACCTTACTCCAGGGAAACCTGACGGAAGGAAATTGGATATGGTGGTAACCAGTGGTGGGATTCAATTTTTTTGTCAGCCGGTTCCATCACGAAGAACATATTTTTCACCCGGTTCTTTTACAAAAAGTCATTGACAGTGACCAGTATTGCTACCCGGTTCGCTGATCTCATAAAATTCCGTGAGAGGGTTCTATAGAACCGGTGCGAAACGGCTGAATCCCACCACTGGTGACAACCCTACAAAGTGGTCAAGGCCAAACAACATTCAAGGTTGTATAGCAATATCATCGCAGAATATGCGTGTCTTGAATGAATTCGAAAGTGTCTTGTTGCAGATATTTTTTCAACGCTCGTTGTTTTATGCTCCGATTTGCTGGTGACATGATCCCGAAATAGCACGAAACTCCATTTCAACATGAATGCCCATATGACGGCAAAGTATAACGTAACTACAAATTAGCAATGGCGTGAGATATCACGTCGTGTTGTATTATTATTATTACTCATATCAAATATAAAATTATTGAAATTTTCTCATAGAATATATATATATATATGGCCATCAAATTTTATTGTTCATAGAATAGTACATGTACTATATAATTACAGAATTTTGAAACCTAGTTGAAATAACATGTCGTCACGCTAATAACCGAATTGCGTAAGTCATTTTTAGCAGTTTTGAGAAAAACGTAAAAAACTTCCTAATGATATTGCTATGCCATTGAGAATCAATAATTTGCCATAGTTCAATTTTTCGATCGTAGACGGATTCAAGTTAATTTGTATGACGCAGTCAAGTGACGTCATAATAGCGCACTGTGACTTAGGCAGAAATGTGTCTATGACTAGGGGACATACGCAATTTTGCAACTTGACTATATGTACCAGTCCTGAAAACAAAACAATCCAAAAATGAATGTAATTCTTAGTATATACGATGTCTAATCCCCAAAATAGCTAATCTGTTTCAATTACATTATTTTTTATGTTTAAAAATATATATTTCAAAAAAACACGCTCTGCACATCCACCGAAATAAGACTAAAGTTAAATATAAAGAATAAAACAGCAATGTACTCTTATATAAAAGCCAAACAAGGTGAATTGGATTCAGACAGTGAATATCACTTGTGCACGCCTTCCTACACTGTAGTTTAAACTGAAATTTATAAGCGATAAGCTAGAATCTGAGATGCAAAAACTCGAAAATCCTTCGCCGAGGTTATTTTGCTTTTGTGACGTCATAATAGTCCTGCGTTAACAATGATAATTCATTATGACGAACCAATTGAACAAATTTGCGTATCATACAAAATTTCTATTTTTATGGGTTTCGGAATTCTTAAAATAAAATCTGAGTTAACAGACAGGTGCGCAGCATTACATAAATACCTATTTTATGAAAAACTCAAAACCGCCAAAAATGACTTACGCAATTCGGTTATTAGCGTGACGATGTTTTAAATTTATCTAAGTTTGAATCCAAATTTATTTATCTCACTTCAACCATATTCATTATTATTATATAAATAGTAAATACTGTATATATATATCATATATATTCGTCTTCGTTTGATTTTTTACAAAGTTCGTCAGTTATATATAGATTGTATAATTTTAAATGACACGCTCTATACATTGCCAAAAGTGAGGAAATATTATAGACTTCTTGTTTAAGATTCATCGAAAACTAGTAAACCAGATGTAAATTGAATAAGTGTAAATTTAAATTCACGATTGTATATTTCGCGACAAACCGGTCTGTTTCATTACGTATTTTTTTCATTAAAGTGTACAATAAGTCTACATTGTGACACATGATTGGTAGGCTAATTCGTTGTTACGAACTTTCTTGAATTGTTTTCATTGATTGCTCAAGAACTGTGTTTATGGAAAACAAAATTCTATGTTGCCCCAAAATTTAAAAATTATAATGCATTGTGGGGTATCTGATGCGTAATAATGAGTTCAATAACCACAGCCTCTTTCCCTAATAGACTGGATACATTCGTAGATACATGTTGTAGAGTCATTCAACAGAAATTTTTTTAAACAAGTAACTAACTAATCCTATACCCGACATGGAATGGTAACCGGACGAGAGGCCGTGGCTCGCCATATGGATAAGCCGTCTTATCGGCTTTCCTCTCCCCCGGGGTAAATATATAAATCCTATTCTATCCTTGTTGCGAACATTATTAACCTTTTTATATGCCATTTACCCAATTTCATCGAACATGCTTCGGTATTTGAAACGATAAATGATAAATAGAATAATTCCCTTATTGTACGTTGTATTCATTTGTTGGAGCTTTGTTATATATTATTTTTATGCCAATTATGTATTTATTTTGTCTATATATGCGAAGGAAATAAAATTTGACCGTCTTCCGCGTCTTCTTTTGGTATGCGCACTGACTGGCGGCGGTAATTGGTTGAAATGTAATAAATAACTCGAAAAATTGCCTGTTGATTATGTAAATGGTAGTATAAATTCAGAGTCAGTCTCCCACCAGAGCCATATACAATCCTACTAATTCAAGGACTGCTAGCGAGTGCGCATTAGGCTTAAAGAATTCGACGACATCATCATTTTCGGGAAATGGTGCCGTACACTTCGAATTTACAGCAGCTGAAATAAATTGGTCAATTTTGCTTGATCAGCGGTCACAATGTTTGAGCGTAATTGACAGTCCTAGGTTTCGGCACGCCAACACGCTGCGGAAGGCGGCCTCTTCGAACTAGATCATACGAAGTACCATTATCATCAAAGCGACAGATTCCAACAAGAGCTATCTTCCACACCACATGTTGCTCTATATACATTGGTGGGGTTCAGGGGTCATGAAAGTTTAGACGATCGCAGCAAATGGGGCAATTCTAAATCTCTGGCTGTTTTATTTTTTAAAAGCAACCTTAATGCGCGCTAACAGCCAGGCGAAACCAAGAACTTCATCATACAGGGCAGCAGAAATTCTCAACCCACTCCACTTCTCAAATTCTCATTTACTCATGGTATTGTGCAGAGAAATTTTTATATTTGGTGATAACAAAGAAACGAAAAACAATCCAGTAAATTGACAATTCAGGATTCTTATGTACAAGAGTTTGTCCAATTAAAGAAATAAATATCCAAAACCAATCCACGAAAAACAGTGATGTACTTTAAACAAAAATGGGTGAAAATTTTGAAATGAATCAGAATCGGCTTCCAGCCAAATCCATTGGTTGTTATAATGAGGAACTTGACGATGCAACAGGTAAGCTGCAAATGAATTCATGGTTCAGCACTTGAAGAACACTTTGCCTATGGATGCTTGAATGAGCCAATGATTCAGCATATTTGGAACAAAGTTTGAGCAAGTCACATACAATAACTCATGATCAAGGAAACAGTGGGAAAGTGAATAGGCAAGAACATGCGTTTACAATGAAAAAGAATAACTCAAAACTTCATATACAAACAATGGAACAATTGTCATGGTGGGTTTAATAGGCACATGATGAATCACAATTATTTGGGAGACAGTCTCACATTTAGCACGATTCTTAAGGTAACAAGTGTTGAATATTGAACCGTTTTTTTTTACGATTGTAGAATACGGCATCATTTAGTGGTACAAAAATTTTTAGAGGTAGGTTGTGTCCAGTTATACCTTTAGGTTTTCGAGTTGCATTGTCATGATGGGGACAAATTATACAATGTTTCTGTACATCGTACAGTGTAAATGAAACGAAAACAGTTCAATGTTTTTAGTCAATTTCAGTAGATTCATATGCTTCAACCAAAATTTGTGGAATTTTTTCCAAATCAATGTAAATATCTTTCGATTTTCTTCTTTTCTTTCCACCAGAAAATTTATCACCAAGAGAATTATTATCTTCTATTTGAGCTATGATAAGAGCTCCAGCAAGAACTTTCGTTTTTATATCGTGAGCAACTTTATGAACTTCTTCATCTGTGGGAGATTTTTCTTCTTCAGTTTTTTCAGGAGTAATTTCCAAGGAATCTCCAGCTTCATTTTGATCAGGATAAGGATCATCCATGCTTGATAGATCAACGTTACTGCTATGTAACTGGTCAGTGCTACTGAAATCTGGATTCAAAAGGGTTTCCCAAGCTGAATCGGTCATCGTGGACCATTCTAAAAAATAGAAATGATTTGCACCAATTATATGTCAAAACAAGAGAGCAATGCACAAATATATGGATACAAAGGCCAGAACAAAGTATAGTAGCAAGGCGAACAGGTATGCAATCTGTCACAGTAGACTACCGGTTCGGCAGTCTTCATGATCAATGCAGAGAGAGCGGAACTGACACAAGGTGTGCACATTTTTTGATAACGTCATCACACACAATAAATGAATCTCATGACAAAAAAGCGGATACATACCATCATCACCTTTCTTTTCTTCATCTTTCTGCAACTTTTGAGCCAAGTTTGCATCGATCAAAGCTTTAGCAACATCGATTTCCACACTATTATCATCCAAGACAAAGAGTTGAATTGTATAACATTCTTCTGTCGTGCTTTCGTTTACTTGTAATACCTCAGCTAGAAAAAGTAAATTTTCTATCAAGTCTCAATTATATCTTCTGTATTTGTAATTAATATGCTTCATTTTCAGCAAAATCCTAAAATACGACAAAGACGCAGTGTAAATAATGATTTTGCTGCTTGAAGACATAACGGATATGGTATGTAACTATTGACTGCTCTGATATTCAATGTGTGAATGATGGAAAATATAAAGGTTGTGTGACAAGTAATCAAAAATAGCATATGGATGATTAATCTTTGTACAATTGGAGATTCAATAATTCAAAATTGAATCCTCCGTAGTGCCGCGGCAGTTAATATGCCCAGTGGTGTTGTTTTATAAAATAAAATGAAAGCAATGCTCAGATATATGCATGGGGTATATAAAAGTGTCCCAATGTATAAACATGAGAGAGAGAGAGAGCAAAATTTGGGGTACAATATAATACAATAGCCTATAATCACAACTCATGAGACACTTGAAAAAGAAAATATCCATTGGATAAAGAACGAGAGACAAAATGTTGGCCCAAATAAAAAGTATGAAATTTTATACCACTCAAATTACCTTTTAAAGTATTGCAAAACAAAAGATCATTCAAATATTGATTAACATCTGAACTCCAAGATCCAACTTCAGATTTTTCTTCTCTCTGTTGATCAAAAATGACACACATAGTTTAGGATATGATTATATCATCAAATTTAATAACACCGTATTGAAAATTGTTCTGAATATTCTAACAAGATGACTCAACCTCTAGCCATCACAAATCCTATGGTTCGCAATTAAAAGTGTTTAATTTTTGCTTGAAAGTTCACATAATCGCTAGTCGGTTATATAATCCTGCAGCATCTAATCCCATGCATCTCAAACTAATGGGCAAATATCCCAATATCCCCAATCTAGATAGTTCATGAGATCCCCATAATTATCCAGGGGGAGGGGAAAGCTAGATGAGACGGCTTACCATATGGTGAACCAAGGCCTATCGTACAAAGTGCAAAGAAAAGCGTATTCCCAACGATTCTGAGTTCATGGTACTCCCAGGGCCATCACTAAATGACTTTCAAACAAGCAAAAAAAGCAGAGAATCAAAAAATCTGCACACACCATAGTGATTCCTCCCAGACTACATTGAACAGTTTGTCTTGGATAAAGACACAAACTTTCCGGTATTTCTCGGAGTTGATCAATTGTTGCCGTCATTACATCGGCATAATCAACCAATTCAACAATATACTTCTCATCATTTTCTGTTGATACAATTCGACCTCGATCCCACGATCCATCGGAAGGACATTGTACAAGACACATCTGAGATAAGAGCAAAACAATAACTTAAAATTAAAGCAGCAGAATCGCATTGCTCTAACATATACTAAGCTATTATTAGCAAATGGTCTAGGCAGGGATGTACAAAACTGGACATTTTATACAAAACTGAACATTTTATTATTCCTAATACATTCTAAAAAATATTTTATTAGGAATGTTATAAATGAGGTCACGTTTAACTGAGAACATGTAGAAGTCGATGCATATTCAGTGAGTTGATTTTGGAAGGTAAGACAAACAGCGACTTGACTGGTTTTATATATTTACAATTTTTCAGGAACTGAAAGGACTTTTTGATCATACTATAATAGGGTTTGATTGGCCAAACAAATATTTTTATCAAATGAAACTATTCTAAATTATTTCTAAAATCAAGAATTCAAAATATAGACTATAATTTATTTCAAATAAATTAAGCTATTCAATTTGAATTGTCTAGGCTTGTGAAATGAGTAAACAGTATAACCGACTTGAACAGTTGGTACAAATTTTCATCTTTTGCATATTAATTCAAGATTAGAACTAGAGCTGCGTGCAGCTTTAACAGGCTTCCCGCGTAAAAAAAAACTGAAGACCCGTTTTGCTCACTGGAGCGTGAAAGCGTGGTCAGTTATGCATAAAATTTGCAATATATGATGGGGGACTTATTATCTGCATGTGATGTAAATTTCAAGTCTCTGAGTAGTGTCGTTCTCGAGAAGAAGATGAAAATCCTATATTGCTCACTGGAGCGTATCGCCGAGGTCACTCATGCGTATCCTTGACATATCGTATCCGGAACATGTCCATTAATCATTGTTATGAATTTCAACCCAATAGCATGTATCAATTTTGAGAAATCGCAAAAAAACTGAAGACGCATTTTGCTCACTGGAGCGTGAAAGCGTGGTCAGTCATGCATAAAATTTGCAATTTATGATGGGGGACTTATTATCTGCATGTGATGTAAATTTCAAGTCTCTAAGTAGTGTCGTCCTCGAGAAGAAGATGAAAATGTAAAATCCTATATTGCTCACTGGAGCGTATCGCCGAGGTCACTCATGCGTATCCTTGACATATCGTATCTGGAACATGTCCATTAATAATTGTTATTAATTTCAACCCAATAGCATGTATCAATTTTGTGAAATCGCAAAAAAACTGAAAACGCGTTTTGCTCACTGAAGCGTGAAAGCGTGGTCAGTCATGCATAAAATTTGCATTTTAATGCTAGCTGAGAACTTCTGCACATTTGAGGTGAATTTCAAGTTTGTAGGACCAATTTGAAAAAAAAATAATAATAATAATAATAAATAAATAATAATAAAACACAGGAATACAATAGGTTCCCTGCTGACAAGCAGCGGGAAGCCTAACTAATTCTGCAGGTTGTAATTGTGTGATTATAGTCAATTTATGCTTCAAAACAATTTTTGAACCGAGTCATCCTTTACATAATTCGAAACTTATTTGCAATTACACAGTAGTTAAGGGTTTTACTTTTATGCAAAAATTATTCTTGGCCAGGCTGTGAAATTGAGAAATTAACAACAGACTCTTTAACTCCTTCTAGCGATTTCAAAAACGGTCCTTGCCCTGGTTGACAAAAAGTTTGACTCTAACTCCTGATTGAAGGAAATTTTACTCCAAACATCAAAATTAGATGACTGAACCTGCTTTTGATGGTGGTTTGATGGAGTTTAAAAACACGTCCCTGAATCTAATACCGATAAAAAAAATACGGATCTCCCATTCCCTAACCATATTCTTTACAGGCAAACCCTTTCATTTTTATACCAAATTATTAACATACCATGTCGGTTTCCCATGAATCAAGTTTAACTAATTCATTCACATGTTTAGCATCATTTATTTTGCACAATGTGCTTCTCCATTCGTCTGAATCTGTACCCATATCAAATTGGAGTTGTATGTTGTGAGGATCTTTCGAACTCAAGTAAGCGACTGGATAGGGATCACCTGCAAAAATTTGAATATTTTATGGTGTCTGACCGTCTAAAACAGGGGTGTGCAACCTTTTTCGCAGGCGGGCCAAATATCAATAACCGGGTGAAACCGCGGGCCGCACCTACATTTCACACAGGCTTTCTATTAGTTGCAGGCACAAAATGGTGTCTTTTTGTTATTGATCTCATGGTCCTTACAGAAATGATGAGTTAAAACGCATTAAGTTCTTAGAACTGTAATTTAAAGATATATATTGTTGCACCCAATTTAAACGAATTCAGTGAGAAATTTTCTGCTGGATTCTTTTCCCGACTACTTTTATCCAAATTTGCTCAAATGGAAGTGCTACCAATTCGATGCGACGCCCATTTTAGAACAAAAATAGATTACCGAAAAGTGCCATATTTGAAGCCATGACTTTTTCAAATGTGGGAAATAACTTGATTGAGAAGTTTTCAGTAAAATGCGCCAAGTTTCATTTCCAAATAATTTGCTGTCAAATCTTATTCTTGGTTCGATTTAGACAACATCAACTGATAGGCTGGAACCAAAACTCATTTTATTTTATCTTTTAATATTAAAATTTTTCAAACTGCTATTCAGTTACCTCCGCGGGCCGCACAATTTTCCCTTGCGGGTCGCATTTGGCCCGCGGGCCGCACTTTGCACACCCCTGGTCTAGAATTTTAGTCATATGCAAGTCGTAATTTTAGCAAGAAAACATATTTTGCGAACCATCATTTATTTGCTATCCTAACCCAAAACGTACCCTCAAATCATACAAAGTTTTTATTCAATTATGAGCAATGAGAATTATGCCTCATATCAGTGGATTGCACAAATATATGCAGTGGCGCAGACAGGAGGGGCAGGACAAGAACAGCTTTATGAAATTTTCAGAAGACCGAAAACGTCGCTAGTAGTGTGACTGTCTGTCACAGTGAGTTCGACTGTACACCTGCTGTATCGTACCCCAGGTATGCTTGTACATAACCATATACAAGATCAGAATACCTGATGACGAAGGAGTTCTTTAAGTATAATTCATTACTATCACCTAGTAGGAAATAGTACCACAGGCCACTTGATATAATTCCCTATTCGTGGAGCCAAAAATTTTCTTTTTTTTTACCGGAAGAAAATCAACTTACCAACTTCTAGTTGCATTTTAGGTAAACAACAGATGTAAAATCTTTGATTTGCATGAGGATACGAGCATTGGTCAACTGATGCTTTAATATCATTTTCTACATCTTCTTCATCCTTAATCTCATCAAAAATATTATCCTTTACTTCGGTTGATTTCTCATTTTTGTCAATGTCCTCTATGAAAATACAAATTAGCTATGATTATCAATTTTTTTTTATTCTGGTTGCCTGAATACTATACAGCAACAAAGCCTAATGGTGGATAGACTGAGACAAGGATGGGCTTTACGCTCACAAGCCACATTGAAAATTTCTCACAACCTCGTATAAATTTGAGTCAGTTGATGTTTTTAGTTTGCTATCTAATATATTTTATTGGAAATCTTTAATTTGGGATATTTTACATATTAAATTTCTGGACTAAGATCAGAATGTAAGGCAGAAAATGTTAAAGTATTTATAACTTCAATTTTGGAAGAACGATTTATAGATTTTAACATTATTTAATAACAGTCAAATCTTACACAGGTTATACAAGCATATTATGTATAACCAATAAATAAGTGATATGACGCAGTGAAAAAATCTTAATATAAAAATAATCAAATGACTGGTAGCATTCACTGTTGAGTTCCAATATTTATATATTTTGCTTGTTATAATCACTTTCACTTTGCTGTATTTTTGACAGCATTATCTTGACAGGTCCAAATTTTCATGCCAGCGACATCTTGTATCAAACAATATCCCTGCATTAGGAATAAACATATACATAGTTCTCAATGCATCATATTATGTTTCTTGTAACTCCACTAACGATTTTGTTGAACTCTGATTTAAGGCTTTGGGGTTGGGACATTGTTCTAAGCAAATTTCATAAAAAAAATAGGATATAATAGGCTTGGCGGTGTGGCGCATCGTGCTAAACGTTAGGAATACGGTCGCCACCGCAACTCTGATTACCCTATGTAGGTTCGCATCCCATGCGGGGATGATCATGTGCAAGAGGATTGCTGGACTCCTCGCCACAGTAGGGTGGTTGCTCCCGAAAACCAATAACTGGCTAACTAATCCCATACCCACCCTGGTATCCGGGTGATAGGTCGTGGTTCGCCATATAATTGAGCAGTCATATCTGTTTCCTCTCCCCCGGGATAAATATGTAAATCCTATCCTAAAATTTAGTTAAATGATGAGCAAAATCTCATCCATTTACCTTTCAAGAAATCATGATCTTCTATATTCGACTTGAAATCAGGATTGATAGGGTCTTCCACATCAGATTTTGGTAAATCAGAATAACATTCTTCTTGGTTAGCGGTTTGTTCTTGTTGCTTTTCAAAATGTTCTACCATTGACAGAACATAGGAGCCATTTTCAGGCATGAAACCAGTTTTGTCAGTGGCATTTTGCATCATATCTGCAAAAATTAAGATATTGAGTATGAGGAAATTTTAATACATTCAGCAAAGAAAAACTCAAGTTGATTTAATCAGTGAGTCGATTAGTGAGTGGTTATATTCCTGAGTTAGCACACCGCACTAAGCGGTTGAAAAATGCCAACACTGCATCGTTGATTACCCTATGGCAGTCATAAGATTATGAGCCCATAGGTCGACTCACATAGATGCTAATTATATACTGGATTGCAGCACTTCTCTTGCCAGTGTAGGGAAGTTCACATAACCTATAATCCTAGCTTTATTTACCACCCACGCCCATGCCAAGTGGAACAATTAACTGTCCAACTCCCGATCCGACTCTAAACTAAGTAACGGCCTCTATTTTACATAGTGAATCTGCCCCATTGTATTTCCTCTCTCATAGTTAATTAAGAAACGCCCTTTTTGTCTTTTAAGTGTCATCACTTTCGTAGTATCATGAATTTATCTTCCACTTTTAATAATGTTACAATAATGAATGATTATAACATCTAATAAAGTGGGTAGCTTACCTTGTTGAGGAGTCTTTGATTCAATTTGATCTGGGTTCGGCATCTCACATGATAGGTCATCTACTTCTTCCCTCTTATGTGCAAAATCCTCGTCAATTGTATTTTCACCAGAACTTGGCAATTCAATTTTATCGGCATCCAGCTCTTCGACTGGATAAAGCTGTTGACCGGGTTCTTGAGAATTCATTTCAGCTACGTCTACATTTGGATTAGGAATCTCACAAAGATCAACATCACCAACAACAGCATTGTCAGTATCATCCCTAACCAATTCTAGGTTTTCGTCAATAATGTTGTTTATGTCAATTGAAATACATTCCTGTACTTCTTTAATTTCTTGGTCTTTTATTTCAGGCTTTAAAGGAACTGACACATTCTGCTCTTTACTACCAGTCTCTGAATCAAAATTGCTTTCTGGTTGATTATTTTGATGTGTAAAACTGTCTACAACGTCTATAGATTGTGACGGCATTTCAGTAAGAACAAGACTTTCCATTGCATGTATGATTTCTTCTTCTTGTTTGGCTTCAGCCAGCTCTTGAACATGGTATGAGCTAGGGTTACGAAGATTCTCTTTCTGCATTTTAGTAAGTTCTTCTGGATCTAGTATTTCCGATATGGTATTTCCGATATCATCTTCTGTTTCAATTGTCTGAAAAACTTCTTCAACAACTTGACGAGCCACCTCTTTTAACTTCATTTCAAAAACATCTTGAGATTCAATATTTTGACCTGAAATTAGAACAGTCTTGAATACAAAAACTTTAAAATATTTACGATAACCCGTGGTGAAATAATATTTTTAAGATATTTGCAAATGAAGTGATAGAAGTATATAACATACTTATCAATAAAAAAGCGCTTCATTTAACTATGTTGTCATCACAAGTAACAGATGTTAAAATTCAACCCCATGTTCACCATCCCATATGTAATAATAAATTAATTGAGTGAGCCATGTCCAACTAGGAAGATTGCAATCCTTATTAAAAATATCAGTTGCTCACATATCAATGGCTTGTGCAAGGCTTTGTTCAGAGTGAAAATCATGAAAAAGCAACAATAATTTTTCATATAGTTATAATGTGAAAGCAGCGAGCTGAAATTTCAAGTGTGTTTCCCAGAAAATGTTTTCCTTATATTTTCATACTAGAGACTACCAGAACAATTATTCATTCATTCCAGTGCACAATTAACTTGGAATAAAGTCAATAATATCATTCAAAGCAGTGCTTCCCAACCTATGGATTCTTTTGGGTCGCTTAGTTTTTTCAACATAAAGCTAAAAGTTAGTGATTTAAGTTTTATTGTTTATTTTTTATTTGGTATTGAAGTATAGCACAATGGTAATTGTATATGTGAGAAGTATGACAGCATAGAAAATAGTATGCAGTCATTCATTTTGTTCAAGTAACACCATGCCAAAATTTCAAATAATCGCTAATACATACAAATAATAAGGTTGAAAAAAGGAATAAAAATGATCGTTTTTGTAAAAATGATCGTTTTTTGTTATTAGTAATTTTATTTTGCGGCCATAGAACCATTACAGTAGTTTAGTATTTGAGCATACCTTTGGGCCGCCAGATTTTATAAAATTTGGATCGCTCGAAACAAGTTTGAAACAACTAATCCATGCACTCAGAGGCTACTAAAAGAAAACTGGAATAATAACCTGTTATTTTATTATCATTTTGTTCAGAAGATGTAGCAGTCGCTGGAGTGAGAAGGTTCAATAGTGACGACGAAACACTAGCTTCAGATATTTCTGTTCTTATGTTGGAAATCAAGATATTTTCTATCGAATCTGCAGCCAAAGTTGTCTCTCCTTCGCTGTTATTGATAAAAATGATGTAATTTATTATATCAAAATTTTTTAAGAGAGTTTTACTCATCATAAAAACTGCACCCACTCACAATACAATAGACTCATCTCAAATGCTAGGGAACTAAGGAAAATTTTGTTTATTTAAACATAAATTCAAAAAGGAATTCTGAAACACGGCGTATCAAAATATCTATGTCTGAATAAACATCTTTTTAAAACATTGTGAATGAAATATGCTATACATGAATAGTATGGGAAGTCACTAAAAAAGTAAAACAGAAAATAACTTCTTTGCAACATTTTCAAATCAGTACAAGGGCAAAATTTTGATGATCATGATTAGAAAAACACTTACTCTGGACTTTCAGATGATATAGTACTGCAGTAAATTTTGAAAGATGTCAAATGAGTTTGTTGTTTAACAATAGGTGGATGTTCTGTATATAAAAAAATCAGTTTAAATTTCATCTATGAAAGTTGACTAGAACAAATTTGATACCAAAATTAAATTTCATATTCAATTGCCAATATGATTGGAAAAGTTGATTTACTTAATGCATTTTAAACACTGAAGGAGTTTCAAACTTGCATGCATTTATGCAGCCCAAATAATTGTGCACTAGATACTGGTAAGAATATTAATCATCATTAATATAGAGTTATATTATTATAGAATTTCTGATATTGATAGAATTTGAATGCTATAAATTTTTTTTTCAGGTATTTTTTTGGATTGTCCAGTGCTTTCTACCGGCTGCTACCTTAGAAGTGTTCACTTCATTCTATTCTCATTTTAAGTTTTGGGATTCACTTTGAGTAAAATTGAATGACAAATTAATTCATTATAGTGAACGAAATTTTCAAATTATTACTGTTCCATTCCAGAGTAAGGTAGTCGAAGCAAATTTTTACCCTTAATATAAATCAATTTGTGCACCTCATAACTCTAGTGTTAAAACAAATGTTTTAAATCACCTGCAGATCCAATAAAGGAATCTTCTACATCAGAAACAAATACACTGTCTGAGAGACTCCCAGAAGAATACCTTTCAATAGACGTTCTTATAACTCTCCATGGTACTGCGAGAAGATCGAAATTTGGCATAGAGTGACCCACAGAGTCGGATGAATTCGGAGTTCGCAGAATGGCAGATGGTTGCCTTTTTATACCCTTAGGCATAAGGATTGTAAATGGCCTTCTGGTCTCTCCTCTGTCTAGATCATCAGATTTTTTCAGCCTGCAAACTTGGTTTTCTTTATCTACTCCTAATTTTAAATGTATTTTTTCCGCAACTTGAAGAGTGATGAGAGTTTCAGCAACTGATTTTTCATTCAAAAATACATCGACTTCATAAATATCTTGGCACAAATCAGGATTAAAAACAATCGATACAATATGTACTTCTATGCAATCAGACATGCTTAAGCTTCCCAACAAACTGTCAAGTTTCTTGATAGCAGTGTCAGACCATCCTTCACCGCTTGAATTACAGGGTTGAATTCCCGCAAGAGAGCAATGCATACAGAACGAAGGCCATGATTCCACTTTCTCTCCAATTGGAAAAACGTTTTCAGCTAAAGCGACAAACCTTATACCAGTGTCAATGTCTTTCACTGATATGTTTTCACCATCACAATCTTCAACGATAGCGCGAACCCAGTGATGTACAGGAAATGAGGAATCTGAACATTTGGCAATGCAAAGCATATCTGGCAGTAATTTTTTCAATCGATTTTTAACATCCTTGAATTTACTGGTTGGCTCTAATGTAACAGGTTCTGACATGACTAAAAATGGTCGAACATAGAATTGACCAGGATGCACGACACTTGAAATAATCGCTTCAAACTTATTACCAACTGAAAACATTCCCGTTTCTGTTCCCCCAAATCCAGGATTATTCTTGTTCATATCGAGTTTTAATTTCTTTGCAGGCAAAGAATCATTCTCATTAATTTGCATTAATTCTCCACTGATTCTTTTCAGTCTGTCATTGATTGGACTTTCGTCCTGGGGTTTGATATCAAATCTGGCTTTTTCTTCCTCTGTCAAATGCAAAGCGATGGCATATTTTGATCTAAACATGGCAACATGTAAAGGAGCGAGTGCACTTGGACAGTCTAGGAATAATTCTTCTCCCAAACTGAAAAAGTTGACCAATTTTGAAAAGTGTTCGTTTATCCAGTTCCCAATATCGCTTTTATTGCCTGTTTTGCTTCTTGTTTCAGCAGATGACTTTCGTTCAGTATTTGTTATAAGAATACTCGGTGTTCCGTTTTGTAAAATTGGATCAACCTGAAGAGTGTTCTCATCTGTAGATTCTTCTACATTGTCCTTAAGAAATGAAGTTTTAACAATCCATCGACATAAAGCTTCATCCAGAGATAAAAGATTAATTGCAACAATTTTTCCCAAATCATTTTCCAGATGCAACTTAACAGCCATAGAAGATTTAGTTACACAATTTACAAACAGTTTATCAATGTCTTTTCTTATTTCTGGTGTTACATCAATAAACATGTTTTCACCACTGTCTAATTCAACATTTCTCTTGTTTGATATATCGAAAGCCTTAGCTTTACCATCACATCCTACCCTGATGATTCTAACACATTGCCAGTCACAACCTGCAAATGTTTTGTACATGCATACTGTCCCTGGGTGAAGATCTTCAAATCGAATAGATACATATCCACCATCATCTTTAATTGTTTTCACAAAATTTTTCAATTCCGTAACCAGTTTATGGGTAGAAATATTCAGCAGGAATCCTGTGAAATTTCCAGAGATGTCAATGTCAACCACCTTAGCACACAAAATACATCCAACTTGAAGCTGGTAAGTTTGAGAATTACCTTCCAAACTAGTCTTTGCACTACAGCTTGAAACCAATTTGCCATCGTTTTCCTTCAAAAGTTTTTCACCGATATCAAGTCCTTCAAAATTCAATTTCACAAACCATATTCCAGTTTGAGTTTGCTTGATGAACTCAATCTTTAAGTCCTTGTCCAAAGTTAAATCCAAAAATGAATCTGTTACAGAGTCCCATCCAGTTTGTACTGGTATTACACCATGCAATTTGCATTCTATTGCTTGTATAGGAAAACATTTTAATACGTCAGACATTGGTTTTAGATTATTTGAATCAATAGTAGCAGTATTTCCATAATCAATGAATTGGACAATAAACTTTTCATCACGGATATCCACACATTTAGCACGATACCACTCATCATCATCAGGACTTTTAGCAATACAATATCTTCCAATTCCAACTTCTACAGATTCTTGTGAAGTATTCTGCGCGGTATTCATATAAATTTGATCAAGATCTGAAACGTGTTTGGCTAATTGTACATAAAAATGGCCAGGATCATTACAATGACTGATAAATCCATTTTCAATAGCTCCGGATTCCATAAACAAAGACTCTAAGTCAGAGACTATATTTGGTGTTTTAAGATAAGTTGATGTATCAAAGTCGATGCTTGCAGTTTGAGGAACAAGATTTTCCACAATGACATGATCACCCCTATCAGTGACAATATGGTTTTCCGAATCATGTAAACTAATCGTGTTTTTTGTATTAATTAAGCTATCACCTGCACCTTCCGACATCCTTGAAGCATCAGTTGTAAGATTAATAGTACGATCTTTCAAAGTTTCATTCCATTCTGTATTTAGTGATTTTCCACATGGATATATCAGGTCCACATCGTAAACATTTGACACAAATTTTCCACTGGTTTTTCCAGTTGCAAGATGAAATAATGCCGTTAGCTGAACATCACTGACACGATCAACAAAATCATCAGTGTCATTTGTTGTCCAATAATCGAGTCCAATCATGTTGCGAAGTTTACAAAGGATTGCTTGCACAGGAAGCTTTATGAATTGTATATTCATAGGCTTCAGGTTGCCCAATTTAACTGCTTCAGTGTTGCCATAATCAACAAAATGTATAGTTGCAGATCCCAGAGTTTTATTGTAATCTTGAATCATTCCTCGGTACCAGCCATCGTCAGCAGAGTACTTAGCTAAGCATGGAGTACTAGTTTGAAATTCTGTTAGTTTGGTTGAATTAGTATTACAGAAAACGTCAATTTCACTCATAATTTTATCTAAATCCGGAGCATTAGATGAGAGTTGAATCCATATCCGCTGTGGGTTATCTATCTGAGCAACATAAACCTTTGTCTGTATGTTGGTTTTTACATCAATTTTCGTATACTGCAGTGATGCTTCAGCAGATGGTTCAGTTCTAGCAAAAAATTCCAAAAACTTAGTCCTCTTTTGATTTGTATCAACTATAGTGAGATCAACAAGAAAAGTCAATGATTCTATCTTGACACACTCAGCAGAAATGGAAGAATTTTCATCGCCAGCCAAACTTTCAAGTTTTGCTGTCAGCACCTCCTTGTCGATGCCAACTGGATGTTTGACATTGCATTTAATTGCTTGCTCTGGAAGAATTGTAAACTCTTTTGGTAAATGACGAAAATCCTCTATTTTCACAAATCCTTCATTTCCATAATCAGTGTAAATCACATGAATTGAATCAGGTTTTTTAAGATCAGGAAGGGATAAAAGATTTGCACGATAGTATTGTTTATCCTCATTGAATTTTGCTGCATAGCTAATATCAAGGCGCAGTTGCCTGTTTGCCACATTTTTCATAACAAGAGATGAATCATTCAGTTTATTCATCAAGGTATTCAGAGCAGCTTCAGATTCAACAGGCTGAAGATATACTTGATTTATTGATTCTACATGACTTATATAAACTTTGCGAGCAGTACCCTGTGGCCATGAATTAATTTTCTTCGTTTTGACATATTCTGAACATCCACTTGCTTGGCTTGATGGGACTTTAACACATTTGGCGAAATTGTTCTCAACAAGCATATGGGCCACATTCTGGCCTTCAATCTTTATATCAATAGCCCAGGTTCGATTAGTAACATCATAAGCATTGAAGCGAATTCGGCAATTAACATATTGAACTGTACGCAAAAAGAACTCTGTACTTTCAGGGTCCCAGGACTTTCCTACTGGTAGCACATTGGCAAGTTGACATTTTATAGTCAATCTGGGCCAATGCAGCATACCAGGGACAAGTCTCTTGATGTTGTCTTCTATCGATACAAATTCCTGCTCTCCGATGTCAACAAACTCCACAAGAGCTTCATCAGGTTCCTTTGAAACACAGTCAATAACAATACCCCTACACCATCGCAAAGTCAAAGGATGTTTTGCACAAATTACATTTCCATTTTGAATATGCTGCACAGAATAATCTTGTCTTCGCACTGCAGTATAAAAGCCATCAACTTCCGACATACATTCTTTAAACTGCTCCTCATATTCAGCAAGTCGAACATGGATATAGTTGGGATTTTTCACCTGTGATATATATACTGAATGAACAGTTTTAGGTTCGATTGCAGGTATATCTTTGAATTTTCCTTTCAGAGATGGTTCTCTTCTGAATTTCTCATCTTTTGCTGGTAAAGTAATCGGACTCACATTCCCAGTTATAATCATTTCATTGAGTCTCTGTTGATTCACAAAAAAGTCCAGATGTAATCTACCATTTGTACTTCCGGTAACAATCCCGGAAAGCTGCCTCCTTTCCAATTTTTCCTTCATTCTGATGAATATATCATTAGATATTGCCAAATCAGAGTTTGAAGTGATTATCTCAGATAAGCAGCATGCTAAGGCAAATATCGATACATCAGAGAGACCAGAATCTTTCTCACATAAGATAATATTTGACAAAGGAGTCACAAATATGTTACCATAGTCAACAAATATAACCTCAGCTACAGTGTCTTTGGGCGAATGTATTGAATTTGAATTATAATGAGCTCTGTACCATTTGCCATCTTCGTAAAGAACCAAACAAAGAGGAGAAAACTCCAAATCCTTGACAGTAACAATCTTTTTCTGTTTATACTTCGAACAGTAATTTTGAACTCTATCCATAAAGCCATCTATTTCCTCAAATTTACTCGAGAGTTGGCAATAAAATAGGTCAGATCTTTCAACATGCGTGACATAGAATTGATCTTCTTTTCCTATTCCTGCTCCGAGACTTGAATAAACAAATGACTTCAATGCAAAGGGAGGAAACATGTTTCCTATTGGATCTAACATTGTACAGTTTGCAGATTTTACAAGATCGGACGCAATATCTTGAAAAGGTGTTTGGAATTTAACCATGAAAAACTGAGAAACGCCGTCCGTTACACAACCATATATAGTACAAACAAGATCTCTCTTGTTTTCCTTGCAAAACTTGGAAAATAGCAAAAGAGCTTTACTCGACCAAAACTCATTTTCAGGTTCTAATATTCCATGTAATGTGCAACGTATTGCAACAGGTGGTATACATGTTATGTGTATAGGTGATATGGACTTGAGGCAATCAATCGGAACTTGTTTTTTCTCACCATAGTCAACCAAAAATACGACTGGATTTTGTGGATCATCATTTGACACCACAGCAGCCCTGAAGCAATCAGATCTCAAAACGCATACACAAGGCATTCCCACGTACATGTTGGTTTGAATAGGTGAGTCTAATTGAGCATAAGGTCTCAATTCTCTTCTGAGTTTAGCATATGTTACTTTGACTTCTGAATTAGCTGGTAAAACAAAGAAATCATTTGGCACTGCTGGTTCACATACAATGACGGGGAACTGAGCGCCAATGAGAGAAATGCCTGGATGACCGAAGAATACATGTGCAGATTGAGGTAGGACTTGGGGTGATGGAATTCTCAATGGTGTCTCACCTTCCAATTCCGCATTTGAATCAGCCCATGACGCCAGTCCTTTAGATACTAATCTGCTGCCCAGAAGAATATTCTCATCTTTGGTTGAAACAAGAATTGAAGCTGCATACACATTCATTTTCAGGTCTACAAATTTTGCACTGACCCCTGTTTTTGCCACAAACTCTTTCAGGTATCTCACACTTCCATTACACCACTTTTGACTGTTTGGTCTAAGATTATGGATGCAACAACAAACTGCTTGACAAGGTAGAGATAAAAAGTCAGGCATTAAGGTCTTTGCATCCGATAAATGAGCAGATTCCACATATCCAAAATCAAAAAACTTCACTTCTATCACATCATCATACATGAATGCTATTTCCCCTCTGCACCAATTCTTTGTCTTGGACGATTTCATGCAACATATCTGTCCTGGATATATATTCTCAAGAATTAGAGCGTGATTAGGCAGCTCATTGTAATAAGCATTAAGCCTTCCAGTTAGAACAATCAAATTAGCCTGGTAATCCAAAAGCTGAACCCATATGCACCCAGGGTTTTCCACAGAAGTTATCCGAATGGGAACTTCGACATTGAGGGGCACATTCAGGAGTTGAACTTTGACATCTGAACCAGTTGCTTTTGCTTTGAAATGGCCAGCTATATCATGAAGAGCAACGAAGTACAAATCTTTTTCAACATCATAATCAGTGAAAACACCAGCAAATGATTTATTTTTACCTTGCTGCAATAACATCCGCCATTGATCTACAGGTAATGGGACTCCACTCATTGATAGTATAGAAGTGAGTGTAAATCTGAGTGCAAAAACAGGCAATTTCAGTAGACCCTCACTAATGATTTTGACACTGTTTTTCAAAACAATTTCTGTTCTTCCACAATCAACATAAAGTACTTTGCATTCGTTTGGACCAGTGATAGATAGTAGTTTAGACCGATACCACATACCATCCTTTGGATCTTGAGTTACACACGGACCACCATAATCTGATTGTGCGGGGTTCAAGTCGTACGTTCCTTCTATCACACTATTGTACATTTCGTTTATTTCATTTGTTAAATTTTGTAAATCTGCATGACTTTCTGTTAAAACACACCAAAGCGATTTGAGATTGTTTGTCTCTCTGAGAATGATATCCTTTTTTGCACCTATTGTTAGAGTATGATGTTTGTAAATGTTTGCATCCTTCGGCAATATTGTCATTGGATATAATTGCGTGGATCTTTCAAGATCTGGAGATGTAGTTCTTAGGCCAACAATGCTACCGTTGTGATAAAGGCAGACTGCATAAGGCTCGATATCTACATTGACAAACTCAACAACAACTTCCTGATCTCTGAGTACAGACAGTGCATGAATCAAATCATTATTGTCAAGATTTGATGACAACAAACAATGAATCCCTTGTATTGGCATTTTACGGAATTGATCGCTAAGTTCCAAAATCGAAGTAACGTCACAAGTTTGTGTGTTGCCATAGTCGACGAAGCGCACAGTTGCAATGTTATCAGACAACTTCAGTATGCATGCTCGGTACCAATTTCCATCTTCTAAGTATGGCGCACAGCACAAATTTCCTATAGAAGGGCATTTCAAGACTGGAACTGTTCCACTCGAACATTCTTTATACAGAGAATTCAGCTGCTCACTCAGAAGATCATCACTTAAAACATTATAGCAGAAAAATGTACCATCTGTTTCCAACCAAGTCATAAGCATATTGGCTTTTTCCCCAACATGATAAGTTTTATGATTAGGTACATTTTGATTTACAATTTTTGATGATGAGAGACCATTTTCTATCAAATGTTCCGCAAAGTCTTTTCCAGTGGCATGGTCATGCATGTCCACGAGCAAGGTGTGAGCAGTCAAACATTGTTTCACTGTCACAGAAAAGATCTTATCCTCAGCAAAAGTGGTGATCGTTTCACAGATTTTATCCATTGCAAAAGATGTTGAGAAGACAATTCCATCAAATTTGCAGTCTATTGCCTGATAAGGTAAACTGCATAGGTTGTCAGGTAATTTAAACAAATTATTGATGGATTTTTCTTCTACGCCACCATAGTCTATAAAATAAATAAAGCATTTGTCTCGATCAATCTTTCTAACCTGACCCCTATAGAACCCTCCATCAACACTATATACAGCACAAACTAAAGACCCAATAGAAATTGATTCTGGCTGTAGTACCAAGTCAGTGAGTGTTGCAGATGTATAAAACGTGGCAATATCGTCCATCAATGCATTCAAATCTTTTTCAGTTGCTTTTAGCTGAATTTGTATGTGTCCTTCTGCAGAGGAGTGAACTACATAAGCATCAAATTTACTTCCGACAGAGCATAAATTGAATGGATACTGCTGTTCATCATCAATAAGCTTTTTATTTCTCAGAAATGCATCAATAGACTGGCATAATATTGAACCATCGATGTCGACACTTTCTTCAATTTCAATTTCTGAATAAAGATATTCTTCCTGAATGACAGATGGGATAATCGGTGTCCACAATGCAGCAGATTTAACGGATGTTCCAGCGATACAAAGCTTGAATACACAAGACTTCCGATCTATTTTTTGAAAGTGTTCAGGTAGTTGCCATAGGTCTTCGATCTTTGTTCTTTGAATGTTTCCGTAATCAATGAATTCCACTAAATATGAGTCGCTGGCCTTAGAAATTAATTTTCCTCGATACAATTGTCCATCCTCAGCAAACAAAGCTAAACATGGGTTTCCTAAACAAATATAATGGTAAATATGCATATGATAAATAATGCTGTTTCTTTGTCAGTAGCAGCAAGTTTCAAATGAAAAGTAGTGAAAATTTTCAATCATGAAACATCTCTATTAAATTGATTAGGACAGCAATTCCCAAACTTTTTGTTTGTGAGGCACCAAATTATCAGAGAAAATCTCACGGCACACCTGAACGAAAAAAAAAATGTTGCTTTCGAAACTCAATTTTACTATATTTTTTTTATCTACTAAGTAAGTCTATATTTTACTATATTTTTTTATCTACTAAGTAAGTCTTGGGTGTAACTTTTGTGCAATTTTTTACATATTCAATAAAGCAACTGATTGGACAATGAAACAAAACATGTAGCTGAAAATGTGAAAATAAATTGCATCCAACAACATGCAAAATTTCTGGAATTGTCCTGTAGTGTCACTTGGAATAGCCCATAAGTATTCTCATAAATGATAGGTTATATCATTTTATTCAATACTTATTTTGAAAAAAGCCATCCACGCTTACAGTTTGAGTCAGTCAGATTAAGTGGAATTATTGTGCGAAATTTTTCTCAAATTGTACCAGGAAATTATTATTTGACTAGTAGAATTACCATTATTGCCAACTTATTTAATCATATTTTGAACTTAAAATAGAATTCAGGATTTACGCAATGATTTTGCAGGGTTTTTATTCACTATTTAATACGAAAATAAAATCGTCGAAAATAATATCGTCTTCATAAATATCCGCATTCCGGCGTCAGAAATTATAATATTTTTAGCTTAAAATTGGGACAGGTAATTTACAACAAGTGACAAGAAAGATCAGAGCGGTTAAAAATCGGAATGAAATCCCGAATTCAACCCGATATTCGACAATTCGTCAAAATTATTCGATTCGATGAAAATATACTATTTTTTCCCTTTTGCGATCTGTAATCACGGCAGTAATCTGGCGAATCGTGTGGTAGTCCAAACACTGATGCAATGAAACATAAAACCTTCATAAGTTTAGTAAATTGCACTACTTCATGAAAGCGTTGTGGAATTGATTATTATTTCTTATCTCGAACACAAAAACGGTTATCTTTTTCGGGTAGTTTTGGCGGCCTGAAAAGTCAAATAAGTGTTTCGACCTAGTAAATGCTATGATCTTTGCCATCAAATTATGCTCGGGCCTTGCATGAAAATCATAACGTGAAACGATACTTCCAGCGATGAAAATTGTTTATAACAACTTTAAACCTATTTAGTGTTTTAAGCGATAATAATTAATTGTTGTAATGAAATACAGTTTGTTCGTCACTTCCACTTCTCTCACAAGTGCCGACAATAACACTATTGAATGATTTTGGCAATGGGAGGAACATATTAAATTATAACAAAAATGAATTAGGTTGTGAAAAAGTCAGAATACATGTGATAATAATAAGAGCGTAACGTGGAAGCCCGTAATTGGCAGTGCGTTTGAAGACCACGTATCACCCTGGCCCCGAAGACGCTCTCGTTTACATTAATATAAGAAAGCAGTTGTAATATTGGTAGCTATTAAGCATTTTTTCGTGTTCGACTATCGCACTCTTTATGAGTAAAAAATGTTCGTGTTTTGTGATAGGTGTGCCGCGAATATTTAAAGAGCTAAATAGTGTGCCGCGATATAAAAAAGGTTGGGAACCACTGAATTAGATGTCTTGCATCCTTGAACAAATAATGAATGACCTGAGTCCCGTATATATAGCAAAGTTACAAATGCATACAATCAGTTTTCATATTCATTATTTGTTTATGATTTTTTATGATTTATAAAATTCTTACCAAGCTCTGCATTGGTGATGGGCTTGAATGAGGCAGTTTCAGATTTTATGCTTTCCATTAGGTTATTGATTTCATCTTCATCCTTCGAATATTGTCCGCAAATGAGAAGACTCCCATCTGTTTCAGAAAATAACGATTTGTATTTCCTCTGTGCATGTGGACATTGCTAGTATAACTCCCCGCTCTAGTCTAGTAGTATTCAGAAAAGGATTGATATGCACCACTCATCAGCGACCAAATCTAATTAAGGACTTATCCCGGCTCAAAATTAATAATTTCCGAATAGTTTTTTATTGATAATCGAATATAGATATTCACAACATTACTGACAATAAAAGCGATTCCAGAACTTATTTAATACTGTATGTATGTCCTAAATCAATCTTGCCTGAGTAACTTCTTTACACATATGATTTTTGCACTTAACATTAATTAACAAAAATTTCCAAAGCGAGAACTCACCTTCAGATATTCTGGAATCAGTCAAAAATATTTTGCTTGATTTTACATTTCTACTCATCTTTATTTGTTTGTATATCTTTCAGAAATTAGCTCTTTTGTTCCTAAAACCCTGGTAAAGCAAAGTTCAGGATACAAAAGACTAGATTGAAACAAAATTACTGAATGATCTATTACGAATGCTTAAAGTTATATCTCTATTTTCAAATACCAAGCTATACAACCAATGTCAATCTGGAAATGTGTAGATTTTATAAATTTAGTAGGCCTATTACTTATATTTTTATAAATACAAATTCTTTGATTTATTAGTAATCTAACAGTTTTTGGGTCCTGATCCAGAATGTTCACAATGTATTAAATTTCTTGACACATACAAAATTTAGTTATTCAAATATTGGAATTGCTCGACTTTAGAAGGAATTTAGCACGACTTTATTTTGAGACATGTTATTTTGACACAAGTCTATGTGAAAAGATAACTTTTGATAAGTGTAGAAGATTGTTAACTATCTATCTATTATTGAGAACTTATAAATGGATCAGTAATCAAAGTTTTTTTTACCAAAATATAAAAATATTATATTGTCAAGTTTGTGGTTTAGACAGGAAAAAAATTGAATACATACATACGTGAGAAAAATGCAGAAAAACCTATTTGTCTGCTATGTTGAAATGATTCACTCAGCATTCAAGAGTCATTTTACAGTCTTTAATTGTAATACTAATGAAGTGCATGCACCATGAATAATATAATTACCATAGAGAACAAGAGACAAAAAACAAGAGACAAGAATATTAGGCCCAGAAAATATATCTAAATACTTGCAATTTATTAAGAACTAACACCACAGCGAACTGAGCATATCAGGCGATAGTTAACCTGGGATGATAACATCGATTCAGATATGGGTAAATTATAACATATTTGAAAAATATTAAAAATAAAAGAAGACTATACTATGATTTCTTTGAGTTTGAAAATGTGGTGCTTTTAAGATTGTTACCCTTAGTTTGCTAACTTTAACCCAGGGATGGGCAATTACTTTTCTGTGTCAGTGCGGGCCAGTTACAGATAATAGACTTGGTTAATGGGCCGGAGGCTTGAACCTCAATATGAAAAATTATGAATAAAAAACAGTCTATTTACAAGAGCTAGTCCAACAACGTTTATACAATAATAATCGGGGACATTATGGCATTATTTTCATCAATATTTCCAATGCAAATTTTTATGCATAAAATATAGTCATAATTTCAGCTGACACAGGTTGGCCAGATGAAACACTTTGGGGGGCCAGATCCAACCTGCAGGCCGTAATACATGGGTCCTGTTTTATTTCAGTATTTTGGGTCACACTATAAAAATTTCTGAATTCAGTAATTTCAATCTATAAAGGATTTTGTCAACTAAATATTGCAAGTCCAAATACCACATAGTATAATTATTATTTAATGAATTGTTAAATAACTTCCTTAGTTACTGCAATCAATTATAAAATAAAAAAAATGGGTAAATGAAAACTTATATTCATACAGAAATTATCATTCATGATGACTGTACAAAAGGAAAATATGATTAGAAAATTGGATTTCAGGATTTAGATTCAAAATCATTAGGCAATAATACAATTTTACAGTTATTGAATATGCAAGTTTGCATAAAAATAAAAACTGAGTTCATGAAGTTAGTTCAGTATTTGGATCTGATTACTGGGTCAACTTTTCCATATACCACTCTGGCATTTTACCTCAACCAAATGTGAGAACCAAGAGCTAGTGTCTGATTTAGGGTGCGGATGGAAGCTGAATTAATATGGTGATAATAAATTACGGGATGAGGCTATACTACACGACGATCGAAGGTGGCCCAATAATACCAGCACTAGTGTAGTATATTCACATGGGGTTATTAAGATTGATCCTGCCACAATGATTCCTACAAGTCTGTAAGTGGTAGAGTAAAAATCATAATAAATAAAGATGACTAAGCCACTAACAGCAATTGTATTTGTAATACAGTAATAGGTCTATTTCTTTATAGATCAATGTGGGTAATATAAAAAACACAAAAAAATATGAGCAAAGTCAAGTACCAGTCAATTCAATACAGTAATAATAACCCAACTTGAACTCCTTACTCCACTTGCAGACTTGGTCTTCGGTAAAATTGCCAAAAATCCAAATGAGGTTTATTCAGTTATATATATCATACCACCCTAACATACTATATATCTTGTGTACTTACTGCACATGCCCACATCCCTAGTGTCACAAACTTGCTTGAAGTCGGACTGAAGAGCACCTTTCAGTGTCTTTGACTTGTCGAATATCGTATTCTGTGGTAGTCTACGTAACGGGGTGAGATACGGTGTCCTATTTTACGGTATTTACTTTTATGTGTAAAACCATTTCAAGTTTTGGCAACTATTTTTTAACTTTTGAAGATTTTGAAATTCCCGCATTTATTATTTAACATAATTTCACAACTACAAACCCACAAGAAACTAAGAGTGAGTTAGCGCGGTACCGTAATTCCAAACAGAAAACTGCTAATCGCGTGGCACGGTATGCACATGTAGCGTTGGCGCACTGAAAAGACTATGGCGCAAAAACTATATTCAGATATTTCCACTGAGGTGTATGGATATTTCCTTGTCAAGTGCGGAATCGAAGGAATGAACTGATTAGTTCAAGCCATGCGTTGCGAAGGAATCACTTTGCTGACGCGGCGTTAATTGCTGCTCTTCAATCAATCCTATATTTTGGTTCTCTGACATAAACAATACATAAAGTAAACAGACAAAACAAAATGCAGAGATACCTGGGAGACGGGCATAACTTGAAAAAAGTTAAAAAGCGTACAATGTACGTGCCCGCCCACCAAAAAAGAATAAAACAAACACAGATAAAACGCGATCTACAATCGGGCAGTACTTTGAAAGCAATTTAACATAAACAGCGAATTGAAGTGAATAATTGAATGCAATAAACTTCTACCTTTTAAATTAAAATGTGAGACGAGTATGTGTAACACAATAGTGCTTTTCCTACAAAAACATGGAACAAAAAAACACTCCCCGACGCAAAACGGTGATGCTGAAGGACTAGTTCAATTTCATTGCAAAAACAGCACAGTGACAAAAAATTGTTACTAAAAAAACAAGCTTGATTTGTTTTATAGACGAGAGTTACGGTATGACTGACGCACTGAAAAGGGCATGCCTCTAAATACTAAATTCGGATGTTTTAGGAGCATTGCACTGACAAGGGAGAAATCGAAGGAAAGAGGTTAAATAACCGACTAGACCAGGGATGGGCAACCTTTTTCGTCTCGCGTGCCAAAATCGGCTAACTTTAACGATAAAATTCTTCCGCGTGCCGACCAAAATGAATAACAATGCTTTGTTAATTTCAAAGCAAAATACACAATAATAAACCTTTTAAACATGTACAGACAGATTCACTATTCGGGAAAATATCGGTCCGACAAAGGTTACTTTTCTAATTCCATATTAGTGAGACTTCTGCTGCTGCATTACCGCAGATAGACGTTTTACATTGGGTTTATATTTTGTAACTTTTTGCTTTTACCCAACGGCTAACATACCGCTTCTACCGAAATATTCGAACTACTGGTTTCATCGATCATGCTACTCCTGTTAAGAGACTTAATAAAGTTCATAACTGAGAAAAGAGATTCACAAGCATATGTAGATGAAAACCGGGAGAGTTTTTAAGCCACAAAAAATTACGGTGAGGCATAACAATCACACGCAACAGTTCGTTTTCTGCACTCCTCTCTTGTATTCCCTCCCCTAATCGCTTATATTTATTTCGTAATCAATTTATAACAGTGAGTTAGCAAGTAACTATAGCCAACATGAGCTGTGCAACTTTATAAGTCAAGCAGAAATGACGAAAAAGTGTGACACAGACGAACTATATTGCGTAATGTAGCCAAATGAATGCTGCGCTCTTCCGACAAAATTTCGCCAGAGCTCACTCATTTGTTACGTCAAAATATAATTCTTTGTAGCCATATGACATGAAAGGACAAAAAGAGTTTAAGTAAATAATAGATTGTTAACAAACAATAATGAGTAAGCGAGCACCTAGTTTTATCAGATAGTTCAGAGTCTTGAATTTTTTTTATCTGAAGGAGAATGATCTCGTTTCCAAGGCCTCGCTCGCGTGCCGAATAAATGGGCTCGCGTGCCAAGTTTGGCACGCGTGCCAGGGGTTTCCCACCCCTGGACTGGTCCGTGCCAGGCGCTGAGAACAACTTCGCTGAAGCGTCGTTAATTGCTGCTGATCGAGGGCTTGCTTTGTAAACGATCTATGTCCTATACTAGCAGTGGTTCCCAAACTGTCGCCAACCCACATTAGTCCATTAGCCGCTTCACAAAGTATATTGTTAATGCTGAATATATTTTGCTCTTTATAACTAACAAGAAAGCTATGCTCAAATATATGGACACGAAATCCATGAGGGAATGTTTTACCAACATTTCCACGAAAATCACAAGGTTTTTTGTGTCCCATGGAAAATACAAATGTGTGCTGTAACGTCCCATGGGAATCCTATTCCCATGGACAAGCCTGCCTATGGGACTCACCTACCAAAGCGAGCATTCCAGCATTGCCGTGTTGCACATTGTCACCGAAGTCGGCTAGAAAAGTTCCCACGTACGGGTTAAACGTGGGTTTTCCAATCCATGGCACAGCGGACGTGTCATCTTTAGCCCAATCTCACAAAACTAGAAGACAACTGCGAATCCAAAACAAAAAGCAGGAACGCACAATGTGAACAGCCAATTATGTGTCACGATTCACCAATGTAATTTTTAACCTGGTGGAATAACTCTTTCCATTTGCGCCTCACTTTAAAAACTTTGCCGAACACTGCTCTTAGCCAAAGCCCGAAAATATGAAATTCAGTCCCGAAATCCCTACCCTATCTTGTAATCAAACAGAAATTACTTGGGAACTCCTGATCTAAGTCTATTACTGGGCGCACTGCAAAAATAGATCTTTCGAGATAACGCCTTGTAAATTGTCATTAACAGCCTATTTTGGCCCATCAAATTCTAATCGATGAAAGCACAACAATATCCAACTCAGTGTGACTTTTTATCTTCTGCAATGATGATGTATGTACACTTTGCAAACAAACTGAATTCTATATCGTCTTTAAACCAGCGGGAGCACAAGCAAACTGCTCATTCATCATTTTGAACGACCCGAATTGTCTTCTATGTTTATTTCTTGAAGAAAAAGTCGCGTAAGCAATGATTTGACGATTTTAAGCTTTTCATTTTCTTTAGTCATTTTTCTCATCATGAAAGGAACCACAACCCACAAAAGTTTGGTGTTTGTACGAACATATCATGGTAAAATCAATAGTTAGGTAATGCTAAATTCGATGAAAAAACGTTTCATCGTGTAGATACCAGCTCTGTGTAAAATATCAAAAATTTATTGCTTGTTGCCGAAGATCGTGCTGACACCGAGGTAAAAATTGTCCAGACATGATTAGCCGATAAGACAGCTTTACCACATTGGTTATAAAAGTGAAAGCTGTGTCTCCCTACCGTTTTTCGAAACACCTATCAAGTCCAAATTTCGACCTGTGTGGCACATTCTGTTACGTTTAATACATAAGTTCATGCTTAAAATTAATCTATTCAAAAATTGTAGTCGAATACAATATTAAACTTTAGGGACCCCAACTTCCCGGATTTGAACTTATTTTTCTCTATCCAATCGCATGATTAACTTTACTGAATTTAAAAAGGCAATTGTTCTAAACATTTTCTATCCTGAATTTTTTTTTTCCAAGTTTGTACACTATGCTGTTCACATTACTTACACATTGGAAAGGCGGTAATTATCTCGTACCACTTTATTCCTGACATATGTTCAATCATCGTAGGCGCCGCTAATTATCCTCCTTCAAACGGTTTCAATATATAATCTAATTCTCCTTTAATTTGACTGCACGCGCACCTCATCTTCAACCTCCTCTTTGTGCCTATTCTAGGATTCTTCGAACCCGTTAAAGGTTTACTTTATTATATATAGGCCAACATATGAAAACAAGCCCCGAACTTGTGACCCCAGCATGCTGCGTGGGTTAAAAGACTTAGGCACGAAGCCATGAATCATGAAAGTTTGATAACCTCTAAATTAGGGAATACTCCCTTCTCCTTTACCAATTTTATGTCTAATTTCCAAATCGCTATTCTTAACCAGGGTATCTTAGGCTCCTCACTGGTGGATTTCACATTTTTAACTTGATTGATTCAAAACTCTTCAAAAATCAAGCTGATAAGCATCCTATATTATTGGAACTTTGATAAATAAAAAATTCACAACCATTTAAGATATCATTTTCTCTACTATCAAAGTTTAACTGTGATGGAATTATTGCAATAAGGGCATTCGCCAAACAGTGTTTGAAAACTTTGCTTTGCTCCAGGAACACTTTGTATCCACTCAACAAGACAAACTTTGTGAAAGAGCTGTCCACATCTTGGTTCATTACACGCCTAAAATAAAAAAACATCAATAGGATAAGATTTTACATATTTATCCCAGGGGAGAGGAGAGGAAAGTCGATAAGAAGGCTCAATCATATGTTGAACCACAGCTTCTCATCTGGTTACCGGTCCATATAGGGTATGGGATCAGTTGGCCAGGTGTTTACCTCAGATGCATGGTCGTAAGCTGACCAGCAGTTACATGAACCACTGTCGTAATACAGCAATCCACTCGTACATATCATTACCAACAGTATTCGAACCTGCGGTGCGGTGGCGTCGGCGAGCATATTATTATCGTGGTGCCCCACTCAACCAAGCCCAAGTCGGCAAGTCTGCCTATTTTTTGATCAGCAGTCAAGGTAAAATCCATTGACAATATATTAATTTTTAGACCTAATGGTGACAGTATGACTTTTTTAAATACTTTTCAATCAATTGGACTAAACATTTACAGTTCACATGGCATATTTTAAATGAAAAACTCACCTGATCAGGTAAAATCCATTGACAATATATTGATTTTTAGATATAATGGTGACAGTATGACTTTTTTAAATACTTTTCAACCAATTGGACTAAACATTTACAGTTCACGTGGAATATTTTAAATGAAAAACTCACCTGATCAGGAATATTGTTCACCAGTTTATACTCGTAACAAATTCCACACTGAAGAGTGACATCAAATGCTTGATTTTTGCTCTTTCGTGGGAAATCAATTTGAAGAATATTTTTCAAATTCTATGAAATGACATGTTATGTAGATAATTCTAAACCAATTATTAAAACTTTAACAAGTATATTAATAAGATGTCATAATTTCTTAATTTATTATTAACTTGTTATTTTATGATATACAAGTTACAGATGTCATTATCTATTTAGCAATATGTCTACTACAGCCTGTAGTGCATAGTGCACATGAGATAATAAAAATGCATAAGCACTGACTTGGAGTATTGACAATGTTCCATTCCAATCTTGTATATTTTTCATAAATTTTTGTCTAATTGGCATAAGAGAAGCTTCTGCTCCCATGAATCGGCATTCTGGAATATTTTCTGGATGAACTGGATCAATGGTGATTAATATGGAACTGCTAGCACCTACGAGTAAATAAAGTATTTATGATCAATCTCAAAAAACATATTTTGTTCAAAACATCCACAACAAAAGAAAATTAATAAATCAAATGAAAAGCCAAAAAAGGCATCAACAACAACTGGCATATTCCTTTTAAAATTTCGATTTTCAGTCAACTATTAAAATGAGGTCTCACTGCAATGGAAGACACAATAATTTTTTGGAATTGACCCATTGTTATCAAGTCTTTAACGGAAATAGGTGACATCTGATTGGGAAGGAAAAAAATTCACCTGTTGTAAATCGTATCTGTCATTAATAAGAAGAATGGTCAGAAACTTCATTCTTTTTATACACATTCACAACTTACCAAAATATATTCTATAATCTTTCACTCTATAGCTTGGTTTGTCTGGCTCAAGAATCCAACATTTTTGTTGTAATTCCTCAACTTCGTCCCAGAATCGTTGATAAATCGGCAATACTTCAATAAATTGTTGATAAATTGACTTTAAACTGGAGAATATTCCACCCCATTGAGGTCGGAAAGGGTATGGTAGGTCAGATGTTACTTCAGGACATTGTTTTGGAAAATCAGAAGGATGTAATACCAGTTCATGCTCTCTGCCAGCTACATCTCTAGCTGAGAGTGTGATACGAGTAAAATCATTATTTACATCTTTTATAGCTGACCAACCAACATCCTGTAAGAAATAGTGTTACAAAATTTATATTTATAATAGTATTGAAATTTTCCACAAACCAATGTTTTCTAATTATTGTTGTTAAACTGAACATTTGGCAAGCTTTAGGATGTAATTTCTAATGAACACCTATTAAATTACTTATAAGCAAATAATTTACCATTCTTGCTTCAAGGCTAAGCAGGGTAGCATAGCAGTGCAGGAAAACTGCTAATGTTGGATGCATTACAACACATTTGAAGATGAATAAAAATGAAATTGCGCTTATTACAAAATCACTGTTTTTTTAGCAGAACTTTCTTTGACATAAATACCAAACTATTGGCCAAATGCCAATTTGTAACAACCTTAAACTGAGAAAGTTTGAATAGAATTTCAATGGTATTCTTAAAAGATGTTTTTCAAAAGGTCAGATAAACACACCCACTGTAAATATGGTATATACCTCAATATGCTTGACAAGTGTGGTAGTGTATTCAACTGACAGAACTTCTTTTAATGGTTCTGTCACTCTACAGAGAAGATTTTGTAACAGCTTTGCAAATTCCTAAAAATAAAGATTGCAATTTTAGCTGGTCCATGTCATCATGTTGGTTGAACAGATATGAAATTTTGTTAATTAGTTTGAACTATTGGTGCATACCTGAGGGGTTTTAGATTTCTTCAAACTATTCTTGATATCATCAGAATAATCTTTCAGTCTTTGTTGCAACTTGTATTCACATTTGACCCTAAATTATGAAGACAAATAATATAGAAACAACTCATATTGGGAAGCGCTTCGTAGAATTTGAAATTGACCCAAGCCACAAACCAAAAGAATATCAAAGAGTATCTAATCATGCTTGCCACTGTCTCTATGCTTCCCATGCTCTCCCCTTTAAATAATGAAGTCTGTAATAACAGTGACCAATGATATTCGACAAGTTTGATTGCAACAAACAGGAATTGTGGTGGCTAAAACTGAATAATCTACATTATATTCTTTGAATATATTCTGAATCGGCTCATGTACAACAAAAAGCACATAGCAATCAATGTACATTCATTGAGTTTGAACTTCGAAATTAAGAATAGGTAAAATAAGCACTGATTTTATTGGTTTATTTTTCGGTTTATGGAAATCAAATGAAGGCCCTTTTGGTCATACTACAGCACTAGGAGTCTTCAATTGCTGATTTTTCTTGTGAAACTATACAAAATTATTTCAATGTCAAAAATTTAAAACAACTACATAATCAAATTTGTTTTGTACATCTTGGCCTTTAGTGGTATCATTGTGATACATAAATAAGGTTATAAAATCAATCAATAGTAAGCTGTACTCGTTATAATATACCACTCATATCTGCTACTTTTTATGCTATTCAGTACTGCATTGAAACAAAATTATTACCTCGCGTTCTGAAATGGCTTTGTAAACATAAGTTCAATGTAATATTCAACACCGTTAGCTTCAATAAATCCATGATGATGTGTTTCATTACAGTTGGATGGGAACAGCAATATATCACTAAACTTGTTTTTCTTTGACTCAGAAAAATTCATCTTACACAAGTCACTGTAGAAATTTATTTACAATCACAATATTAAACAAAAAAGAAATTCAGTTACACACTTGTGAATTGTGATCAAGTACGAAATAAAAAATACACCGTAAGAAAGTAATGGTGGAAACTTTTTGGGTAAACAAAATAACAAACAATACAATGATTAACGAAATAGAAAATATTTTGAAACTTGATTGAAATTTTATTGATGAAAGCATACTCAATCAGAAAATTTGATTATGTAAGATATTCAATTTTGCAGCAGCATAAATTGTCTAATCAATGAAAATAGATAAAGAAAATTACCATCACAAAATAAGTGTGTTAGTAAGCCAGATCAAAACCAGATTTAAGTTCTCTCACACCATTACTAAAATGTAATGGATGAAATGAATTCGATTATGATACTGGAATATTAAATCCTCAGTAATTTAATACATGATCATGATAAATAAGGATGCATCATTTTTTCATACTATGAATTTTAGGCTAGAGGGACGGCTAGGAACCAGCAAAAGAACAGCATCCAAAATTTGCATATCAATAACAAAAACGAGATTTAGGTTCATGCATCAATTATAAATTTTACACAATACCCTATTTGCCATAACTATTTGACTAATATTACACATACATTTAACCAAAAAAGATATCACCGTTTATTAACACATAAGAATTGGATTTCACGCAAAGTGGTGAAATAATGGTGTTCCAATTATAATAATGCAAAATGTTGTCTCATTTTTTAACACAAATTTAGGCACTAAGGTTGATTTTAAAACGAATAAAAGTCAATGCCAGCAATGACTCACCAAAATAGTATAAAACAGAAATTACACGGAAAAAAACAAAATTTACAATTTTTTCTAGAACAAAACATTTTCAAAGAAATAAAGAATATTGTACATAAAGGCTTGTGTTCAATGTGTGAGATATACTTAGTTTCAAAGGTTTTCTTTACAAAATTTTGCTAGTATTTGTGCAATCTCATCATTACGTTCTTCTTGTTGGCACCTCTCCCTTTGTTCCTCAGTGGCCATGGCAGAAAGATTAAGGGCATCATTGATATGAGAGAGTATAGCATAATTTTCATTCCTTACTTTAAGAAAACGAAAGCTACTGCTTTCATTTTCAGTATCTGTTGACACACGTGGCCTTTTCTTTGGCAATGACACAATTGAAGATGCAGTAGATCTTTTATGACACTCTTCTTCTCTTTTATGACGTTCTTCTTCCCTTTTCCGATCTCTGCCTGGACACGAACAAATTTTTACTTTCACACAAGATCTCCCCAATGTGTTTCCATCCCTGTCTTCTAAAGTAAAAATGGCCATCACTGGACGTCTGTTCATTCCTCCAACACAACTCAAAAGACACGTGAACTTGTAGAGTATAACATAATATTGCTCGCCAACAGCAAGTTCCCGAAATGGCACAAGAACACTGTATCTTCCATTCTTAAGATTGTAGTAAGAGTTATGAGATGAATTACCTAGTATGGCAGTTTGTAGTACATGCTCTGCATGATGATTCTTATCCATTCCGATATGATTGGCACAACGACAAACAGGAATACATGTTTGTTCTTCATTTGTAAATACAAGCATTGCACGTATACATGAACCTTCTGGTGGAGGATGCGTGCATCGGAATTTTACTGGACAGGGCACATTCATTTTAACAAACAATTTATCAAGCAGATGTGAATGTGTGTAGTTAGCACCTTTGGCAAAATGTTCGGTGATCTCAAAATGTATCTGGAATTCATGTTTACCAAGGGAATTTGCCATAGGCGGATTGAAAACAAGTCGCTGAGGCTCAATTTCATACATATCTGGGGAGTGCGGTGCAATAGATGGAAGCACAATAGTTCCAGCAGTTATATCACTACTGGTGGTCATCACTGACGACCCATAAGATGGTGGCTGAGTGTAGCCACTATCGGGAGATGTTGGTTGACTATCCACGTTTTCCTCCCTAATGGGAAAATTCTCAAGCAGACTCATATCTAGAACACTGCTATCCAAAGTTTGCAAACCATTGGCATCACAAATTTCTTGCACCACCTGTTGAAGATTGCCCTGAAACGATCCCTGTGAATCCTGTGATTGTGTTTCATCGCCTTCTGTCATTTTTATAATTAGTGAATTATGGAGTTGACTACTTTATTGAATGCTGAGAGGAACGCAGTTGAACCAACATTCAAGTTAACTTGAACTAAATTAACTGTTATTCCACAATGGTATTATAAACAAAGTTTTGCCAAACTGACGCAGCCACACGCCGTCGTTGGTCAGTCGGGAACTGACCGTAACCTAAATTTTGTCAGTCGGAATTCCAAGAATCAAGAAAAAGGCAATTCTATCATAATAATAACAACGCTCCTTCGGGATTCCCCTGGTATCGAGACACCACGTGTTTTTTCGCGCCATATGGTGACGTCAAACAACGAGGTTTCATGAGAGAGTGTAACAAAAAAATATTCGGTTAAACAATGATGAATGGACAAAATGAACGTTCAGGAGCCTAGATTATTCAACACCTTCGGCGATCAAAATATATAAAAACACGTACTTATTCAACAATGAGAATATTGGGTCCTCCTGAAGTATGCGCACCAAGATGGCGCACAACCTGAACTCGGGTTGTGTATCAGGTTGAGGTTCAGGTTGTGCGACATCTTGGTGCGCATACTTCAGGAGTTCCGAATATTGGCCTGTTTTGTCGCCACGAAACACTTCCACATTCATGTTCACACATTCAATAAAAAGTGCCTTACCTTTTATGGGGTGTACACCCCCGCCCCCTCACCCCCAACTTCGGATTCTGTAAATGGTGTTCGCTATCGTAGGCTTCCCACACCATCCCAAGCAATGTATCGGAAAAGATAAGGTCGCGTGTTGTTTCTATCTGGATAGGTCACGATTCGCCGCTTGATTTTCGCATTCCCATGTCAAAGGAAGTTAGGAAATTTACAAGCACTATTTAATATTATTACTATTAATTAATAATAACAAAAATTACGCATAATCCGTGTTAAACAGCGTGGCAGGTTCCGTTTGATTCCGGTATTTCTTCGTGTGTTTGTTCCTATTTTAAACTCTACTGGTGTGGCGTAAAGCCTCGTTTCACCCTAATCGGGGCCTGAGCGTGCCAAGTAGGTACCGGTATGTGTTCGTAAAATAAACTTTTCTCCATCAGTGCAGTATAGGGAAGTCGTCGGAATGGTTTTGATTGAAATTAACAGGCGGCAGGACACAGCGGCACGACTTGTGTAGGAATTCTTGCGTGAACACTGACATCTATCGATCAGCTTATCATATGAAGGTAGCTCTAAATATCATACATCTACTAACTTTATTAGCATAATATTGTGCAAATAGGCGTTTAGAGTAGAATGACCATACTCCCAAACCCCCAAATGGTGGACACATCTTTTGGTAGAACCACCTGTGCTTGAGATATACATTATATATATATATACTAAATTCTATAAGATTAAATATAGAAGTGCAATGGACTAAGTGAAGACAATGATATAATTCCTTTTTGTCTTGTCAACGTGCAACTGTAATCTAAGCTTGCCCTCATTTGCCACAGAAACGTACGTACCGTAGCTGCAAGAAATTCACTCCGCTCGCTATCAGTTCGACCTTTTTTAATACTTTTGCTTCAGTTCCTGGGTAAAAGGGGTTCTTCTTTTTTTTCGAAATATTTGACTGGGTATACTGACGTAATTTTCCGCCAAAATCGAAACTTTACTAAATTGCAAAATACGAGATAAAATGACGTAAAACGTATTGCAGAACAATACGATGTTACGTCATAAACGAGTATGTAGAACCCCATCGTATTGAATCTAGGAGCGCAACCAGAACTTTACAAAGGGAAAGCTAATTTTGTACAAGGTTGTAGGAAATGATCATTGTGGTGTAACCTTATATACCAATACCCTGTGTATGGGAATATTCATTGTAGTGTCACGATGGTACCCGGAGCAATCGTTTTTTGATGTATAAAAATTTCATAGTAGAGATCCGGAAGATGATATGATACCTCAAAAATATTGGTAGCTCAAGTCATTCGTTTCCCAAACATCAAACTGCATTCAAATGCAGATAAAAGCGTTTGTTCACGGATTTTTGCCGAAATAGACTTATCTTACCTTATGACTTAATCTTAATTTTGAGGTCGTCCAAAACGAATGGTAACTTAGCAAAGCTCTACAGTGAAATATTCTTTGCCACAAATGTATCGCCTAGTGAAAGTAAACACGTCTTAATTTTTATTAATTTATATACACTTACTTCCTACATTCGACTTGTTCGAAAAACTGAGCTACAATTATTAGTAAATTAAGAATAAGGTGTTGCGCACGCAAAAATAAATTTTAAATATTCAATCCCGTGAAAAAAGGGGACATTTTGATTTTTTAAAGCGTCCTCGGAGGACGTAAAATTTTTAACGAAAAAGGAGGACGTATGGTCATCCTAGTTTAGAGTCTGCATCGATAATCAGTTTGGTCGTTTCGGAAAATTCAGTTCTGCTATTTAATCTCAATATCAAGGATGACCTTTTTTTGTAAAGTTTCAAAGTATCGCTGCAAATGATTGCAAGCTTATTTACCTTTTCTGTTGGACTAAGTATTTAACCAGAGTCCCTACATAAAATATTGGGACCTCCAGAAGTATGTGCACCAAGATGGCGCACAACCCGAACATAGTGATTGTACCAGGTTAGGGTTCAGGTTGTGCGCCATACTTCGGGAGCGCCAAATATTGTTCATATTTCAAATCCTGTTCTAATTCTCAATTTACTTAAACAGATATCTATCTTGTAAACGGCCAATTCTAATTCCCAAAACAAGAATTAAGCTTAGACAATAGAATTTATTAGAGTAAAAATTGATGTGGTTCACGATTCAAGCCAAGGATTAAAATTCTTCGATAGCACATGCCTATGGTAACAGAAAAGATACAAAATTTTTTAAACCCTTTTGAAACACGAAAATTTTCACGAACTATTTCTAGCAGTAAGCTATGAAGCATTGCCTGAAATCGTCGGTACACATTTGCACTGCTGTTAGACAATGATTAACCCGTTTCTAACAAATATTATTTTGTTCGCACATTACTAAAGTCAAAAACACGCAATTATTAGGGCAAATTAATTGTTGTAATTTATAAAAATAACCTTGCTATTGAAATTATTTGCTATAATAAGTTACAATATAACATAGATTTGATCACCCATAACATGTACGTAATCATTTTTTTAAAATCGGTTTCAACAATAATTGAAAAATTTGAATATAGTTTATATTCAGCAAAAATGTTGTTATTAAGCATAGCACTAGCATGGAAGATAAAGGTAAAAAAAATTAATGTCTACAATTGTTCATTTTTGTATACACGAAATTCCATAAACACATTAATTTGTCGAGATTAGCTATTCAAATTTACTTTTCTTACTTGCATTACCTACCTATTTCTACATGTAGATTGAAGGCATATGCAATATCCCCGTAGTAACATTTTCTGATGGGGATACTCCATACCCTATACCAGTGATACCCTTGGATACAAATGCAATAAATAGTTCAATAACAAGAAATGATAAAATAAAGAAGTGCATCAAGTACAATAGGTTCTACCAATAACAGGCTTATAACAAGTTTTATCAAAATCCTACAGAAGTAGCCATCCTTAAAAATATATGGTGTTTGAATAAATCTAGATGATACTCCCTCCATAAGCCTCACTTGGTAAACAAACGTGTGTACCTGATGACTAAGACAAATTATTAAGAATGAATCAGATTATTAATATAAGATTTGATTGTTTGCCTTTAAGGAAGAAGTAAATGAATGTTTTGTACGGTATTTTACAGATCATTATGCGCACTTGCAAACCTTTTTTTTTCGAAAATCGATTCTGCGCCTTATAAGCCAATACGCCTGATGTATGGATTTGCCTATTTATTGCCTACACCAATGGTTCTCAACTATTCTTCCTGCGGCCCTCAATATCTTTTAAAAAATGAATAATTTTCAGTGAAAATTAATCAATAGCTTGAAATTGGAAGACTGAAGTGCGGTAGTTGAATTGATGTCATTGTATTGTTCCCGATTTGAGTGCAAATTTTCATTATGATGTCATAGTGTTTTTTCCCACTAGGTTTAGCCTACGTTTCAGGTATTTTTGAACAAATTATTCATCTGTTTGTTTGTCAAGACAAAATGTCAGCCAAATGGTCAAAAAATCTCGCACTTTTTATAAAAATAATCAGGCGTTTCAATTTGATTGAAAAGAGAAGCATTTTTAAATTGGAATATATAGAATTATGAAAATATGAAGCTAGGTTTTGTTTTATATATAAATATTGCTAGAGAATGCATCCATCACGATTGCACCTCGCTTTTTCAGAGTTCAAAATTAAAAGCCGATGTTACGTTTAGCATTAAATTGGTTTTTACCTTGAGTTTTGTTGATGTTGTTATTTTAAAATACATACTTGAGTTTTGTTTTGTTGCTATTTTAATCTGCTATTTTATGCGGCTCCTTACAACTTTACGGTTTGAAATTTGGCTCTGACAGTAAAAAAGATTGAGAACCACTGGCCTACACTCAAAAGCTGTATGGTTGTACAGTATTGCTTTAAAAACCGTCACACCTTATAGTTCGATTCACCCTATGTATAAATAAAAACCCAATCCAAGCAATTTATGGTCGATATCCGTATGGCCTGTAAAATACAGTAATATGAAAACCACCAACATTATGGTAATATCGGTTTTGTCAGCTAAAATATTAATTAGTGAGCATGAAAACAAAAATTGGATGATTTAAAAATTACATTCATGTCAACTACCAGAAGTAAAATCTTCAATTAAAAAATCCCATTCTATGTCTTTAAAAAATGGGTGATCCATGAGATCATCAAGTCCCTTTATACCATAACCAAGTCTTTGAGTTGGATAATATTCAAGCAATCCATTCAGTAATGATTTTGCTTCTGGTGATAAATGATCAGGTAATGACAGTACTGTATGACTGTTGATTCCAGACGGATGAGCAATATACAAAGGCTGAAAAATAAAAAGATTTATAGTTTTGAGTACATCACAATAATATTGTTCATTTGACTTCTAAGATGATGCATTGAGTTCAGGGCCGGAATCTAGATTCAGATCCTGAAGCCAGATTCACATTTTCAAACTATATGGAGTGAAGACTGGAAATTCTCCAGCGTTGGAATTTCAGACTTTTTATAGCGTTAACCGAAGTCAAAATTTCAGACAGAAACTCAATTAGGATTGACCTCATTTGACAATCTCAACAAACAATTAAAGGAAGCTTGCAAATCGCAAATTTTCATATCCAAGTTAATGGTTAAAGCCTTAGACCTAGTAACACCTCTCGGGTTCAAATCCCATGTCCTCCACTCCAACCATTATGAATCAAATTGAAGGAGTTCCTCACGAATCATAAGATATCACTGACTGCTTATATAAGGTCTTGTTCGTAATGAAAGAAGTCGCAAGGTGAAAAGCACAACCAAATGAGAACATACAAGAACAGATGAAAAATATAATCTTTCAGAATCGTAATAACTGTTAAAATACTCACAGTTCCAGTTAAAAGTTCATATACAATTGCACCGACACTCCACCAATCACAGGCTTCTGTTTTTCTCTCTCCCACTCTACTCATTTCAGGAGCTACGTACATTTGTTTGACAGCGAGTTTATCACATGGTTTTCGTTCTACTTGTCTCCATTTTCCAAAATACGAGAGTCTGATGCGACCTGAAATATTCAACTTTGAGTAAAAAAAAAAACGATTTTTGAGGTGGATTTTGAACACCAGGTAAAATAGTTTTAAAGCATTTGTTAAGCATTGTTAAAGTGAACAGATTGTCAACACACTAAGACTTGGAATTTCTTAGATTATCTTTAAAGTTAAGACCCTCGTAAAAATTTAAATTTCTGATACAAAGTATTAATACATTTAATGATGAAACTATTTTGATCTCTGATTATCATGTTTATCAACATTTACCATGATTTGAAACAGTGGACAATTGTCAACATGATGTAAAGAGAGCGCAATATCATTAAAAACAAGGATAAGACAACTTTTTTCCAAGAAATAGAAAATATATTTGTTGGTTCCATTAGATTACAGTCTCACTTCTCAGACAAAACAAGATATAATTCATATAAAAAAAAACTGACTTTCCTTTTTTCAGAATATCCTGCTCAGAAACAATTTGCGACACGCTTTGAACTCGAAAACAAAGTGTTGAATACAAATAAATATTAAATTTAATATTTACCATCAGCAGTGAGCAATATATTGTTGGGATTTAAATCTCGACATAAAATAGCAATAGAATGCAATGTACCAACAGCAATTATTATTTCCGCACTCCACCTGCAGACTGTTGATTCTGGGATCCTAAAGAAAATAATAATTATCTCAAAATTTTTGAGGGATCAAAACAATTTCAATCTGGATCAAGGCATTGGCTGAAAAACTCGCATTTGGGCTGATGTTACATGGTGGCGGTTATAATCAAAATACTCCAATGGCTGTGTAGCAGGGGCAATTGTGATTTTAAAAGCAGCTTCGCCAGTCCTGCTCAAATCAAGTAAGGATCAAAAACCATAGCTAAATCATTTGGATATTTAGGAGATTTTTCAGTTAAATGGGTGCTATTACTGCAGATTGTTCACGGTTCATCCAAATCCAGGCCATTCAAATAACCAAAGAGTTACCATACGAAAACTTTGATTTTTAACCCTAGGCTAATAGCAAATTTAACTCTTTTTGTAGCTTTCAGCTCCAGCTCTGTAATAACAGAATGTCAGTCTGTTTCAGTTGATGATTATAATGGCAGAGGAGTGATATTTTGGCTTACGTTTCGGATAAATTCAATTTCCGCTTAAGCTCTCAAGTAATTCACGGGTTTGACTCTAGCACAAACATTGAAATGTCAGAAGCTCAGAAATTAGTACAGTAAAGACATGAGTGAAAATCACCTGTATGACATGCTTTGTTTCTTCGCTAAATCCATCTCTACAAATATTGAATGTATTTTATTGATATCATCATCATCATCAATTATATCACGTTCATCCTCTTCCAAAACAACACCTTGTTTATTATCTTCCTTATTTTCTACTAATTTACTTTCATTCGCTGACGCTGTGGATCTCGTTCGAGAATGCGTCCGGAACAAGGTTTTAGCATCTATCGAAGATACACCATTTTCATCTATAACCCTAGTTAAAACAGGGCCTTGGTTTTGCGAATCTTTTTCTTCTTCGCTTTTTCTTCTGTCTTCTTCGAAACTACTGTTCATAGAAAGACATGGTGAATTTTTTGAAATATCCAACACCCTGGATAATGTTAAGCTCGAACGTCTAGCTTCAGTATCCTGGTCGTCAGTGAGATTCAAGGGAAGTGTTTTGTCACTGAAAAAAAAATAAAGCAATTCTTAATTGATGTGAAATGATACCTGTTTAAAAACTAACAAATCATCAAATAATCTATTTAAGTCATTGACACTTTCATACAAGAAAACAGCTATGAGGTGGCAGAGAATTCCACTTCCATTACCCGGAGTCACTACTTCATAGCTGTTACCCTGATTGTATTGATATAGCCTAAACTGTTTTAGGTCTCACATCAAACAGTATTTCCTACCACACAATTCGTCGCTCCAGAAGTATGTTTACAAATATGGAGGTAACTAATTTTGTTTGCCTACATCAAAATGTGTGAAAGGACTGAAACCTATGGGCATGAGATATATTCACTTGGCTAACAAAGACAATCCCAGACCTCGTAATAGAAGTAAAATAGAGGAAATTGGAATAAAATTATGGCCCAACCCTGACCTGGTACACACTACACACACTATAAGAGTACCTACAATTCTATGATATAATTCATTATTTGTATTCGCTGTAGTATTACTATATTCTTTAGTCCTGTATTATTACGATAACGCTCATTTATGCACACATTATATACTACTTAAACTCTACAAAAGCGGGAGTGCGACTTGCAAATAACACTAGCTGGGAATCATTAACGATTGAATAAATGAAATGTTTTAAGCATAGTAACAGGGGAATAATAGGTTTTGAAATAGGCGACGGGAGTGAATTTTATGAAAAAAGTTGAGAACCACTGCATCATAGTCTCAGTAGCATTTGGGCGGGTTGCCTGTAACTTTTCTCGTAGATCAAACTCCTTGATATATGAGTGACATCCGATGAATACTAGATAGAAAATGTTACACAAATACATTTGCATTAGCAGTGCAATTACTGGAATTCATAACACTCACTGACATTATTGCTAATATCTGGTTTGTGATGAATATTGAAAAACTATAAAAACAAGGGATTACACAAGTTAGACTATATATCGACAGAGATGTAGCCAGGAGGGTAACTTTTGAAATGTAATAAAGGCATTTGAAAAACCAAGTTTTCTGGCCTCCGGCCGAACATGCTAGCTGTTTTTAACTTCGCAAATAGAAATTTCAGAACCCCCCCCCCCCCCCCCCCCCCTTTAAACAAAAATTACTGGCTGAGCCCCCACAAGTCAATACACAGAACTAGGAAATATTAGTGTAGTATTACAAACCCAAGCAAAGACACAGCTGACAAATCTTGTTCACTCAATAACTCATGAAGAAAATTATTTTTGTCATCCAATTCTTCTGCAGAATCAGATCCGTCGTTAGAACGTGAATCATAGATATCATCTTCCAGAACATCAGGTGCTTCAATACCGTCATATTCATCCTGATCTATTGTGAACAGTTTTATATCTCCTTGAGAAGAAATCTTCTTAAAATTCGTTCCTCTGTGGCAAAATAAGAAAATTGACAATGAACCATATAATTTTTTACTATCGACCGTACTTTAATATGACTCAGTAGATAGATAGTCGAACCTACCTATGTTATGATTGGGAGTTATAAACCTAGAATTCAAATCCAACCATCCTTTTGCTCAGGGTGTGACAAAATTGAGTAGATGATACAAATTAACAATCAAATATGTAGATCTGACAAGCAAATAAGGGGGGAAGTCATATAACTTATAATTATATTAGTGGGATACGATGACTTAGCTCTAGTGAATAGAGAGTTGGGCTATGTCAGCATCACATGATATAGAAACTCAAATCCCATGGTCACCATCCCACACAGGGTGTCATAAAATTGGATAGGCGATGCCAAGTGACAATCGTATAAACTTGACAGAATTTAGTGAAATTCACATAAGTTAGCACTATACTTCATTGTGGTGTGATAGTCTATGAGTCAGAGAGTTACCGGTAGGTTAAAAATATCAGGTTTAAATCCACGGCCACCATTTCACATAAGGTGTAATAAATAGGGTAGATAATATCGTACTGGAAAGATACCAGTCCTTCCAATAATACCAGCTCTTGACATAATCAGTGGAACATTGTTTATGGTGGAGACATGCAAAAGCCATACTACGGTTTATATTGAAAAAAAAAAAAGAAGATATTCTGAACACTTCCGCTAACTATATTATATTAAAGTCTGCAATATTTTACAACAATTTCGGAACATTCCTAAATATAATATTCAAGATTTCTGACACTCTTCAAATGCAGGATATTCCAAATAATAGCCTGCCTAGTAGTCAGAGTATTGAACTAACTATGTTTGTTGGTTCGAATATTGCAGATTCCATGCGCGCCATTTTACTCATGATATAGTATTTTGTGGCTGCGTGTCTGTGAGGAATGCCTGATAAAAATATTTACCTATCGAATCGTAATTCTGTTTCTCCAAAATTTCTTGCGACGAGTTTCAAACACTGCTGGTGGTTCATTTTCATCGTTAGTGGGCGCAGTTGAGCCCTCGTCCCAACTTAAATACGACCACGTTCTTTGAACAGGTATTGGCTCAGATGAACTAGTGCTTTGAGTCGAGAGGGGTTGTCTGTCTGCAACTAAAGGAGACATAATTTAAAGAAAGCTTGTCTATAAAATAGTTCGAGCAATAAGAAAAAATTCGTGAAGTGAACAATGAAACACCGACTCGAAATGTGAGAAACTCAATGGTTGTAACACATATATTGACCTGTCTATGCAGTATATAGGATTCTTAGATTTTAAAATTGACTGTTCAATACTCGAATGTACATGGCCAACACCTCACCTAAACTTTATTACGAAACAGGTTATGCTTAACTAAATTGGTTCTGAATCTTCTTAGCCTTAGCCTTTTAGCTTCTATGTCAATGCTGATGAAGTATTAAATATTCAAAACAAAGGAGACGACAATAGAAGGTAGTATTCTACATTTACACCAGGGAGAATAAAGTATAAGAATATATCTGAGAAATCTATTTATTTAGACCAGTTGGTTAGTAACCTGTTAAGCCTTCCAGATTGCATGCATATAGTAGAGGAAATTGAATAATTGTTTTGTACATCACTGCAACCCAGTAATACAGGTGTTCATAAAGTCCCGTTATAACTTCAGTTTTGTTACGAAGTCAGTTCTCAATATATCTTAACCTGGTTTGTCTTATTTTAATCAGTGATTATTTAGTTGTTTTTCTGGTACTTCTGTAGTATGCGAACCAAGATGTAGTATGTGTAGTATGTGTACCAGGTAAAAGTTAGGCCATAATTTTAATCCGATTCTCCTTATTTTAGCTCTATTACGAATTCGGTAACTAGGCAAGTGCCTCCCATAGTATTTGTACCTGAAATTATGGCCTAACCCTAGCCTGGTACACATACTACGTTCCGTTGTCCGCTATCTTGGTTCACATATTACGGGAGTACCGTTTTCCTGATTTAATACACCTGTGGTGGACATCAAACCATATATGGTATCAATGAATTCCCTTTGCAATTTAAAAATTTTTGAAACTGCATCACCAACCAGTTTCTCAATTTACCCCAAGGAATGAAAAAAATAAACAGAAAAAAAATTGACTTACATGGATCAGCATCAGGGGATTCAATAGCATCTGATATACTGCTTGGATGGAGATTCATTAGTAATTTCATTTTTCCCTGTTTTCTTTTTTCCTCCATATTCTGTTGAGAAACCGTTATTTACTGGGATCCTCGGTTTGATATTCCATAAATAAATCTAGGAACGATGATGAGCATTGTTCTTCCTCGCTTTCACCTTTGTCTGAAACCTGATTGTCAATTTGCTTTTTGATGAAAGATTTAGGTTCTGATCTTTTGTAACTGCCAACCTTTTTAGGTGTGGATGAAAGTTCCCTGAAAACGTTACAAATTTGATGACAATGCAATAAAATAAAAGATTATTTTAAAATTAATATCTCGCCGTTTTTTGCGACAATCAGAGTGAGTATAAAAAATAAAGAATATTATTTACATTCATTTACTGCCTTCTAAAATATAAGTTTCGGTAATATTTCACATGTTTTTTCTGTTGATTTCGTTATAATTGCTGATTATTTTTTGTCAGTGTGATTCTTCTGATGGCCGACAACGTAACCCAAAGCCCAAATAGCAAAGATACCTACACTTTCCAACAAAAACTTTTTGTTACGAATTTCGGGCAATCGATACCTTTTAAAATCCTTTAGTTGTTTAACTTTTGTTTGCGTATTTTCTGCTTTTGGTATTCCATTCTTCGTTCTTGCAAGTTCAAAATAAGGGGCAAGTTGATCCCAAAGTCGACCACCTGAAAAGAAGAAGATGTTAAAATAGGCATACACTTAACATGTTAATGAAGACATTCGCAAAATAAATTATTTGATGCTTAGAACAATAGGATGTTGGCATCGAAGATTCAAGCACCATACCTGTGTGCTGTGTTGTAATAACTTGGGTAGGCATTAGTCAATGCTGAACCAAAAAAATGCCTTTCAAAAATAGGTCTTTACATATCAATGGCTACTGAGTCTTATTTCGAGTGAAAGTGTGATAAAAATTATCGATTAGATTCTGATACCTGAAGCATGCTCTATCACCAAGCAAACCGCATGTTCTGTGCTGTAATATCGATGCAATCTGACCATGAATGGTACATTTGTTGGAATCACGCCTTTTCGTAATCGATTTTGACAAGATTTTGTAAGAATCTGCAATGAAATAAATATGCCTAAAAATGGCCTGATATTCTCTCCAATGATTCAGAACAACGACAGTCCAGTATTTTTGTAACAAAATATTTTCAAATTGAGCCACTTTTCCAACCATCGGCCAAAACATGGCAATAGATCAGTTGGCCTTGAGATGAATATGCAGTAAACAGGTTTTGCAAAAGTTACAGTGAATATTGTATGTTATGAACCATAAGTAAGAAAGTACTGTCAATAAATTGCATGGGAATGAGTTTTTATCCATACATGAGGCGCATCTGGCTATAAGATGCAATGGTTTTTAAAAGGAATATCGGTACTGGTTTTGAGTGTAGGCAATGAAGCATAAATCACTACCTGACCATACATTAGCCACACCAGGTTATAAGGCGCACGATCGATTTTTGAGAAAATGTGCGCTTATGGTCCGTAAAATAAGGTAATTTATTTGGGACAATATCCACACAAAGTCTACCTTTCATAGTGTGTTTGTGTGAAAAATAAATATCTCGACCCACTTTCATAGCATAAGATTCATTGTTTCTTGTATCCAACACGAGCAATACTTTCCCAACAGTTCCTAGAACTTTATAACATGACAAATCTTTTGAATTATGTCTCGGACTAGGTATGGACGGTACAGGTGATGACGTATCTCTTCTCGTTCTTTGTACATCGATGGGATATATGATACCAGGACGAGGTGATGATGAGTTTGGATCAGTCGCATCAGGCTGAAATGTTAAATTACTTTGAAAGGAAAAGCAGGATATATAGAGTGTTCATAAACTCCTGTATTAAATTAGGTATAAGAAATTTGATGTTTCTCGTGTAACTAATGGTGGACATGGAAAGTGTATTAAATGAAGTAAAAAAACACTTAAATAAACACAGATTTAAATAAAATAAACCTGGTTAAGATATATTAAGAACCATCTTCTTAACAAAATTTTGATTGTAACAGGTACAGGACTTCATGAACACCATGAATATCTAACATGGATGCACCCAGGGAAACCAAGCAATCTACTATTCAAAATATATTTTTGGATTTGGATTTTGGAATATATTCTTTATTCGGCCATTTTAGAAGTGAGTGAATAGAAGTGAAATGATTTGATTGTTTCCTCATTTTTATATCTTTTAAATACCAAAAGACTTCAATACTGTCATGAGAAAGATTATATTTCAAATAAAACTATCCTAAATCATTCTTATTAAATCAAGAATAAAGATTGTCAGATATAACTAATACCAAACCCATTAGAATTTTCAATTCTTCTTGAACAGAAATGGGAGCACCCAACTTACGTAAGAAATGCACAAATTTGGAAAAAAAAATTCTGACAGGTAACAGTGCTTTAAAGGTGGAACACCCAAAATTGAACACATAGAAACAATGTTGATATACAGGGTGAAGGGTGACCCCAAAAACCTGAGTCCATAAATTTCTCAATTATTTCTACAGGAATGAAGAAAATCCAATCAACTTGATTATAACAAGTAATCTAGGACGCTTCGCACAAAAGTTAGGTTCTCTGTAAAATATGTTCTAAATGAACGGAGGTTCTATTTTTGTTAGCCTGTTACCTGTATTTCCCATAATATCACGGTACTTACCTTCCATAGATCATTGGTATCAATGGTTGTTTTAAGATAGTTTGAATGTATATCTTCAGCACGTTTGAGATAATTTGCAGTTTTTCTACGAACAGCTTGAATTCGAGATTCATTGGTATCACCTGAAAGCATAAAAAAATGTTTGTCTTTTGTTTATGACAATTATCCACGACTTTTGCTCCTTACAAGGCCCTGTACAAGCATGTAATTTAAATATTTTGATCTTATTAATGTTTCCTTTACATTGAAAATTTTGAGTCATCTTTCTTTTTCTCAGTTTCTAATGGTTTAATATTGAATTTTCTATTATAGACATTCTATCTTTTAGAAAATCCTAGCCTATATATATAGCCTAAAAATAAAACAAATTCAACCAATAACTTAATAAAAAAGACACCAAAGCTTAAATATGAGGACACAAAGATTAAGGACTAATTATGACGATTGCAATGTAAGAAAGATTTCAGTCAGACATTAAAGAATTGTATCATATGTCATAAATACAGCAAACCTAGGGTGAAAATTGGGTCTCATAAGAGAGATAAAATGAGCAGAAATTATCAAGTAAAATGAAAGTATAATTGTATTTAATAATTGAAAATAAAATTAATAACCTTATGAAGACTGTTACTATCTTCGAAAATGAATCATCTGAAAATCTGAAATTGATTTGTCCATTATAAAGAAAATCACTTATAATCAATTATTTAATTATTCACCTTGTACTCCTTGTAACAATGTATTAATTGCAGCTTTATAATGTCCGAATGATTCTTCGTAATTTAATTTAACCTCAGCAGCACGAGCAAATGAGATTTGTTGAGCGGCTTGTTGAAGATAAGCTCCTCTATAAATATGAATTGATTTTATCAATACTAATATATGGTTACCATTTATGTATCAAAATATATTAACGTTCATAAAGACCCGTAGCAAATTGCTGTGCTTTGTGAATTAATGGTGGGTATATGAAGCGAATTAAACCAAGTAAAAAAACTTATTAAAATAGGGCTTACCTATTTAAGATATATTGAGAACTGACTTCATGACAAAATTTTGATTGTAACAGGACTAATTAGTTTAACACCAGTTAATTTGAAATGGTGATTCAACTTGGATTTTAATAAATGAATAATAGTCATGCTTTCTCGCATTTCCAAAATATATTTGGAATTCCAGTTTTAAAAAAAATTTCTAGAATGTATTTGGAATACTTTGAATACTGGAATATTCGATCATGGTCATCCCAGGGTCCTTTATACTATGTTGCAATAATATTATATCGATGTCACCTGCTTTCATCATCACTGCCTTCTTCTTTAAACATTTTTGGAAGATCGAGCAAACTATTTCTTGTTGGTAATCCAAAGGCTGATTTATCAATAGGACTACCGGTAAGTCCATTTCTAGCTGGTTGATTTAAAGCAGAGCTACTGTTTCTGTTTTCTGTAACATTCTGATTTCCAGTGCTCTGAGCAATACCGCTTTCAGACTCTGACGCAAGTCTGTTTCTTCTAATGACAGCTTCTAAATACGCACTTGCTTTCGATGACTTCCTGTCAAAATATTAGTTCAAAGGTCAAAGGAGCCAAAGTATATCTATAGGAACTGATAAATAATACCAGTTTCTAGACTCTGAATGTGAAAATCTTGTCCAACAAATAAAATATTCGCACGAAGTATCTTTTGGCGACATTGCAAATATACTAGATTCACGCTGAAGCGAATGTGAATCCTCCACTCAAAATTACTTCTTATCTGACTACATTTTGAAATGGACATAAGATAATTTAATCTGTTAAAATCTGCATCGAAAAAGAAGTGCAACTGGTTGTTCAGCTGTGTCATGATAGTTCATGTGAACAAAAACGAACACACATATACTGATGATTAAATGTGCACATATTACGAAACTTTTCCTTATTACGATTCGAAATATATTATGAAATCTTCTTTCTGTCACTTACTAGTTTGCATTAGAGAAAGTAAATGCATCCAAAACTTACAGAATTTCTACTTTTATTATTAAAATAACAAAATTTCAAAGAAAGCATTGAGCATGTTGCATTTGCTAAAGTAACATCACTGAAACCTACAACAATAACAAATTACTATCATCTTATGACTAAAATTCATGAAAATTAAGTTTTTTTGGCTAACAATCTTCGCACTTTTTGCTCAAACAAGGTCCTGTACAAGCATCCATCGATAACTAACTATATTATGCAAGAAGTTGCTATAGGCCATCCTGCCCACTGTTCAAAACAATTTTCTCAGTAACAATATATAATAAAGGCAGGGGAGAAGGAATTATGGGGCTATGCAGCAGTTGATAGGCAAACCAATATTTAGCAATGAACTCGTATAGAATCAAAATATACCTGTGCTGTTCACGAGAATTCGTATTTGGATATAAACCTTCCAAATCCATCTTTGGTTGCATTGATGATGAATGTGGTCCAAGTTGATCATTACAAGTCAACTTTTTATCGTGAGTATTTTGGCTAAAATAAGTGTAAAATATGTTAAAACAAAAAAAGGACAATGCCAAAAATTATTATACGAACAGGGAACAGGGGCTAGTTGTTAGGTGCGAATGACATGAAATAAGCACCGATAAAAAAGTTAGATACATTCAACTTTAAATGAAATGGCCTAAGTTTAGTAAGTTCTTACAACCACATTACCTTTGGTGATGATAATTTTCCAATTCACCCTGAGAAACAGAAACTTTAAGAGCTTCAAGTAATTCAGATTCGTCTTCTGGATCCAGCTCCCTACGTTTGTATGAAAGATCAGGCGAATCAGGATTTGTATTACTTGATGATGGGAAAGCCTTCTTTATTTGTTCTATCCAATTCTGGTCTTGATCAGTTGATGTACATTCAATAAACTCTAAAATAATTTGAAGATCATCAAAACAAGTACAGAAAGAATGGTCATTTCAAAAAGTATGCATTGTCAAACCACTTCCATGCATTCACAACAACTCCATTCATTTCCCTTACATATTTACGAATGGGAATGTACAGATTCAAATGGTTCATCATTCAGAATATTTAAAATAATCTTACTGTTTTTTTTGCAACAAAATGATGAAAAATGGGTTCATATGTTTCGACCAAATTACTTTACATCTCCAACTGACAAAGGCAGAAAACTTCTTTCATTACAAAATTTTCAAATCCACAAGGAGTCACTTTTAAATGTCTCAAAATTTATTTTGCCTTTTGAAGAGGTTAAATGAGCCCTTAGCAATTTTACATAAAAAATTCACTTCATTCTAGCATTTTGACACAATTTTTTCAATGAATTAATAAAGCACACCAAAATATATCAAGCTATTATCTAAATAGAAGACCATCCCCATCAAATATCTTCCTAATATATTCTGCACTGAGGCAAAAAAGCTCCATAAGTCATTCGTATATATAGGCCTACCTACATATATGATTACATATCTTGATTACATACACATTAAGCATAATTCGCCGGATGAGAACAGAACAGGCCTAAGTCACAATTTTGAGTTTTGATAAAAACGCAAAAAACAATTTGGAATTTTTTTTTATTTTTGAATTTCTATATATTCACACTTAGTAAAGACCGAGCTCTGGTTATTTTAATGTGGATGTGAATATCTTTGTAATCAATATTTTTTGGCACTTCAGCTTCAATTCCTTCCTGCCTTTTTAACCCCATAATGGACTTTGGCCCATTCTGTTCTCAACAACTTCTGAATTTTTTTGCATGGGATGCAAGGTAAAACAAGGTGACTTAGGCCTAAGTTGCACTGAAGAAATTTTTAGGGATGTAAGTTTCAGACATTTCATTTCTGATGTTCATGCCCATCATATTGGAACTTGGGACTATCTTTTTTTAGTATTTTGGGGTTTTGAGCCATGCTCTACAATGTGGTGGTCTTGAAATTCTGAATTTCATAATATTAAAAATTTTAGCTGGACTGTTTTTAACTTATACAGTCTTAAGTCCAGCTAAAATTTTTATTATTGAGAAATTCAGGATTTCAAGACCACCACCTTGTAGCTCTATGGCTCATAACCCCAAAATATTGGAAAAAGGGAATTTTGCAAAAATGTGACTTAGGCCCCTTCTGTTCTCATCCGGCGAATTATATTTAATAACTGACATTTGACATTTTAAAAATATTTGAAAATATTCATCTAGAATAGTTAGCGTAAGAGCCTAGAGCAAGGAAAACGAAAAATAGTCTCGATTGAATTTTATCTAGCAAATCTAAGTACAGAAATTTGCTGATTGTGATCTTCAACGTTCCACTAACTTTGTTATATTAGCAATTCCTTTTATTTATGAAATTATCTGTAGAAACATAATAATACTACACAAGCTCCCTAATTTTTCAAGCATTTTAGTGACTGGTGGGACATCAATACACAATGGATATTGAGAAAATAAACAAGACTGTATAATACTTGAAATGAGAGAAGCGCAGCTGTTTTTCTAGCAAGTTGATTGAAATCTGCTTATAAACTAGATATAGAAATTAAAGAAATATATGTGGACCAGGTTAAGGATGTCCAAGACAAATCCAATATTTAATGATATTCAACATGACAAATATAAGTTATTAGGAAGAATTAAGACTATTTTTTATTTGAAAATTAGGTAATCATGATAAATATTTAAACATTGACTTCATTTTTATTTCTGATACTGTAAAAAATATAAAACCAATCAAAACAATGTTTAACTACTGATAATTATACTGCATTGGCAAATTAAATTTTAATAAATTTACAATTATTTTTGCAAATTTCCCTGTCCAATAAAACCCTATTTAGAATATAATCAATATTTCATATTCTAAAAATAATTCATAATAATAATAATTTCAGAACAGACTTATAATAGCATTTAGAATTTGGTTTTGGCCATCCCTGATCAGTTATCAATATACAGGGAGACTGCAAAAAATATAAACCAGGTATTTTGGAACATATTCTAGAGAGAAAATGAAAATAACGATTGTGCAGAGCGTCAGATTACTGAAACTTTTTGGTACAATCATACACAAGTTGAATAGTTAAATAAATTTTCCTCATTTTCGCAGTAGTAACTAGGGAATTTATGAGTTCTTTCTTTTTATGGCACCCTGTAGTTACATAAATGCTGATGAGACACTAAATACAGTAATATGATTGTCAGCCAAGCAGAAAATCACAATTAGTTAAGTAGATGTGATTACTTAATAAAGCACTTGAGTATGGAAATGACTGTGTTGTTTACTAATTATACATTATTTCATAATTGTCAGTGTACAATCGTTATTTCACCCATGGGAATTCAGAGCATTTTGGAATGTATAGCAAAATGATGGCAAAATCCCACTAAACCATTTCTAAATAAAATTTTCAAATATGAAAATTGAAATATCGAATATATTCTAATGGGATAATTTTCAATGGGGAAATTATTACAAATCGAGATTGATTTTTATGATGCAGTAAAATTGAAACTGTTCCAACTTTTCTACAGTAATCAGAATTCAGAAGGGAAATAAGTGTTATTGGTCTGAACATCTGATGTAAATTTCATAGAGTTGAATTTTCAAAATTTAAACATATTTTTTATTTTCAATATTTTAATGTTACCAGAGAAACTTATTATTTCAAGAATATGACTAAATATTTCCATGAAAAATGAGATATTTTATTAAATATTGAATAACATACAAATGCCATTTAACTTTATAGAATAGAGTCTCCATTTGCTTGCAAAATATACAGTTTTCTAACATTCGGAATATGGAAATAATAATTTTACCAAATGTTGGTCATTATTAACATTAATTAAACATAAACTCATTTGCATAGCAAAAGTTCAATTCCCAAAATAAAAATGATAGTTTGTATTATAATACAAACTCATGAGGCATGTAATACTGTTTCAAACCAATACTTAACAAGTTTTGTTTCAAATGAAATTTTTTGACATGATATGCTCTGTATACAAATACACAATAATTATTCTGATATTATTTTAACATGAATGAGAGTTCTAATACTACAATATAAAGTTTAATATCTGAAACACTATCATTTCAAAATTACCAAATTACCTCAATCACAAAACTTAGCATACACGGTATTTTCAAATTAGCTATTCGACTATTTCTAACCCATGCAACAACTACGACAACAAACAATGTCTGATATTGATTTCTGTCCTCTGTGCTAACAACAAACCAGTCTAAATTTCCACTGCTACTCATCACTAAAATGGGACACACCACAAAGCACTTCTATCTATAAATCATCATTGATCTTTTATAATAGAAATGAAACAAATGTACCTCTTCAGATATTAACACTCATACAAGAGCTGGTGTGAAGACTATTAAAAGTACTCAAACTGTGTTCAGTTCATATCAAGTACCAAGCGTCAGGTCACTTATTTTTGATATAGAAATTTAATGATATTATACACAACAAAAATGCTATCCGACCTTATATCTGTCAGGTCAGATCCCTTCTAAACAATCATGCAGAAGTAGGCTATGCGACAAAAATACGGACAAAATGACGAAGAAAATAAGGTTTTTATATTAGTGAAAGACATTAGAATAGAAATTACTCAAAATGTATTAAAACTTGTGCTGTGAGCATGTGATACAAAGCAATGGCATTTTTTATAGAACTGGAAACATATAAATAATAATAAAGACAAAAAATAATAAAATGCAAACTTTGACTTTATTGATTTGTTACAAATATATATGAGGAATAGAAACCTACCTTTGGTTGTAAGAAATGGATCAAATAATTCCAAATCTCTATGAGACAATTGTGATTTTGTTGTCTGATCTGACTGCAGCAAATCTAAAATGGTTATTGAATTAGTATGGCCTCACCAGTTGATCAAAATAGAGGGATTAAAAGCAAGTGATTATGCTGATTTTTAATATTGAAAAATCAATAGTATGGATTAATAGGAGAAATATAACAAGGGATTATTTATACATGCATGCAAATAAACAGCAAATGGGGAAATATTATTTAGCGCATATGTCTGTGACATATAAAAAACATATCTTAGAAATTTCGCTCGACTTCTGATAGTGTATGATTGTACCCGAATGTTTCAGTGATCTAAAAGGTTTGCACAAAAGTTATGTTCTCTGGTAGTTCCGAATGACCAGGATTTTATTTTTGTTGGTCACCATGTATATACCGGTAATACTTTCCATAATTTAAAATATCGAATACTTAATTAAAGTAAAACATTCATTGAAAATATGTATATACAGTTTTGAAAACACAAGTTAAGTGAAGAAAATTTTTTGTTCCATTTAAAATAACATTACTCTAGTTAGATGACCAAAGATGGCTAAATTATAACAAAAAATTGTTAAAAAAAAGCTGTGAATTATATTTGTTAGATATTATCATCTACCGCAATTCACATATAAAGTGATATCAGTATCAACTTTTATATTATAATAATATTATGTGATATATTATATATATTATAATGGCACATTATATCTAATGTATAAGTGGCCATATGCAGTGATTCCAAATATTTGTACATATTAAAGGCATAATAGAATAATATTGACAATACCTATTGTCTGATACGATTTAAAAGTTTCCAGCCTAAGGAAAATATCAAAAAACCTATACTTGAAGCATTAGACTCAGCATTAGAATGTTACACTTGGGTTCAAATCCCATGCCCCCAGCTTATCCAATATGGTTGGCAATGCTGAATCGGAAAGCTACTGGACTCCGCACATATTACTAGATATCAGTGCCTCATTCAGAGCAAACGGCATAGAAAACTTCATAAATTGGCCATCACAAAATACCGAGCACATACTTCAACAATGTAATCACCAACCTTGCAATTACTTAATAAAAGTCAATAGACTGATAGTACCACAACAGTAAGATACATTTTAGCACATATTATGCATCTTCAGGATGGCGAGGCTTTTAACATAAAATAGTCAACAATAGGAAAAGCATAAAGCAATAAAATTGTTATCATACTGTCACTGTCATCCAATTCTTTCTTTTCTTTACTTGGTTTCAATGGAGATTGTTTGAGATAACGAATTTCAGAAGTTGAGTCGATGGGCTGAAGGTACTGCAAAAAAATGGTCTTTTGTCTCATTTTTGAATACACAATTTGATAAGATTTTTTCATTTATCCCAGAGGAAAGGTAATCCAATAAAAATTCTTATGGCGAACCACTCTTGTCTGGTTACCAGTCCGTGTCAAGTATGACAATAATCAACCAGTTGATTTAGATGCATGAACCTGATGATGGAGAAGGCAATAGCCACCCACTGGTTATATGAACCACCCTACAACAATAAAAAGTCCAGCAATCCGCTCGCACTTCATCATCAATTGATTTCAACTTAAAGTATAGATACCTGAAAAAACTCTTTAAAAGCAACTGATCTGCATAAAGGTGGATGCTGGGTTGCAAAATTCAACACATCCTCTGCACTTTTCTGTCTTTCTCGGACAACACTCTCTTCAAAGCGACCTATTATATAAATGTGTACAAAATTAAAATCTGGATTGCGACAATTGCAATCAGTACCGATATATAATTATAAGAATCTCAGGGATGAGTGCAAGTGGTTGTTAAACTACAGTACAGTTTAACTTAGTGTTTCCCAATCAATGAGTACCGATAATTCATTTGTTTTGTGATTTTACTAATACTGCTTATTTTGTATACTTGTCTATGGACAGACACCTTATAAGCTATTTAAACTATGTCAAGCCAGAGTGGGAGCTGCGAGTAACACCTTCAAAAAACAAACAAATGAGGAAAGACCATAGTGAGGGAGAACTAAAGAGACCCAAAATAGGCAAAGGGGATTGGATTTTGAAAAAAATTGTCTCTCAAATGAACTATATTTATAAATGAATGCTAAACTCACCAAACAACTTCGGTTTTGCAAACTCTGGCGGTTTTCCATTAAGAAAAAGTTTTTTGTGCAATAAAACGAGACATTTATACAGATCTTTGAAGTCGCTGTATCGTTTCCAAACAAAACTCTGAAAATTAGAAACAATTATTTCAATTTACATCACCAATGAAATTTCATTGTATGACAAACTATAAAAAGGGGGGGAAATTTGCTCAAAATATATTTGCTAATAGAAACTCGACTTACTCTAATAAAGAAACAATGCATTTGCAAACATCTATGCAAAAAGATCCTCAAATTATTTGTGTTGAAGCGTTTACTTTACTTTACCATTTTACTCAAGTTCAAATTTCATGCCCAGGGTGTAACAATTTGGGAGAAGATGCCAAACCCGAATTATTCTGGCTATTCCTAACAAAAGTAGCTTCTTTTTAAGGGACTAATTTGGACTGAAGGGCATATGAATATGTCGTGTAAAAATCCCAAGTCTAAAAGCTGTTATTTTAAAAAACGATTAAAAGTATTCAATCTAATTCTGACATCTTCACTTTTGATAGCAAAACCATAGTTTTGGAGCACCTTCAAGTTAAAACTATTTCTATAGAAGAATTTCTCATCACGAATTGCTTTCAACACTTTGCAGTCCAACACTAGAACTCACACCTGGTGCCCTGATAGCACAACATAACGATGGAAAAAATGCATAAAGAAAACATACACACCTCTTTAAAACAGTCGAACGAAGTAGGATCAGGCACCTGCAAAATTAAATCTATATAAATCTCTGGAGCACAGGACATTGTCGCTGTTTACAATTTGACATAAAAAGATAGGTCAGTTACAGGATACTATACAATAACAATCACATCAGTTTTCCATTGAGTGACAATACAAAGCTCACATAAACATGAAGTTTGATAAAGGATTTGCGATGGGTCACCAGATCAACAAAATTAATTCAAACATTGGTTTCCTATTGGTAAATGGGAAAAGTATAACATGAAGGCGATGTAATGCCTATACACAAAGCATTCAAAAACTTTTGTGATCAAAATTTTTGAAACTGCTTCAAGTAAGATTGAGATTAGATTGGCTTGAGAGAATTTGCAATGATCTGCTCGCTATATGCAATTTGTGTGCTTGCTATTTCTATCGTGTGTATATATGACAGAGTCACAAGGTCTTTTTGTTTGATGAGTTAGTATTGAAGTAAACAAAAATAGCATGATCTTTATCAGAAAATTTAAGTACAGGTACCCAAAAACAGAACCTTGAAACTCCTGTTTATGTCTGTGCCGAAGAGTTTCAATAATACAGGACACTTTGCACAAGAGTTATGTTGTCTCTAGAATATGTCCCAAATGACAGAAGTATTGTTGTTTTGGGGGCCAATTTATGCATTCATGATCAATAAACCATATATTTTCGAACATAATTTACCAAATAGTGAATACTCATCGTCTACAATTCCTGAACAGGGTTCATGCTATTTTGTTCATTAAAATCTTACCCTACGAATGACTTTATAAACTGTGAAACCGTCTGGATGATGTCGAGCTTCTTTCACAAAATATTGTGGTATCACCTCCTTCTTTCTCTTATCAGAATAAATCCCACCACGACTTGCCATTCGCCACTGCTACAGGTGTCTTTCACACATATTGCTTCCCGGTATTTTATAATCCCAATACTACAGATTCATGTCATTATATTTACTAAAACCACTGACAATGAGTCTAAATGATGAAAATACACATATAAAATAACTTTGTGCCCAAAATATGGAAAAACGAAGGACAGAAAATAAGAATTACACGATGGAAAATATCCTCATACCCAATTTTTTAAGTTGGCAAAAAGAAAAAAAGACAAATATCAAGACTCATTTTTCGACAGATCTTATACGTTTTTTTATGCATACAAATGAGGCTTGGGATCTCAGTCAGTTTTCAGAATCCAAGCTACTATTCCACCTTGTAATTTTCATGTTCTATTCATTTCTTTTGGTATTTACCAATACCCATATTCAATGGCTTCAAATATATAACACATGGCATAACACTCATTGTTTGGACGAGTATGCAATTTCCCATTTTGTTGTAGTTGAATTATGTCTGACCTCGGTCCGACAAAACAGTACAAAAAATATATTTACTGTATGTTAGTGTGCAGCAACCAGCAAAGCTCTTGAATTACTTAGGAACCATTAAAAATTTAATTTTTCAAGTATAAAATAAGACATGACTCAAACATGAAGTAGAACTAAAGCAATGTAAATTATACCTATTGACTAGCAGGTCAGAGTTAAACAATAAATTAGTAACCTTGAAGCAAAAATATTTTTAAACTAAAGCTCCTTTTGCCCACCAAAAATGAGTGAACTAATAAGCATTATACTAATGATACAAATAAAGCAAAACTTCAGCGCAATTCTGACTCTGCCCCCAGTGGGAATCATTGAAGCATGAATGACCAGAATTTTCTCAACCTGAAGTAAAAGTACAAATTCTGCTGTTTTCAAATTCTCTATTCTAGGGTTAGGTTGAGGTGAAGTTAAATAGACCACAAGACATCACGGCTCTACAATTCTAAATTAATATAACACAACTGATGAAATGAGTAAAATTACCAAGAAATATAGTTATTTCAAAAATAAATGTACGATAATATTTAGAACTAAATTGAAAATTTTATTGGAATTCCTGGCCCATAAAAAAAAACTAGCAGTGCGTTAACAATGTTAATATAAAATAATAAACTATAGTAAGGTCATACAGTGTTATTCAGCCAGACGTTTGATCGATTGATGAAATTTCGCGTATTATCATGGTAAATAAGATTTCTTGCCATTTTAGGTTTCTGCTTTCGGATCCATATCCACCGACTAGAATGTATAGAATATGTCAAACTGAAATGATTTTAGTACAAACAAAAGCGATAGACCCTTGTCTCTAGGTGGCTCTGCATAAGTGAATATAAAACCATAGAAAGTATCCGTATAATAATAATTATGAACAGCTCTATTTCCGTACAGAAAATCATAACATCAGTACATAACCCATGGTGGCAGTTTTATGGTTATTCTTGATATTATGTTACCACTTGTTCATTATTATTTAGGTTCAGAGCAATGCACGATTTGAAGAATTCCTTGGCCCTGAAATTCACTTTTCACTATGTTTAAAAAGCACAGGAGCTGACATGCTATCAGCCGGTAGTAATACAGACCAAATAAGAATGTGCAAATACAAACAATATGGAGACATGCTACAATCTGAATCTGTAGGGTCATTTGAAAAAATAAATAGGACATCCCATTTTTAAGTGATTTTTAAAAATTCCACTCCAAACAAGGTTTCACATAAGAAGAAACTGATTTACAGTTCGGCAATGCCTGCTACACGATATATTTCAACCACGGTGAGGTGAAGCCGAGTAACATCTTTTTATAATTACAATAGTATTCAGCTTTTTGGATCAGTGGGCAAATAGAATTTGATGAAATAGAGTGATAAATGACACCTAATAAATGACCAACACCATGGATGAATAATACCAGCATTTAATATGGTATGATAAGTACTACCTTATGATACATCAAGTGCAGAGTTAGAATAACTCACACACACACACATATACATCCATTAAAGTCATTGCACATTTGCTTACATCACACAATTAGTTAACTAAATAGTAGAATACATCACATATTTAAAATAGATATATGAATAAAAAATCAACCCTTTTTTATAATTAAGATAATTAGCATTATTGCCGTTATAATTGATAGTACAAAGATAACATAAAGTTTTTTGTTTTTCTTTTGGTATTTCTCTGCTTTTTGCAATTGTTTTACTCCTTCGTCCGTTTTCATAACAGAGTTTTCAACATTATAATCAATTCTGTCAAGAACAGTTCCTTGCTCCACTACAATGTTACTCAAATCTCTAAATATTTCCGCCAAATCTGAGATACTTTGAACGACCTTTTGAATTTCTTCTTCACGTTCTTCAATGATACGACTATTCGTTTCAACAAGAGCAGATTGTGTTGTAGAAAACCCTCGTTCAAATGTTTCATCATCGATATCCATTTCACTGTGTTCGACCATAATCGCATTATCAGAGTCAAAAAAATGTCTCGATCTATCTTCTCTTGCTTTTAACTTTTTTAAATAGGAAGATTGACTGTGTCGAAAATCATTTGATACATTTTGTAATGAAGAAGCCATAGCCGAAACAACATTTTTTGACATTAATTTCTCAAGCTTAGAAGCTTTTTTTGAAAGGTTGGACAGAATTTTAACGCTCTGATTGCAGCTGTAAAATAAATGTGTTATTTCTTGAGTCAAGATTTCAATAGTTTGTTCTTCTTCAACATCATCATCTAACGTTGGACGATTAAGATGTTTGTGATGGTGAGCTGATAATTCTTCCATTTTTAATTTGATTTGGCTGATTCCTTCTTTGATTTCTTCGACTGTCGATAACCATCTTGGTGGAAGACTTTTCAACTGCATTGAATTTTGTCCTTTTCGATTAGATATCAAAGAGACTTCGTCATTTTCATCTGCATCGTACTCAACATCTTGTCGTTGCCAAAACATATGACGATTTTGTAGCGCATTATTGCGCATGAGTATAAATGCGTCAGTGAGAGATCTCGTCAACATTATGATATGTAGACTACTAGGCTATATTACGGTAATTAATATAAAAATATGATAAATTAAGAGTAAAAATCAGTCAGACTGTTTGATGTTTTCACCTATTCGCTCTTAAGTTAGCTGATGGTCATCAAGATTATTTGTATATTTTTTTCATTGCATTTTATAAATATAACACTATTGCATCATTTGCATACAGTAATATTGACCGTCGATAATGCTACGCGCTGTGTATTTCGGTATTTACTGTTGGATTTGTATTGCGTAATATCAACATGAACAAAGCTCATCCACCGGAATTGGAGAAGTTTATGGATGAAAGATTGGATTTGGTGGACGATCTGTTACGGGTGTTTTGCAAGGTTTCGATCTTTTCATGAATCTAGTTGTGGATGATGGAACAGAGCGCAGAAAAGACGGTAACTGCACCTGTTGGAATGGTGGTGTTTTTTATTTCATATTTTTGTAAGAAAAGCACTGTTATGATACACATACCACAGTCATGCATTCCATCCTATCAATTCTAGAAACGTCCTTTTAATCGTATTTTATTCAGTTACACTTTACAGCATAGGTAGCGTTTGACTGGAGGTTATCATTTCATATATCATTTTCATCAAAAACAGCCATACAAGAATGCAATCAGCAAGCCCTCAAGTCTATGCATGCCACTTTCTCACATACATCTGTACATAGTTCATTTTCTCGTGATTTACATTTGTTATGTGATAAAATTTCACTGAACAATCAATATCTTCTGTAATCACCATATAAGAACCGCAGCCACAATTTTTTTCTTAATTTTTTAATTCTAGTTTGTATAAAGTGTTTCCATGATCTTCTTTTGATCAGTGTCTCACATTTTAAAATTGATTCAAAAGGTACCGATACCGTATTGCCCGATTTTGCATGTGTCTTTATTTTATAGTGTTCTTTTGACTGTTTTTGGTGGACGGGCACGTAGACTACCGGTACTTGTACGCTTTTAACCTTTTTATCAAGTTATACCCGTCCTCCAGGTCCTCTGCATTTTGTTTGTCCGTTTGTTGTAGTTTTGTTTCTTTCAGAGTGACCAAAATAAGATTGATTGATATTAACATTCATACCTCTATATTCAGTTTCGAGAAATTGAAATAAGCATATCAACATTTTACGTTGTGTAAATAAAAATACTCAGCATTGAAAATAAACAACAGAAATCATATATTAAGAGCCAACTTAAAATCTTCCCCATCAGACTGCATCTGGCCTGTCGCACAACAGTACTGCATACTCTTGTTACCAATACCGGTACCACAACAACCTAACTTAAAAATCATAATAAAACAAATTCCGAAATACCTTTACAAGTCAAATAGAAAATATTGTCAAGTCAGCTGCTTGCACTTAACAGGTCACAAGCGTAGATGAACGGCGACGATTACCCAGGCGGTGGCCGGAGTCTGAAAGCTGCTACATCTCCCACATCGCACAATGAATAAGCACACATATAAATTGGCAAGTTTGGGTGAGCGAGCAAAACGTCCATATACAGAGCACATAATGTGATAGTAACATACTGAGTAATATATTAACAAAATAGGTTATTACAGTGTTAAGTTCAAGAGCGACACACGCTCACTCACCCACCAGCTAAATTTTAGTGTGTTTAGTGTTTATTATTTGAATAGGGATCAATATTTTATCCTGGCGGAGAAGGATATCCCGCGAGACGGCTTAATCAGGGACATTATGTAATGGCTCTGGCTTAATTTATAAGGCGTACCACGGTCTCTCGCCCGGTTACCAGTCCACGTTGACCAGTTGTTTACAAATGCGCGGACTCATTTTATGCAAAGTGGATCGTTTTATGAGCAAAATCTCTCTGTAGTTGCATGCCGCGTGATTTTTCATATTACATACATTGTTAGAGCAGGGGTTCTCAAACTTTTGGTGTTACGGAGCCCCTGAAGAGGATGACTATTATTCACGGAGCCCCACAATAAATTTTAAAATTGTTACTTACCAATTAATATTCCTTAGTTGGTTAAAATTATTTTACTCAATTTCAATGCTTAACCTTTTAATAGGGTTAATATTCATACCTTGGTATGAATATTTGTGAATGTTGTTAGCCTCTTTGTAAATTAATTTATTAACCTATTTACATGTTAAACTAATTATATAATAAGTGATGAACTGCATTATTAATAGCATATTTAATTGTGGATCATACATTGATACTCCATTTCTAATTCATATCTTTATAAATCTTTATGAATGTTGGTAGCCACCATACAGTATTCAGTGATTGTCACTGTGTTTTTCCATGCTTTCATTTTCGTAAATTAATTTACACTAATAACCTTTTTATATTGTTAAACTCATTGTGTAAACAAGTGAGCTGTATATTTAATTGGTGGATAATACATAAATATTCGAATCCTTATTCAAAGTATGTATAAATACTATAGAATTCTAGGTAGCAAATTAAACAATATTCATCGATTGTTATTATTTTTCCCACCTGCTTCTTCATGTGAACTAATTAAGGTGCCAAAAGGAGTCAAATGATCTTTTACGTCATGCACTCCATTACTGAATCTGTGATGATATTATTTTCTTGTCCCTATCTTTCAATTTTTGATCTCGGTCTGTGTCCAATGAAAAAAAAAAAGCTTTTTTAATCTTTGACTGTTTTATTCTTCCATTGGACATGATCGGTTACATCGGTACATAACCTCTCAAAATCCTAAATTGCCCTTTGATAACTTTAATAATAATAACTTTAAATTGCCGACTCATTCACTCATTTCTTTATCTTATATATACATTATTTAATCCCATTTGCATTTACCCATGGTACTATATTATGCCATGATAACCTTATATACAGCATTTACCCAAGGGTCGGGAGCCTAGATGACCTTAATCGGTCCTGCACACCGACCCGCACAAAACAATAATCAATCGCTGTTTATTACTGAGGAAATATTTTCTTCATTGTATTATTATCTATTATTGTATATATTAGTGTTGATTTTGTTTTTGTGGCAATAAATCTCACTCTCTCTCTCTCTCTCTCTAATACCAGCCATGAATAAATCTAAATTTCACAGATAAATTATATATATTGAGGCTGTAAATTTGACACTTGACAAACATATTAATAAATTCGGGGTCGAACCTCCCTTCTGATATTTTTGAAGACTGAAAAATCGCTAATAACGTGCGCGATTGCATCTTGATAAAATCGCCGATTATTTTTTTTAGTCCGTAAACATTTGCACGTGGGTGTTCATTCTCCTTGAATCACAAATTTTCATCGGCATATGCATAAATTGTTCCACGAGGAAGACGATAATTGCTTTTTGTTCTCGTGTGGAATTATGAGTTCAGTGCGGTATCTAGTCGTTGGTTCAGTGTGAAAAACAAGTTAGTATATTATATATCATCGGCGACGATATGCTAAGAATAATTAATAAAGGGGTGTATACGCAACCCAAATTTCTTGAATGAGAAGCGGCATTATAGAATATTAAAATTAAAACAGATGACACCATAAGTTTTGTTTTAGCAGACTCGTGACAGATGAACCTTTTCCCGACCTTTGACCCCGGAAAAATTCTTCCTATACTTTACCATTGCAGAATTTTCGGGGCTCTTTTAAGAGTGCTTTCGCGAGTTGGCGACTGTAAAATAGGGTATGTGTTTCAAATTATCATTATGATTCATTGCATACAACAATCTGTTTTTTAAAAGTACTGGTAAAATTTTTTAGCCTAGTCTATCATAGCTATTTCTACACTAATTTTTTATTGCTGCAATTAAATTAAAACCCCTAAGAAGACAGAGTGATCATTGAATTACCTGATTTATATTTGAGCTTCCGAAACACTACTGAAAACTAACGAATAGAGTTCAAAAATGCGAAAGCGAGGTAATGTTTGCGACCACGCTTGAAAATCTGTCTGAGTGAGAAATGTGTCTGAGCGGATGCGAAAAGGGAGCATTGTTACGTTAATTTTTGCATCTTCCTGATTGGCCAATGTCCCGAAGTAAACAAGGAAGTCGATGCTCGGGGAAAGGTCCATTGAAAAAACTTTTTAAGACATTGTTAATAACAAAATTTGGTGTTTATTTTAGGTTTTCTTTGGAAATTATACGGTAGTAACAAAAATCGAAACATAGTTAATTGGGCGCGCGATGTAGGTTACTTTCAACCATTCTGAAACTACCGACTCAGCCGCATGCGACTTTTTCTCGATATGTGACGATATATAAGATAATTAATGTAAAGTATATCAATCTATTTTTTATTGCAATAAAATAAATTTTAATCATCCGTACTTTGTGATTTTTCAAACGGTGATATATATCTTTGAAAGAATCTGAGTGGCAGACATGCGATAGGGCGGAGTCAGCGTTATAGGAACGACTCAAATTTGTCGAGTTCGCTAAATTGCTGTAATCTGCCATACAATCAGTCATGATTATACTTTACATTACTTCTAATATCTTACGACAACAGCGTCATCCAGGTTATGCGGCAATTTTGATTCTCATTCCATGTCCGTGGATTGCCGCGGTGATTCTGAGCAGTGATGATTTTATGTTGTCGTAAGTCGACGCAATCGCAGGTTACATTGAACACAATTAAGTCAAAAACACGGCATTTTAAATATGCCCCAATCGGTCAGGGATTGCGCAATTGTGAGTTGTACTCATGGAGGTTTTAACGCCGACCTTGAGATTTTATCTTGCTTAAAAATAATCTTCAGTGCTGAAAGATCAAATCCAATTTGACGAATCCCAAGATCGTAAAAATACGATTTCCATCTATTTATAATTGGTACTTGGCAGTTGAGAAGTTATTAGGCAGGCAGTTTTTTATGTTATTTTAGAATAGTAATCTTTCATTTTTAGTAATCGCAATATAGACGTAAAAACGAGTAGCGATGAACACAATTAAATTATCGTGCTCGCGTCGGCTATAGATTGAATATTTTACGCAACAGAAAACTCGTTATCTGCTGAAAAAGTCTTTTTTTAACGAGTGGCCTAATCGCGAAGAATGTTGCGCGAGAATTTCCGATTCCAATTTTGAACACCCACCACCTTCTCTTTTAAAATCCTGGCTCGCTCCTGCTTGTAGATAATGTCATATTTGAATTACCTCTTTGCGATATTTCGACGCTACTGTTGTATCATTTTATTAATGCCGTTATTGCGTCTTGGACAGTAGCCCGCGGAGCCCTTAGGTTTCTCTCACGGAGCCCTGGGGCTTCGTACGGAGCACTTTGAGAGCTTTGTACGACCGCACTTGAAAAACGTTTTTGTTTAGTTTCATTGCTTTATCTGACAGATTTCTTATACACAGCATGGGTCAGGAGCCTCGGTGACCGAACCGGTCTTGTTTACTGACCCTCAAAACTTCAAATGTTTTATAGTGTTGACATTATTTGCGAAATTAAATCTTTCTTGCGAATTTCATTGCTTTACTTGTAATCAATGAACGAGAAATTAGTACGGTAATGTTCTACAGTGGCGTAGCAAGACTCTCGTGGGCCCCCCCGCAAAAATATTTCGTGGAAATTACCCTAAAAACTCTTGGACATAAGCTAAAACAACGCTTTTTTTATTTTGTCAAAAGCATAACATGTCGCTATAAAAAGACGGTGGAAACCTAAAATTTGCCGTTTATTTTGGTTACTTTAATTTTTTCAACACGTTCTTCCTCTTCTGCGTTTCTGTGCGCCACTGAGAGGTTTTGCTTTCGACATCATTCTGACGGTCTTCGTAATTTTGCCGGTGCGATCGAACCACAAGACGCCGAAAATCGACGACTTCCTGGCATTGTTACGAAACAAAACGATTTGAGCAGAACTAACATCAACGTCATAAGATGTGCATTACTTGTTTTGCACTGCAGCTTTCGGTTCGCGGCTTGAATTTTTAAATTCTAAACGCTTGGGCCCCTTTGCGCTGTGGGCCCTCCCGCGACCGCGGGGGTGGATGCTACGCCACTGATGTTCTATATTAATCTATTTCCATAGTTTTTGCATGATATACTTTGGTGCTTAAGGAGTTCAAAATCTTCAGTGATCTACCTAGTTTCTTTTTACTGCAAATATAATCCGGTCTTCTGCTCATCCCAGGATACCATATAATTTTATTATTTTAATTTTCATTTGAAAATCCATGACATGGTAAAATGTGGTGCATACCATATATGTACACACCCTTTAAACTTGACCATTCCCGCGTTTTATAGTATGTGGTATCATCACTCAATGGTGTTGTACATTCATCCAAATTCTTAATTGTTTTTATTACTATTCATATGCAGTGTGTTTCATGTTGTGTTGTGTCTCTATTTATAGATGTTGTTTTGTCTAACAAACTCCTTTGTACAAACAGTTTTGTACACTCCACACCCACCCACAACTGCCTGTATAAAGGACCCATTTGTACATATTTGATTTACCCTATTATAACTTATATCAAAAGGGGTGCATGCCGCACATTTGTGTTTTAGGCCAATATGGTCTTGTGCATACATCCGGTCTTCAGTATTTATAATTACTTACTCTTTTATATTGCTTTTACGAGACGAATAAACATACATACATACATGCTCTTTTCGGATTTTAAATGTATCCCATTTCAACCAGAAAAACTTTCACACTACGCTCAATGCTGCTTGTTAAATAATGCCCGATGTTGCTATTTGTAAAATTGTACTGCATTCTCAATGACCCAAATTAACATCATCATTGTCCCTTGTCTTGCATTGCTAAATAAACCAGGAAATTATTAAGCGTTGGCTAAGAACGTGCAAGATGACATTTCATTTAAGACTTCTTGAATCACCTGTGGTGGTTCACCTCATTTGAATTTCCATCCTCTGTGCGTGTAACAAACAAATAAACTCTCTCTCTCTCTATTATATTGATTTTATACTATGGTGGAGTCAGCTATTGATAATGACTAATGACCATCTATTTGAGAAATGCTTTTAATGAGAAAGTGTTAGTGGGTTATCGTCCTTATCGAAGAAAGAAATTCTATATAACAGATGCATATTATTTTACAACAATTTACTAACTAACAAAATTTCTTAAATCAAAGCACCAAATCAAATCTGTGTCAATGTTTCCCAACATGTGTTTGAATGCAAAAATACAAAGAGACTATCAAAAAAGGCTTGGATTCGATATGGCCCATAAAAAGTGAAAAAAAAGAAGTAAAATAAATATGTGAATGTGAAAATGATAACCACCCCTTGGAAAAAACACAAAAGTTGAGATAACTCCCAATATCAACACAATATGCCTAATTTGTGAGGCCGAAATAAAGAAAAAACAGAATAGCAATGATCATAAACAATAAACTTTTTAGGGCGTGATTTACCTAATAAAACTTTTTAAAACGAAAATATAAGACGACTAGATGTTTTTCATCAAAATTTAGGATTTCGAAGAATAATCATCAAAACGTTCACAGAGTCTATGATGACTCAACAGCGTTAATTTCATTGTGTTAACAGACTTTTGGAAATCAGAATCTTTACTTATAAGAAAATTGTTGTCATTAACAAGCTGCAATGTAGCTGCAAATAGTCTACAAATGTACCATGAATTTGGCGATTCAATAGCATCTTCAAATAATTTAGTATCTTGTGGCTTTTCAAATTTTTTCAGCATCATTCCTCCATACTTATGGATGTCAAATTCCGGTCTTGAATTTTGTTCTGCAAGACGTGGAGTAATAGATTCATCCCATAACTTTACTCTTTGTGACAACGCAGTTTCTTCTTTGAATCGCCTAGCAGCAGAATAGAACATTTCAACATGGTGGCGAACGAGGTCTTCATAAGAAATGGGACTGCTTACAGTTTCATGTGCAGTATGATTCCCCTTGCCTTGATTATCTATCACATCACCAATAAGGTCATCTAGGTCAGATGAAAAATGATCCGAATGTATTGTCGAGTCATGATTCATTGGTTCAAGTTGTTCTTCTTCGCCAAACACCGCATCAGGGCCTACATCTTTTCCAGGCATTCCAAGTGAATGGTCAACATCACTTGTCATCGCTAATAGTTTTATACTTTTCCAAAGTAAAGCTCTTTCTTTAGTTTCTCCAGCTATGAATTTCTCAAGACATTTATCATGATACTTGATGTCTCTCCTTTTCTTGTAACCTTTGTTCATTATGAAAAGTGATATTTCTTCAACTTTATCCACAGTCGGGCTGTTGATCTTTCTTTTTCTAGTGGTTTTAGATTGGCGAATGGAAGCTGGAATACAATAAGACCTGATTTTTTCATATTTTTTGACCGCAAAGCAAGGTATTCTACAATGCTCATGTGGATCAAGGATGGTGGGAAAAACTGGGGTTTCATGTATAGGTACAGGCTTGGCAAGAAACCTTTCTCTTAACTGCATTCTTTCTATAACAGTTTTTTCTTGTTCTATATTTTTAACGAATGGAGGAGCATCATCCATGTCATCAGCAGCAGCTCCTGCATCCATGGACTCGTCGATTCCACCAAAATTATCCATTTCTTCTTGGACAGAATTTGTCTCCACAGGTTCTTCAGACCGAGAAAAAATGTTCATCGGAGCAATTTCTAATTCTTCTAATGATGGAACTATAATTTCATCCAAAAACCCACCTGAATCCCTATCAAGAACACTCATTCTTTTTTCAAATGGGATAAAACGATTCTCCCAAAAATCATTTGTGTAACAAACGGAGTCATTCTTGTTTTCAGACAATATCAATCTTCCTCTTTCATCATTATCATTTTCAAGCATTGCTGTAGGGGTTATAGGAATAGGTGTAATTGGGTCATAATTCGAAGTGAATTCTCTTTTCGAAGTTATTGCAACATCATTCAGATTTAGCAATTTTTCTTCATCATCGTCAAAATTGGGATCAATAGTTTTATCACTAGAAGAATTGTTGGGATTTTCATCGGGAACCTCTTTCTGTCTGTTTGTGATCATTTCTAGTGTCTGTTTTACGAGAACATATAAGTATTCAACTTTTTTACTCCATACACAGGCTGTTCCTTGAATGAGCAAGGATGCTTCCGCAAAATTAAGCACAGTTTTTCCATTGTCAAATTCAAAAGTCATTTTTTCTAATTCTTCCATATATTCTTCCAAAACATGTGTTAAATCTATTTCCCAATTCTTAGTAATATCCTTTATTGGCTGTAGCAAGAAGCCATACTTTTTCTGAAGATCTTCTGATAACACCATATTTACGTTTAGGTTCCTCTAATTATCTTCTGAGAAAACCATTATTGCAACTTGCTTAAACAGAAATAGGCTATACCATGATAAAAAAAATACAGTGAAAAAGAACCATCACTCAGCTGTGATTAGTAAACGTTGCAGAAATTGCTGAATTACACTCATAAGTCTGTAAGTCATTAGGGAAAGAGTTTGATTTAACACCCGTCACTAGGCATTTTTCACATATCAGAATTTCAAAATACATTCTTTCCTTACTTTCCCGTGAATTGTCAGATTGTATAGATAAAAGGACAATAGACTATATCTGTATGTAGTCTTCTACTATAATGTACCATTATAGAAAATTGTATTAAAGCCCTTAATGCTGTAATGTAGTAAAAAGTAAATCTAAAGCCCAACTTTTTTGTTTTGCTCAAGTTAGTAAGTGTGAAAAGTGTTAAGCAACACCTGACAGTCTGAACGGATCAAGCAGAAAGAAGGGAACAGAAACAAGGAAGTTAAGATATTCAATACCCATGGGTCCTATCTATGATTACGAAATGTACGGTACCGTACCAGGCACCATCTTTGTCAAACGACAGAACGATGTCTGGACGTGTACCGTACCGTAGTGCAGTAGTGTACCTATACCGTACCAGTATACGGTTACCGGTACCACAAACTGATATATTCCGATATTGTAAGCCTTTCTTCAGTTCTTTAGCTTGGGTACGCTTGCCTGCAATTATATAAATACTAAATACATAAATATTACAGTAACGTATTTACTATGAAAAGATACAGGTATAGCAGTCGGCGCATGTTCACTAAACAACGTAGCTAATAACTTAACCGACACTTTCAATTGTCTAGGGAATACGGACAATACATTCAATTGTCTAGGGAATACGGACAATATCTGATACATAAATAATGCTATTAACGATGAATTTCATGCGTCATGAACTAACGATGAGTAGATAAGAAGAATATAAAATGAATTTAACCACACGAGAAATTGACATTCTGAATTTTATTGATAGGTACCGGACCAACCAGCGATATGAAAATCCGGAGTCTGGCAGCCCTTGGGGTTTTGTCAAATGTACGAGACTGTATAGGATTCTTGCGGGAACATCGCGTACTCGCCCGCGGCATGAACTGCCCCAAATGTCGAAACGCCATGGTAGAAGAAATCAATAAGGCAAACAAGCTCGATGGGGCAAGGTTTAGATGTAGGAAAGCTAATTGCCGTAATACAACGACAATAAGAAAAAACTCGTTTTTCGAGAGAAGTAAAATCGACCTGGTTAACTTGGTGATATTATTATATTGTTGGGCCATGGATGTACCGCAGAGACAAATCGTATATGAAATAGATGTGAGTCCCCGTATTGTTGTAGATTGGTTGCATTTCATACGAGAAATATGCTCGACAGAACTCATTCAGAGTTTTAAAAAGATCGGTGGCAAAAAAATGACAGTCTGCATCGATGAAACGCTGATAGCCAAACGAAAGCCATGCTCAAATTTTAGGGCCCGAAAAATCAAGCCTATTTGGTTGTGGGGGGCTATATGTTTGGAAACCAAAGAAATATGTTTGCAATTAGTGCCCGAAACTGGTAGAACTAAAGCTACAATGGAAGAATTGATAAAGGCAAACGTTGCACCACATTCAGAAATTTGGAGCGATTGTTTTGGGTCCTACAGAGACATAGAAAAGTTGGGAATGGGATACACGCATCGAACAGTGAATCATAGCTTGATGTATGTCACTGATGAGGGGGTAACCACAAATAGTGTAGAAGGGCTTTGGACTGGAGTGAAAGAAAAATTTAAAAAAATGCATGGGACAAGAAGGGAAATGATCCCGTCTTACCTAGATGAATTTCAATGGAGGAGAAGACACCTCCCACACGAACGTTTTGCCAAAATTTTAGAGGCAATAGCGAATAATCCAAAGTATGATGTAAACAGGCTTGAAAACTAAAGTAGGAAAGAAAAGAAAAAAAAAAAAAAAACTACGTTACAATGTTCATATTACTTTAACAGAATTAACAATACAATCCTATAAGAGACTTATTATGGAAAACACGAATAAAAAAGCTGCATCGGTATTTTTGTTAACAACTACAGCTAACTGGGGAACTACTCAACAAAGAAAACATGTATCGTCACTAATTGGACCGGATACGAATATAGCCGACATAACGGAAGTGGCTGAACTAATGCTCTTAACTACTCAAATCGTGACGACCTTACAACAGAAGACGAAACAATTAAAGAAGCAGGCAGAAAAAGGAAGGTTTACTATTGGGTATGTGTTGGATAGCGATCCTACCACGACCCATGAAATAACCACCACAACCACAGACCAAGTCCTCGAGCCAGAGCCGTCCACAACAACATACGAAATAGCAACCTCAACTACTAATCCAGTGCCAGAGTTTGAGGCAGATTATGGGAAGAAAGTGATGGAGAAATGACGAACCTTGCGTATTCGCCACCAAGCCCTGCCTACTCACCGCCAAGCCTTAAGCACTCGATTACTAGCTGTCCCCCTCCGCTATCGGAGGAAAGTGATCTCGACGACATTGATGGAGTGCCCATGGACTATCCGGAAGCGTATTTTGCATGTGAAAAGACAAAACCCTTTGTCGAAATGCCGCTACCGTTACCGGATGAAAGTGAGGCCGACGCTACGACCCCGAACAACGAAATACAAGAGGTAGGCGAGATGACTGTAGAAGGAGACTTCAGGTGTCAGGGGGCAATATCCATGGCAAACCTTATAACCATAACTTCAACTGAGGGGGTTGAGGCTTGGAAGGGAGAGTGTGCTGGACCGTCTAATCGTCCCAACTCTGTGACAAGAGAAGAAATATCGCTACCATTATTGACCAGTCGGGAAGAACGTCAGAAACAATTGAGAGAAAGAGTCTATGATTACGTCATCACAGGAAATTGCGAAAGCCACCTACATGACATCTGGTGTGGAAAGAGGGAGTCAGATAGACTAACTCAATTCGACAGAGGATTTAGCAATAAAGCCATGCAGCGAGTGTGGGAGGCCGCCTGTGTTCGTATGTTCTTCAAAGACGAACAGAAACAAGAAAACGTGCTGAGATACCTGAAACAATGTACTGAAATGTTCACTCGATGGGGAGGGACCCGACTCTCGCGCAGTGAGGCACCTCGCCCAATGAGAACCCGACGGCATACATCTCGTAAGTTCAACCCTTATTCGTTGAGTTATCTTCGACCTAAATCAATGCAATCCTGCAGCAGCCCCATATGGTCACTAATAAACTATGAACTCGAAACGGATGTGTTATTACCTGAGAGTGTTATATTTGCTATCCAAAAATTATTGAAAGTAGATTGCATGGAGGCTGAAAAGATCTACCTACAGTCTCGAAATGGCAATTTCTCAGCGAACTAATTGGAACTGTAAATGAAGTAATAATAAAACAGGCATGCCGTGTTGTACATAACCATGAACTTTTGAATTTTGTTTTACAGACTATTGTTAAATAAAAGTTACAAACTAAAAAAAAAAACTAAATGATATGGCCGGCCCATCCTCCGATGAATCCAGAATGGTGCACGTTTTTAATTCTCGTACTAACAATAATTGGGTTGGCGTCGCATTGGGTTTATGTGCTATGGTATTGTTGTCGAGGGAAAAAGTCTTCTGTGTTATGGGAGAGTTAAATTTGGGCGTGGCCTCGTTGAACGAGGGTACCTTGATCAAGGCGAGTCAATTAAACGCCACGCATTGGGAACTGACAGATCCATCTACTCCATGGGAACAAATTGATTTAAAAAACTGCTGGAACGTAAGTGACGGCGACAAAGTATATAAAACTCCGGCTCTCTATTATTCCTCAAATTTCGGGTATGGTTGGTTGCGGAAGAGAAAACTTATCAACAACGTAATTATCCCCAGGAAAATATTGGGAAAGTCCTATCATGCCTAGAACGGGAGTGCCTGTGCAAACGGCGAATTGCCTGGATAAAGCCTGATTTACAAACGCTCACTTCTTTATAAAATCAAACGTATAGGCGACCTATAGGCCAACATTTCCGATTTGCATGGCAATGGGCGCCGCAACCAAGCAAAAAGGCGCAATAAACACGTCCAAACGATGGACCAATCTAATGCTTACGACCTTCACGGCGTATAAGCTATGGTGATCCGATTGCTACAATTTTACGCAACAGTCGATGTAACAACTCAAGTCACAAAAGCAATTCAATATCGTGGGACAGAAGGGTGGCGTCGAAGTAATGGATTTTGACAAAGGTATACTTCAGACATTTTTAACTAACTACGTAGACAAACAAGGACTGTCCCCTTACATGAACCGAATTCGGTATCAGTTTACCGGGCACGATTTAATATTTGAACCCCTAGAAGGCGATTTTTTAATACAAGAAGTCGATGATGAACATAACAGCGTGTCAATTCGAAACACTACAAAATACGTAGGGGTTCTGAATGAGACCTTCTGGCCGGTATCCACTAAACATATGGCCAAGTGATTTTGATTTCCCGGAATGGAATGAGAAAATTAGGTGGATCGCGCCAACTCATATTGTTAATTGGACTCACGATGGGGAAGTGATACAAAAACATGGACCTATGGTGTTATATGACACCTATCCGTCCATGTTGCACTGGGACAGTGAATGTAAGCGACGAATTGAAAGAAATGAACAATGTCAATACCCTGTCGGGAGTATGGAAGTAAAAATGCGGTTCTGGGACGAAACTAAGTATGACCCTGCTCGCAACCGAACTCAGTTCCCGGCCCCACCTCTTATGCTAAAAGGAGGCAAATGGCCAAGTCGGAAACGCGCAAGATCCGCTTAGTGTGCCCGGAATAGGAATTCCTGCCCGGAGAAATAAACGCTTTATATTTGAGGCAATAGCTCTAATATTTGCAGGAATAAATTATGCAAACACAAGAACCCTTATTGGCGAAATTAACGATCGAATTGACGAAATGACTCGACAGGTGAACACGAGGTTGCCCAGAATGAAGAGGCCTTAAGACAAGTTGCGTCAAGACTAAATGAATTGTCCCGATCGACTTTTATTCAGAATCAACGGCTAAGTGAGGTCATCTTTCAAATGGTTAAAGAGCGCGAATTAAGAAGACAGGAATGGAATTTCTTACAGGGAGAAATTGACCAGAATCAGCGATTATTACTACGGGAGTTGGATACGTTTCTGCATGAATTCCAAACAATCGAAGCCATGTCTGTAGCTGAGTTAGAGGTGAATCAATTAGTGTTACACGTTTTGAAAAATTCAACGGCAAAACCATTATTTGACAAAACCAAGGCGTATTTAATACGGGTAAAAGATGGTATCCTGCATTTGAAAGAATACGCCCGACTTCTAACAGCAGTAGAGGAGGAGGCAAACCAAACGATTCAGAACAATGTAAGGCAAGCAGAGGAAATGAGACGTGGTATGCAAGGCGCAGACAGAGAACTAAACGAAGCCAATGAATTGTGGGTGAGTGGCTTAAACCATTCCCTAATATTAGTAAACACGTCAGAATGGGACTTCGAAAATATATCGGTCGAACACATTAATATGACATTAGATTTAAATTTCACTAACATAGTGGATGAAGCTATGAACCTAGTAAATAAAGGAGCTCGGAGAAGTCGGGAATGTTTTCAAAACCGGGGGGAGGCGGTAGGAAATTTCTTCGGTGGAATTTTTGGTGGGGTATTCTCGCCTTTCCTAAAAGCATTAATACCGATTGCAATCGTGGTTGTGATTCTTATAACAATGTGCTGCTGTATCCAGAATCACCCAAATTGCGCCCCTGTAAAAGCACAGCTGCCGCCTTACTTTCAGACAGGAAGCCATTAGGTTGGCGAAATATTGAAAACAGGCAAAACACCACGAAATAAAGAAAATGATAAAAGACGGTGCCGAAACGGCTGCTATAGCAATATTATAAATATAAATCTAGGTAAATTGTCAAAGACTCTCGGAATAAATTGCAAACCCCCAGTGACGCCCAAAACTTCCTGGACTTGATGAAAATCGAATACGTCATGACCTTTATAAAATTGCGCAACGCGACCATATAAGGTAGCGATGCTTGATCCCTCGAGAATTGAAGTTTAAAATACACCCATCAGATGTGTTATAAGGTGACCAATATTGGCCTGAGAAAGTCAGTCAACATCGGGCATCCATGGCAAACGAATATCAACTACTGTGTACAACCAGCAAAAGACTTGGAAATATTCAACAAGCAACCGAAACAAATGGAACTTATACAACTCAGCCTACATATCAGAAAGATGTTGAGAACTCAACTGCAACTTCTATCCAGACTCAAGCATTAAAAGAATATCATATGAACAACCTTCAACTAAATGGACTCACTGGTGATGTTACAAATTTATTAAGTTTTCATCCGAACTTTAATTCATTAATCAGAATCTTTCGATTAAAAGAACGGTTATTGAATGATTATATAGATACAAACTCAGAATGACTTTGGTAAACTTTGAAAACGTAGATTATGTTTGAAGTTAATTGTATAATTTTTTACTAGAACTGTAGAACTGTTGAGACCTATAAAGAATTGTAGGAATTTATTAAACAATTTATGTGAAATAAGGAAAGTTACCTAATTCAGATATGTTTTAATTTTCGAAATTATATGAGAATTTTAGGCAGAGTCTGGGAATGCACAATCCTCCAATTGCCTTACATAATAAAAATTAATATTGTTATGGGACATAGGAAATCACAAACAGTTGACGTATTGTCAAAATTTTCCCACATTGAGTTTCAGGAAATTGTTGGCTGATCGTAAAGTACATGGTGCTATGCTATATTTTGCAAACCTTATATTGCCTTATCAAATGGTTATTAAATTTATGGGAAAATAGATTTTGCACGTCGTGAGAATTGGCAGAGAATTAAATATTTTCCATCAACGCTGCAAAGTTATTATCTCGTAAAAAGCTGGATAATCCCTTAAGAGCCCAAGAAAACATGTTTTCCCATGGATAATCACTAATGCATTGCTGAAGTTCCCAGATAGGAAATTTATAAATAGATTCAGCTGCGTTGGTTTAATGGCTTCCGTAACTTGTATTCCCATGACTCCCAGTTATTAAAAAATTCTTTGCAAATGACTCATGTATAACCAAGTATATTTGAAGTTTGTTATTTTTTCTTATTCCATTTAACTTTGTAACTGGCTCTGACGTATGGTGTTTTATTATTATTGGTATATTTTCATTGATTAATAGTTAATGTAATATCATGTAATCATGAGATCAAGGATGATCGTGGGACTTATATTAAAAGTTATGCTAGAGCATATTTGCCAGGCGGAACTTAATATAGGAAATAACATAGATCATGTATGGACATAGTGTATTATAGTGACCACGGAAGTAATACGCATTTATGGTATTACGTCATTCAAATATGGGATGCCCAAGTTTGGTTGGTCAGTAAAAATAAAATAATAAATAAATAGACCACACGAATGTATTGTGGAATTGCACAATAAGCTTAAAGGAATAATTGTAACGACTTATGCTCACCATTGACAATAATGTAAATGTAATTGTAGTTTATTATCATTATTGTTTATATTTTTATTGTGTTGGTATACTCAACATTTGATTTTATATTACCCTATATACTTATGTAACTTGTTTATTATTATATGAATGTAAATTGTAAGTTTGAACCTTTAATTAATGAACTAACCGGACGTTTGACTTACTCATACGATAAGCCGGTGCCCTTCGTAACAGAGAAATTCCTAAGGAAAGACTTGAAGCCTTCTCATGTACTTATATTATGATGAGTCGTAAACCTTAGTTATTTTTATTAATTATATAGTGGAAGTTATAACCACATACTTAATGTGACTATTTAATGGTGCTGTTTCAATTTGTACATTAAAACCCATAAAAAATAATAAAAGAAACAGCTAAAAATTCTTGATACAAACCAATACTATTGATCGCCGCATCTAAAACAAAATGGCGGCCACAAAGGAAAAACCAAAATGGCGGCCACAACGAAAAAACAAAATGGCGGATACGTGTAACTTATGTTTTTTTTGAAATTGTTAAGACATCGAAACTTTAAAATAAGATTTGACTATACTAGTTGAAAAAATTTTTGAACATTGATGTCTTTGTATGTTGCTAATAATGTATGATGTTTATCTCATATATTTTTTTGGAATTATTTTATCCTAGACAACGATAATGAACCCAAGAGTAATCAAGGGCAAATTGAATGTACCCCACCCCCTGTGGGGTGTGTTTAATTAAGGCCCCAAAAATCTCTATAACATACTGGGGGCTTCGTCTCGGTCTTTCTATTTTTTAACCGGGGGAGGGAATGTTTGTTTGCGGGTAGTAACGCACCGTGTTAGGTGGGCATAGCGGAAGCCAATGCTGGGAGGGGCCTTGACGGTCTAAAGGAAATTCCTGATAGAAGCCCTGCACTGAACTCGAGTGTTGTTTTTTATGCAACAAGACACCCCATGCCCCGTGTTGAGAATATTAAGGAACTATACTGAAACTATCTACAAATGTGCATGTTGTATTTTTTTTGAATACTTCGCAAATATGATCAAGTGTTTTTCAGTATAAATTTGAAATAGGTTACCGTATTACATGTGTGCATCACTTTAAAAAAAAAATAGGATATAGGATGTCTGACACGTTATATTGTTTTGTTTATATGTTATTTAATAATCTGGGATCAAGGCACCGTAATAAGGGTGTTCAGTGGGAAACTAACATTGGTTACGGGGAGCCTGACGGTCTATGGTTAATTCCTGATAGGCGCTCTGCTTTTGACCCAACGTTATAGTTTTGAAAAACAGTATAATGATGTTAAGATATCTTATATCATATTCCGAATTTTATCTTAAGTGTGTTATGCTATTTTAAGAAATTTGTATTGTGTTTATAACAATTTTTATGATGCAAAAACAAATTAGTAAATAATTTCATTGTATTTAAAATGTTAAATGTGTGTTAGTATGGTTATATTGTATTTTATTTATTTATATAACTGTACTAATATTGGAGTATTTGGTTGTATTAAGATTTAGGCTACGTACTAGGCTTAGGAAAACTTGGGTCGTTCTGAGACCCAAGTCGAAGAAGACAACAAGGAAGGGAACGTTTCGAGCCAAATAAGCAAAAACAAAATCCTGTCGGGACTGGCAAAAGAATTGCGTACAACCAAAACGAAAAAAGAAAAAGCAGAGAGGTAGACTCCAATCGAAAGAGAACGAGGCAACAAACGACCCTTACAACAAGCGGCAAGATAAAAAGGGAATCGTAAAATTGCAAGTAATTTTTATATTAATAACGAATAGTTAACCAGCCACTTCACTCAATAACAACGGAAAAAGCGGAATACCAGTCCAGAGAACCAGTCCGAGAAGAGTAACGCCAAGAAGATTTGGCACTGCATGTATACAATAACAATAATATAACGTTAAATATTTAAAGTAATTAAGGACTAACAATGCCCAATTGGTTTAGTCGAAAAAAAGGGGAGGCGTCCCGTGAACAAACTAAACTTAATAACAAAATGAAATTAATAAAGCATACCCAAGAAAGACATAAAGAGGTTAGCGCCACTGAAAAAAAGCTTAAGCAAGATATACTTGATAAACAAAAACTATTTACTCAAATACAAAAAGACCTTCCCCATGCCAAAAAAGAACTTAAACAGGCAACGAAAGATGTAAAAATGGCCCAGAACGATTTAGCAGCCATTGAAAAAGCAGCAAAGAAAGCCAGCGCAAAAATCACGATGGAAGAACTTCAAGGTGTACTCAAAAACGAATACAATGCTGGAAAGTTATACAAAATGTCTACCAGTGAAGCAGACGTCACGAAGTCATATTCAGTGGCTGTTGAACCGTCGGCACCACCGTCTTCAGAACCACCATCATACCCCGCCACACTTGTTTCCAGAACACCCACGATGAATTCCTGGCCAATTCACCCAGATACCCCAAATGGCCCAAGGTTGGTTGTGAAAAAGGGACTAGACCATCAAGAAATAGAAACTATATACCCCAGGTTGCAACATGAAATGGCCGCTTACCCGATTGGAATCGAAGGTGTAGATGTGGTCAGCGATAAAAGGATACGTCAAGGACGATTATTAACTACACCAGGCGAGGATCCCTACGGAGTTAAAATGCTGTACTCACAAAGGGCGCAGCTTATACCGCCTCCTGTTTTCTCCACTCCAGCAGACGAAAGGTCAGCAATAATAAATAGAAGACGGTTGGGATTGAATTCAAGAACAGCCAGAGGTGACGGGAAAGGTCCCTATCAAGAGGCAGAAATAACAACGCCTCAAATGGTAATACCGGCTCCCGATTATACAAAAGCTAAAGAACTAAGCTCCATAAGGTTGGGACCAAGTCCAAAAAAATATCCCACCGTACGCTTAACTCGAGGAAGGCAAAGAAGGGCGCAGCTAAAAAATGGAGTGCTGACGAGAACTGAATTGTCTCGTTCGCCATCGTCAGAAACAAGACCAGTTTCTCAAGAATTCTCCCTGCAAGGAGGCCCAAAATTTGACGTGATATCCCTTGCCAATGGACAGTTCTTGCAACAAGACCCAGAGTTTCAGCGATCCTTGCAAGCGGACCCGAATTTGGACTTATCAAGTAATACCGAGACTCCTTCATCATCATCGTCGTCCGAAGAAGAAGAACGGTATGCTCAAAGACCATCGCAGCCGAATTTCGTCAAAATTACACAACCACCGTACCAACCCTTGGCTACTTCTTCCAAACCCATGAACGTGGACGAAATGATGGCTATCATGAAGAATCCTGGGAGATTAAATCTATTGAAGTGGCTAGAAGACGCGATGACATTTATCGAACATGGTCCAGGCGACACAATAAGGGACAGAATACTGGCCAACGCGATACAAAAGAAGCTAATTGAAGCGAACCGCCGAGAGGATGCAGAACAAATAGCCGATTTGTTTGACGTACCTCGCCCTAATTGGAAAACAGTCATGGAATTGTTGGCGGTAACTCATCCACAAGGCATCGCTAACAACGAGAAGGTGATAAATGACTTTGCCTTAAATTATAGTTGGAAAGAAAGGCCCATGCTCGCTATACATGGGGTATTACGAGAAATGGATATTGATATCGATGAACAAATTATGGCCGATCCAGATGGCATGCGCCTGTTCAGAAATCTCAGAGCAAAACTTCCCCAAACATTGCGAATTTTGCTACAAGGACGAGAACACTTCACCTGGAGAAATGTGGCGACAGATCTACAAAAATTCTGGAACTCTGAACTATTAGATGACCAAACCGTAAGAGTAACAAATAAGATGGATCGGTATTCCAGAACCTCTTCGTATCCAGTAACTTCGATGCCAGCACTACAACAAACATATACACCACCTCCGGTAAACGTATATAATATCCAGCCGGCGATGGAAAAAACATTGCGCCAAACACCCTATGAAGAAGGTAACAAAAGGCTTTTGCACGCATACGTTGGGTCTACTAAAGAGTTCCCCACTGATGTCCAAAGTAATCAATTATTAAGTAATAGAATGATGAACCCTCCAGGTGTTTCGGGTGGCCAAACGACAAGGAGCAATGAAGCACCTAATCTACGTGAGAGAGCCACTCTACCAAGAAAAGCGAAAGAAAAAGCCAAGCCGTGGAAGCGAAAAGAGCGTTACGCGAATCCACGAAACACGCCACCTCGCGAAGAGACATCAGAGCAACAAATTTCTCCTCAACGCCAGCAGTTAACCCAACAAGAAACAACTCCAAGTAGCATAGGCGAAGCCGCAAGAATAGCGGAAACACAAGGTGAGCCATACAATTTCTTGAGTCAGTCCAACATCTTTGAACCATTAGGACTGTACGTTTCACCTGAAAATGGTCAATCTTTATCAGTCTGCTACTTGTGTAAAAGTCCTGGTCACATTTCAAGCTCGTGTCTGGTTAAAGCTATATTGTGGGTCACGGATAAGGTCCTGGGAAAGGATGAACAGGGAAGTTGGTAATCAAGCCGCGAACAAGAAAACTGCCAGACAATTTGCGACGAGAATGCAAGGAAAAATGGTCCGATTTCCTAGGCGGCAATAATCCTTTAGCACTTCCATTGCGCGACATTGATGACCTAAACAAATACCTCATATCTCAAGGGTCCCCAACATTAGAAAAAAGGGCAAATCTGTGTGAGCTATACTTTGGATTTAGACCCAAAAGCCGAGATAAAACTCATTGGCAGAATAGGACGCATTGGAACTTGCCACTTACCCAAACTAAAACAGCTCCTTGCTATTATGTCCAACATGGTTGGACTGAACATGATATGCAACAAGGACTAAACTCATCTTTAAACTAGTACGGAAGTTGTCTGATCCGGTGCGGCAACTTCCGGATAAAGTGGTACCTTGTAAATATGAAAAAATCATAAACAATGAAACCTTACCTCTATTCACCTTTTTGGGAAAACCGGAAAAAACTGACGGTATAAGCCTTACCGATGTATTTGGAGGTGAATTGATGTATTTAAGGGATATCAAAACTGGAACTATGTTCCTTGCAGACACGGGTAGTTTGCCTAACTTAATGACAAGGCAAACCGCCGAAAAATCTTATCCCAATAGTTGGAAAAACCGTCAACCTTTTACAGTGAATGTAAGGGGAATAGGAGGAACTTGCCAAATTAATTCCTTGATGATTATAAACATGGGAGAGCTCAAAGTTCCATTTGCAACGGGACAGGGCATACCATTAAACATAATTGGGTTCAAATGGTTGGGACCGGTGCAAGCCTTAACGACGATGGTCACGGAGATGAACAATCCATCGTCATGTATGAGCAATTTAGTTATGACAGCCGGTGAACCAGAGGGTGACGATCCTCTGGAATGTACCGAGGCGGGGAAACAGCGCGCAAGGCCTAACAGTGGTATTGGCTTGCGAAACACTAATGACCGAGAACGAAGTTTCAGGGGTCAAAAATCCGAACGAGCTAGTAGAAAGCCAGATTCGGACCCCCGGGGTGAAGCACGAAGTGCAAGAAAATCATCCGTCATACCTATATCAAACGAAAGAGTTGTCATGAAAGGACCAGTGAACGAATACGTGTTGAAAAAGGGAACACCGCACAAAGTAAAAAGCGAACTGCAGAAGCTCAGCGACGAAGCGATAGCTCTTGCTGGGGAAACTTACGTCCCGCCTGAACTCAATTCACCAGAAAACACAGTAATAACAGAAAAAGAATGGAGGCAAGTGTATCAACCTTATGCCAAAGAGTTGGAAGATCTGAGGGGTCATTTATCGTCTAAACAAGAACTGAAATATCCGTGTCACATCGAACTAAAAGATCCCACTGTAAAACCTTTGTCTCAGGACCATGACAAACCTGAGAGGAAAAGAACAATCAGAAGCTCTCGAAGAAGCCGTAAACTTTCTAGATCTCGGAGTATAAGAGACTGGATTTGCGGAATGGAATTGGCAATATTTGTGGTACCGCAAAAAATGAAACGAACGACAAACGCAAGAAACTGGCTGGCAACAATCATGGAGGGTGGTGCAAAATCTCAACCATTGAATGCTGCCATCAAATCTATTGAAATCGCCCCAGCGTTAATCCCGATATTAAGCAAATGGCGCAAGGAAGAGAGGTCTTGTCACTCCTTGATTTAAAAAAGGCATACTTTCATTGTGATGTAGTTGAAGACAGTAGAACCTTTTTGGGCATAGCGGTCAAAGGTCAACATCTACGCTGGCGAAAACTCCCGATGGGACTTAAGACCGCCGTGGCCCTTTCTCAAGCTAATATGCCAAGCTTGCGTCGTAGAACCTATTACAGCTCTATATCGAAACACATGCAATAATTGCAAGCGGCTTGACGAGGTAAAGGCCTCACCTATAGAAGCATACATTGACGATATATTTCTGAGTACCAAAACTGTGGAGGATCATCTAATACTGCTTCAAATAACCTTTGAACAATTAGCTAAAATGAAATTAACGCTCACATAAACAAATGTTTTATCGGAAAAAGACGAATTAATCTACTTGGTGCGACATTGAGCGGTAAGAAAATTAGAAGTACAACCAGAACGATTGAGGGCCTTGAAAGAATTGACTCCGCCGCGTAATGTATACGAATTAAGGGGTTGGATTGGAGCCCTACGCTACATTGCAGATCATATCCCGAAACTTAGCTTAAAAACTGGCAAAATTTGATGCTCTAACGGGAAACGTTCCGGCTACGCGCGGAAGGGTTACACCAGTGTTATGGACTAAAGAACTATTGGAAGATTATAAGTCGCTAGAGAGCAGCTGAATAGCGCGGAGGTTCTTGTATCACATAAATCCTGATCTCCCGTTGTTTGTGGAAACAGATGCCTCCGAAAACGGGTTTGGAGCAATTATATTTCAAACAAACAAAGAAGAAGAACCGCCCTTTACCTCAGTCTACCCAATAGCATACTACAGCCAGAAGTGGAATACGCCTGCGGCAAGGGCATACGATCCCTGCACGAAGGAACTTAAGGCCCTAAAACAAACTTTGGATAAGTGGCTATCGATCTTACACACTATGCCCTTTACAGTTATAACAGATAACATGGGAGTTTTTGGCTTGCTAAAGCGAATGAAAGACAATGCAAAAAAACCCAGCCCGCGCATGCTAATTCAACGCTGGCTGAATCATATATCTGGGTTCCAAATAACTAAAGTAATACATCGAACTACAAGGGAGGTATTTACGTCAGATGGTTTGTCTCGTTCGTTCTGGCTGAGATGGCATTCACGCCCAAAGAAACTGGCGCGTGGGCCATACCTGAAACGACAACGAAAAAAGAAGGGGAGAAGCTCGCTGCACGAGAGAAAAAAGAAAAATTTCAACGCGTCTTGATAGCTCATGCAGACATACAGATTGTCCTGTCGCAAAGGAAGGTTTTCATTTCTTGCAGCATTTACAGGAAGTACTACAGGAACAGAGTTGGCATTAACTGCGACGTAATGTACATCCAAGAGGTAATGCGAGATAGCGAAAGGGCTATTGTAACTAAGGATGGGCTAGCAGCAGCTTATGGGCACACGCGGGGAACGACGGCCACAATACAATGAATATTACCTGGGTAATGAAACACTATATCATGTGACGCGCGTGGAAAACCTAAACTCTATTATGGCAAATTGGGTTGGAATCGCGAGGACGAAAGTATATTCATCTCAGCAGAAAACCGAAATACAAGGTTCGAGGAAAACGGGTGGAAATTTCAGTTAAGCCAGCTGCGCTTAGAAAGGCAGGGTTCCTGATAATAAAAACACCTAATCCAAACGTGTTGCTATGCGAAGGACCTATCCCAAGGGACTTGATGAACGTCAGAACCCAATCTCTGAGGACGTCGCTTTAAACGATCAAAGTGTGTGATAACTAAACCGGACTACGTTGGAAGGTGAACTAGAGCCTAGCAGTCTACTATGACAGAACGACCGAAGCACAGGCGACACAGCAAAAGCATTAGCCTACTACCGCAACGACCCAACGGCTGAACGTCCGGACACCGAAAAGCACAAAGTTTTACAAAATGAGAACTTTTCCCGTTACGCATGACGAATTTGCCCGCCAATAGTTTTTGATGATTTGATTTGACTGCTTGCCTCAGTTTTTCTGCGACGGATTTTCTTATGGCGGATTAATTTTTACTGGATGTTTTTGCTTATATTGCTTGGACGATTTGTGCAGAGGATTGCGTGTTTGAAAACCCTTGGCTCGCAGAGTCGTTCACTTGGCCACATGAGTATGTTTTTGTGTACCTGGTACGTCCTTATTTATTAAAATAGCAAAGTTATACGCCTGAAAGCCATGGTTCGTTTAAACATTAACGATTTGGTGATTTTTTGTGCTGTAGTCTACTCTATCATACAGCTAGCGTTATAAAGAGATATATAATATCGTTAGTATGATAACTGGAACAATTTTTCTGAGGGTAGAAGGATAATACTGTTCCCTTAATTCATACGAATTTTAATAAAAAAATAACTAAAAACCTTGTCACCAGTGACGCAGCAAAGTTATAAGTCCGTATATCGGCACAACTGTTGCACCCTTCTATCCTTGAAACCATAAAAACTTGTCTTGCCTAGTCTATATAAGGTAAATTCTGTTATCTGTATGAACAAATATCCACACTGTTTACAACAATTAAAACCTATAAAGTGTACATATAAAAATTTATATTAGCTATGACTGTATGAAGACTGGAAAAAACACAATATTCTGGTATTTGTGCCTCAAAGAAGGTCAAGAATTGCATGGTTTTACTCCACCTTATACAAAACACTGGTAATCTGAATGAGCTATTACTACTCCCTACTATTCAGTTATTATTTAAAGCAAAAACATTTTTAACACCAGTTTCCAAACAAATTGTTATGAAATAGTAGGGACTGCAATGAGGGATATGCAGTTATAATATGGTAATCATCAAATAGAATATAAGTCTTTGCACAAAGATATGTCTCTGAACCCAATATAGTTTTATGACGAAAATATGAACTTAATATCTGGGGTAGGTATGATCAGACTAGGTCCCATACAAATTCATATATCAAAGAGGCATCATGGGAGCGTGACTGTTGGCAGTAATCTCAGTACAAGGGCATAATAATTTACAACTTGATTATTCCTGTGTTATGATAGGGTTTTTTATACTGTGCTTGTTTCTACATTTGCTTTGAACAAGGCCCTGTACAAGCAGCTACGGATATCTAAAAAGCCACTATTTCGGGGAGGGCTCGGCGGTGTGGCGCATCGTGCTGAGCGTTAGGAATACGCTCGCCACCGCATCTCTGGCCCTTCGTGGGATCGCAGGTTCGACCTGGACCAGTAACCGGACGAGAGGCAGTCGCTCACCATATGATTAATATATGACTTCTTATCGCCTTTCCTCTCCCCCGGGATAAATATGTAAATCCTATCATATCTTTTCATTGTGGCACTGCCTACCTCATTCAACTACACTTGAGTGATAAAGAGGTAACCATGATGTCATCGGGCCCACCTCTCTGTTCAACTCAATCCGGTCAACAGACAAAGAGGAAAATTCAGGTGAAATTTTTCCCCCTAAATTGTGAGGGAACGCTCTACTTTTGCAAAGAACTTCTCGATATACAAGAAGGGATTTGAAATGCATCAACTCAACTGGTGACACTTATTATGGCCCAGCTGTTATTAATTTTTACTCAAATGCTTTTGCAATTTCATCTAATTTCTATAAAATGTATTATGTATTAAAACCACCAAAAGTCAAATATTTTTTTGTCTAAAATTCATTGTTTGAATGCTGAGTTTGTCACTGAAAGTTCTACTTTCATAACTATAACTATATTTTATAATGAAACTGTAGATATCATCCTACTCTCACTTAACTACAAAAATACACACAAGAAGGAATTAAAACATCTTAGGCAAGATGGATGTATCAGAATATGCTGCTGATCAAACCAAAAACTGCAAATTATTTTCTAAAATTCCTGAAATGCTGAAAGGTGAACCATGTTTCCTGGGAATTGATGAAGCTGGACGTGGGCCAGTATTGGGACCTATGGTTTATGCCACATGCTTTTGTCCGCTATCTTGCAAAGAAAAACTTGCCAACCTTGGATGTGACGATTCAAAAGCATTGAAAGAAGAGCAACGAGATGAATTATTCCAGAAACTGGACAATTGCACAGATGACTTCGTAGGCTGGATCATAAATATTTTATCTCCAAACTATATTTCAACTTCTATGCTGAGTCGAACCAAGTACAACCTCAATTCAATTTCTCATGATACTGCAATCGATTTAATAAAGTCTGTACAAAACCTCGGGATAGAGCTTAAAGAAGTTTATGTTGATACAGTTGGCTCTCCTGTCACATATACGGCAAAGCTGAAAGAGAGATTCCCTTCCATCGACATAACTGTAGAGTCGAAAGCTGATGCAACCTACCCTATCGTTAGTGCTGCTAGTATTTGTGCAAAAGTGTGTCGCGATAAAACTGTGAAAAATTGGAAGTTTTCGGATAAGATTCAAGTTGCAGAAAATTATGGCTCTGGTTACCCATCTGATCCCAGCACAAAAGCTTGGTTGAGACAAAGCGTTGATCCGGTGTTTGGATTTCCTGATTTTGTTAGATTTAGCTGGTCAACTGCTAAAAACATACTTGAAGACGAGGCAGTAGCTGTGGAATGGCCAGATGAAGAAGAAGAGGAGGGTGACAAGAAATCAAACACACCTGCTATAACATCATTCTTTTCAAATGATACTAAGAAGCGAAATCGACATACGTTTTTTAAAGAAAATCATTTAAATACGGTCGGCTCTTTTTGACCATAATTTGCAATTTTGTCCCAATTTATTGTAGGTTGAAAAATAAATAATCTGACATTAATGCCACAGTTGAACACAGTTATGGTTCACTATTGCTAATCCCCAAATTCCATGAATTTATTGAAAATTAAATAACTGGCGTCACACATAACTAGCAGTGTCTAGAATTGAGCATTTTGCAGGTGACCAAATACTATATAGAAGTTACTTGGCAAACAATACCAATTGTGCAATATGGGGAGCCATTAATGTTATCCCCGTCCAACTCGTGTCACTGACTGATTTACAGATTCGTTTATGGAATTTAAAAATTTGCTACAGACGCCTATTTTATCAGTATCACCATGCCCCTAAAGACTCTACACAGATAATAATATCTGCAATGCGAATATTTTCTCACATTTGATGTTTGTTAGATGGGTCTTATTATCAGAGATAAGACCCAAAATTGATTAATAAGTTCTGAAAGAAATATATTCTTAATCGGGTCATATCAAAATAATAATCGTGGTAAATTATGGAAATTGGCTTCAGCGGTGCGGAATAGCGAGATAAACATGTTTTTCCAAAGATCGAGAAAGCCTTTTTAAATGAAACTCTTCTTGATACTTGATTCTTTTTGAACATCCTACCCCATACCTACTATCTGACCAAATTTGACTGCATTTTCCCTTAAAGCATCCATATACACGTAAATCTTGTGGCTAAACATAGGGTACTCCCATAGTATATGTACCAGGTTAGGCCATAACTGTATTCCGATTTTAGTTCTATTACAAGTTCGGGGACTGTCTGTCGAGTGAACATATCCCCTTGCCCATAGGTTTCAGTCATTTATACCACTTGATGTAATGTAGGCAAACAATGTTAGTTACCTCCATAATGATACATACACTACTCCAAACAAAGCACCTCCGACAAGAGTAGTTAATAATGAGAAGACTAAACGATCTTCTCCTGCTTCAAGGTTACCCGACAAAGTTTCCAGCTGTTTTACACTACATGCTGAAAAAGCCTCAATTGTTATGTGATGTGTTATATGATTTTCGGTTAAGAGAACCCTAACTGCCTAATGCTGATATAAAAAGTTATCGTGATCAACTTTGATATGATATCCAATAACAGCTATCACATCAGGCTTGGATGAACTCTGTGGAACTAGAATCACCATAGAGAATTAATAGGAAAAGCCCTGGTAATGTTATCGCCGGGGAGCAGGATTGAGCATTGCTTTATTTTTATGGGTTTGAATCAAATGAAAAAAGTTGTCACAATAGCATAGTGACACTTACACCTTGAACTGCAGTGGATGTAACATAGAAGAGCCAGATCGGAATAATGAATTTGCTTTTAATACAAACAAGTTTTCAACAGCATGGAATTTAAAATAACTTTACTAAGTATTCACCCAAGTAAAGGCGACATCTTGAAATATTTATAAATAAGGACTCAGAAAAAAAACAATGGTATGGTCAAGAATAAAAATTGGATTGATCTTAATTTGTCATTTGCTATACTGTAGATCTGGTAATGCGGCAGGATCTTCTAATTGTGGAGCAGTAGGTTTGTACATGTCTGCTTGAAATCTGTTGAGAGCGATTCCTACACCTTCAATAAGTGCAAGTAAGACACCACCGATAGCTGCGGATCCAACTGCCGGCCCCATACCCTGCCTGATGGCTAATATAAAACCAGTCCCAGCACCACTTATGATAGAGTTCCAAGGATCTTCCTTTTTACGAAGAGCAACTAATGAACAGTCACATAGTGAAAATGTGAGTCCCCAAACTGCAAACCCTCCTGCAGTTCGTGGTGCTTTAATTCGGGCATTTGTCATTGCACCGATAAGTCTGTTTGTAAATCCCTGTGGTGCATTTCGAGCCCCCCCAACCATAGAAAATAATCCTCCGCCAACGAATCCGAGTGAGAAGGCACCTCCGCAATCATCCAAGATGCGCCATGGACATGGGTCTCTTGTATAATCCATTGATTGATATTTAACACAGAAAAATCGCCAAAGAGACCTGGAAATGAAACAATAATTGGGTCTCGTGTAGTTTCGTACCTAACGTACTTCTAGTACTGTAGTAAGCGTAGCATAACAATTTTTTCACGTGTCAATGCTAACCCCCACCTGATCACACCATCCAAAAATTACGTCACTACGACGTCACAGTGACATAATAGAGCCCTTCAAATTATGCGAACTGTCATCCAAAACGCGCAGACGAGAAATCGAACAGCCATTTCTCTCGTTGCAAAGATCGCCGACGTTAGTCATTTCTTTATCGTCGGAGCCATTGCCATTTTGGGCGATCGTACGAGTATTTGGCAAGCTCTATGACGTGATTGTGATGGCGTAGTCAGGTGAGGGTTAGGATTAGTATGTCAAAAAATTTTTATGCTACGCCTACTAGAAGTTCGTTAGGTACGAGACTGCAATAATTAATAGATCTACTCCACAACTGCCTACCACAGAACCAAACTTCACATTAAAACCTTTTAGTAGTTGCAATATCTCTCATTAGCCAGCTTCCCTATGAAACGAGCTACCGCACATGGCTGCATGGGCAGACTGGCAGTGTGGCTCATCGTGCTATGTGTCACCGCACCTATTATTACTCTGCGTGGGTTCGCAGGTTCAAATCCCATGCAGGGATAGTTATGTGCAAGAGATACGGTAACTAACTAATTCCATACCCGACATAAAACGGTAACCGGACCAGAGGCTGTGGTTCGCCATATGGTTAAGCCGTATTATCACTTTCCTTTTCCCCCGTACCGTCACCGGGTACCGGTACATAAAAAATAAAAATAGGTCGCGCCACTCCTTACAGTTACAGCCTTATGCAAAAAGTTAAAAAACATAATCCAATAACCTAACACGGCAACTACACACAGTAAAATATAAAAACAGAAAAAGGCAGAATGAATTTCAGAATTTAGTCACAACGAAAAACCCAGAAACGCATGCTCAAAGTTTCTGGCTTAACTATGACGCAATGGTTGCCACAGTTCATGATGCTACGTCAGAGGTCATTCGCTCAAAGACGAAATAATGACGTCATAAAAATGTACGCCAGCGCTCCATATACTTTTTCGATTCCGTTTACTTTTTTCATTAACATGCCAGGAAAAGTATCCCTTTTATTAAGGATGTCACAGAAATACCAATCATATGCAGTGGCGTGTCTATATGGGGAGGGGAGCGGAGGCGGCAGCCGCCCCGGACAGCACGGTGTAGGGGGCAGTAGAACCAAGATATAAGATTTGCGTTGTTGCACATCTTTTTATCGATGTGTTCTTATTCAATTAAAAGCTGACATTACGTGTTTAGTATTGTGTAACCATTGTTGTAAGGGTGGTTTCACGAGATAGCGCCTTAGTTTATATGTTGTAAAAAATCATTTCAGATAATTTATTTTCGTCGTGCATGAAACATTGTAACACAAGCAATACTAAATCAAGGCAAAAGAAAAAAAAAACAGAGACACAATGTTTCAACTGCAATGGACCTTCCCCCGACCTTTGACCTTTATTGTTTTGATTTTGGTCGCTCAGACCAATGACATTAAACAACATGAACATTGTATTTCATGATACGCTCCAATGCACATATTTCTCGTCGCCTTTCGCGTCCGTTTTCCGCTCGCTTTTGCTACTCGGCGTCTTTTTTACGTGTAGTACCTGCCTTTTTGCGCCTGTAACGAAACAAAATAATCTCTATATTTAAGAAGTTTTGCTTCCTTGGAAAGCTGGAATAACAGGCAAGCTGTAAAGAGCAATTCTGGACATCATAGACGTTTTTTTCTATCAGAGAAGATTACAAACGCGATAGCGGAAAGATTTGTGTGGAACATTTTGCAGATAATGACAAAGTTCAAAGTTAGTAATTTTAATGTTTGCGCTTAATCATTGAAATTTCATTTAAAGAGGGTGTCATACAAAACTGTGCTGCGATACAATTCCATAACACAAAGTTTGCACCTATCGAACTTGCTTTCGTAGGTGAATTTATTAGACATATTACATATTCAGTTAATCGTAGGTAACATTGCTGGTACATAATGCATCGTAGATAGGTTTGTTTAAATTTAGCTCATAGCCCACTAATTAATATTATCTTCTATGCAGGAGGTTGCAGGGCTGAATTCAACTTGCAGCCTTACCGATCACCTGACGATGCTCATTTAGTTTGGCTCGAGCAAGTCTTCTTGAAATGCTTGTGTGGATAGAAACTACCTATATTTTTTGACTTCCTCCGATTTTAGACAAATTTATTCTGAGGGATTTCGCATATAATTCTCACTGATTGTTGGCTGTTTATAATTCCTATTGATTGTGAATTCTGATTATAACAATGAGTTGAAAATTTTTTTACCTAATTTACTGGCACCTTTTTTTTGTCAATACTCCAAGCTGAGGTAATAAACATGACAATACATTTATGTCATCTGGAAGCAAAATATGCACACTAATTAATAGTTTGGCACATTGAGATAATACATCATGACAGAAAATACAAGTTAAAGATATGTATGACCATCACATGGTAATTAAAATTTAAAAAAATTAATAGGGGCTGTGGAGTATGGAAAGTTCAAGACAAAGAAAAGAACAAATGTTCATAGTTCATGAACTCTCAATTTTGCCTCCATTGCTTTGTGAAGGCCAATATATTTCGAGTGGCTGAATTGGTTTACCTTTATGATAGCAACGATTTTGTATTTAATATAGCGAGATTATTTCAATTTAATTGAAGTGATATAATTTCCCAAAGCAATGCTTGAATCGTCTAGAATAGATCAGTGGTGTCAAACTCATGGGTTTTCGAGAGCCGCATTGCATTTTGAAAATTGTAAAAAGAGCCGCAAACAGTTTTTGATAATGTATACTTAAAAGATATTTTTAAGATAGTTTTAGTTTGTGACATATATTGTGATGCAACTAAACAGTTGGATTAAGTTTTATTATTTTCTTCAATTTCAATGCAATTACATATTAATATTTGCATTCCACTATTATTGCAACATTTGCAAGTTACAGTATTTATTATAAAAAATCGTAAAAATTCTATGTACAACCATCAAAATCATTTTTGAACAAGCTTTGAATAAGGAAAGAATAATACATACACTAAAATAACTTAATCTAAATATATGAACCTAAAATTAACAAAAATACTACAGTATAAACTCAATGTTTTAATAATTACATTTGTCCTGGCGTTTGGCATCTTTTTTGTGTCACCAGCATACTAAGGCCAGTCTGAAATGATTTTATAGTACCAACTCTAACTAACGAGGCCACATGATCATGGGTTTATCTGGATCTTTACGAATGTTTAATTAATTCCAGTAATGCAAAAAAGTTACTTTTATCATTTCATGTATAGATCAGTAAAAAAACAAATGACAGATTTTTTCGACAAGACATTTCGCACTACATTGCGTGGCATAGGATTGCTTGAATTATTATTGATATTGATTTTTAGTAACTAAGTCGTTGTATAATTATATTAATATACAAACACATGGAAATTTTCTGTTCGAAGTTGGTCTTCGAATTTGTCATATTGACTGCTGAGCTTATTGTGTTTTTTGATTGTATTGATGGAAATATGACAAATTAAACAATGTGCTTCAGAATTTTGTGAAGAGCAGAAATGTTACAACTCCCATTTTCTTCGAAAATGCCACCTTCTTCATGTACTTTGCGTTTAATTTAATTACTCAAGTGTTTTATTCAAGTATTCTTTTGCTAGCTTGATGTGTATTCTTAATTGGGTCAAAATGTGGACAAAAAAATTAATATTCCAAAACTACTTTCAGTAAATTGTTTTCTGTGTGAATAATCAATTTCACTTTAGAAGGTTTGAAAAATCTATTACATTTAGATAAAAAAAAAAACTTCCAAAATACTATTACAATTATTGTTAAGCGTTCGAGGGCCGCACTGGAAGTTCTCTGGGGCCGCGAGTTTGAGATCCCTGGTCTAGATTGAAGTTGTTCAAAAAATATATGATAGTATTTTATCATGAATGATGATTATACCCCTTCCGGAATTTCTTCTATAGTACTACCAAAAGTTGATGAACCAAATATAACACAGGTGCAGTGAGGTACCCGTAATCCTCATTTCCAAAGCTGTTTTAAGTATGTCTGGCGTGTTTTGTGCCTTTTTACAAATAAGACCGCTTATGCAATCTTACGCTTTGGAATTTTTAGTTATTTTCCTCAAGCCCTGCAGGATGTGGGGGCCATACACAACTCTACCGGAGGGTCAAATGTCTTTGCATGCCTCCATAGGTTGTTTTTCTATTGCAATTTTATTTTCAATTGCATTATATTTCTTGGAATCACACTGTCACTGATATGTCGCCAGACTTCTGATATCTCCCCGTCTGCTATAGTTGTCCTGTGAATAAATAATAGGAAATTGAGATTAGACGAATAGTTGAAAGTTTTGCTTTATGTCGGCTTAATTTCTTGATTGATATACTTACTATTTCTGCTATTGCCTCTTGTGCTGCAAGAGTCTCACAATGCTTAGACAGGTTTGTCCACAACTTTCACATCTGAAGAAAGAGAGGAGATTTATTAATTTTCGTTAAGAATAAATAAAGCAGTCTATATGATTCAGAATGGAAAAGCTAATAAATCCAATATCTCATGTTTTATTTAAAAAATATTTTACTGAATTTGGTATATAATCAATCAATCAATCATCATTTATTCGTCAACACAATTTAAACATGGTATGATATATAAAAAAATAATTACAAATATAAGTGGAAACTAACTTAAATTGTGTGACAGGAGTCGCGAGGGACCTCAAGAGGTCTTCAGGCAGCGACACCTAAAACGCTTGTTGATTCAGGTTAATAGCTTAAAAAGTTAATGAAACACCAAAACATTTCAAAATAAATATTTTGAAGAAAAAAAGAACATTTTCAAAAAAACAAAAATACCAAATATCCATTATAAGTATTTAAAATAAAAAAAAACATAACATCCTGGTTACGAGCATGTTTTTTTAT